ATATAGTTTAAGAGATATTAATTATCAAAAATCGTCGAAAAAAAGTATCAAGCACCCCCCCTTGGCAATTTTTTCTTAAGATTTAAAATTTCATCTCTCAGATTTCCGTTTTAAGTATCCTATCTTATAGAAAATAGTCCGTAGATTAAGACGCTGCGATCAGATCTTAATTATCTCTTTTAGTTTACGAGATATTCGCGATTGAATAAAATGGGCAAAAATTGAAAAATGTCACTTTTTAGCACTTTTAGTCGCGTTTTTCATTATTTTGCAGTAGAAAATATAATTATTTTATATGTTTATCTGATAGAGAATTTTCCATTCTTTCACAATCAGCAATTTGTTGACTGCTATCGCTTTTAATTTAAGAGATATTAATTTTCAAAAATCGTCGAAAAAAAGTATCAAGCACCCCCCCTTGGCAATTTTTTCTTAAGATTTAAAATTTCATCTCTCAGATTTCCGTTTTAAGTATCCTATCTTATAGAAAATAGTCCGTAGATTAAGACGCTGCGATCAGATCTTAATTATCTCTTTTAGTTTACGAGATATTCGCGATTGAATAAAATGGGCAAAAATGAAAAATGTCACTTTTTAGCACTTTTAGTCGCGTTTTTCATTATTTTGCAGTAGAAAATATAATTATTTTATATGTTTATCTGATAGAGAATTTTCCATTCTTTCATAATCAGCAATTTGTTGACTGCTATCGCTTTTAATTTAAGAGATATTAATTTTCAAAAATCGTCGAAAAAAAGTATCAAGCACCCCCCCCTTGGCAATTTTTTCTTAAGATTTAAAATTTCATCTCTCAGATTTCCGTTTTAAGTATCCTATCTTATAGAAAATAGTCCGTAGATTAAGACGCTGCGATCAGATCTTAATTATCTCTTTTAGTTTACGAGATATTCGCGATTGAATAAAATGGGCAAAAACTGAAAAATGTCACTTTTTAGCACTTTTAGTCGCGTTTTTCATTATTTTGAAGTAGAAAATATAATTATTTTATATTTTTATCTGATAGAGAATTTTCTAATCTTTCATAACCAGCAATTCGTTGGCATAGCACAAAGAGGAGACGAAGATAATAGGAAACACTGCATATATGTGTTCTCTTATTCTTTTGCAAGCTAAACCTTATAAATGAATACGTTTGTCTCGTTTTAGTGTCGCTTCATTAATTTTGTAACCACAACAATTCTAAAGAAGTTTTCACTTCAATTACGGAATTATTTAAAAATAACTTGCACCATTTAAATATCCTTGGTTTATATAATTTTTTTTGTTTAAAATTTGTCAAAAAAATATTTCCCTTTCTCGACAATAAAACATAACCACCGCTTGTTTTTATCACCATCCGCGTTAATTTATCCTTGGCTGGGATTAAAAAAAAACGACATGAGCGCGGCTCTGCCCATTGCATGTCCTTCGTTCTTCCTTCCTCGTTCTGCACTTGAACATACAATACGTATTCTTTTGCTCTTGTGCGAGGACAAATGGAATAACTGCAGGACTTCTGCCTCCCGCTGGATTTATTATCTTCATATGTGATGGCACGATGGCAGGAGGTCTCGCGTTCTCCGCCACCTGCTAATTTTTTTTATTTATCGCCGGTATAATAAATTGAATTTTACCGCATATAGTTTACGTCCTCGCGGTTAGTATTATTATAGAGTATATTGGAAAGAATTTATTAAATTTAGATGAAAAGTGAGGTGATAAATTGAAAAGGAAAATAAAATAGGTTTTTGAGGTTAAAGAAATAAATTTTAAAATTAATATTTTGTATCACAAGTTTTGTGTTTAAAATTGTTTATTTGGAATGTTTTCTGAGTGTAAAAAAAAATATTAAAATTTAATGCCAAAAATCCTCAAAAAATGATATTTTCTAATTTTATCTATAAAACGCGGGTTTCTATGGTTTTTAGACAGAAAAAGTGGTACTTTAAACACGGACGGCCGAGCTGTGAGTAATATCCATTATCTACGGCTATTATCCACGGGATAAAATGTTTAATAATTGTAAAATATATTTTAATTTCTAGTGTTAAAACACAATATTTATATTTCGGTGGTAAACATTTTTTATTTCACCATAAAAATTTATTAATAAATATATTTTAACACAAATGATATGTGATAATGTGAATAAATTAAATTTCTCCCAAAAATAGTATGCAAACGAAAATTTATAAAGCCACCGAAATTTTTTTGATTAATTGCAAGCGTCAATGCGTAGGCATTATTAATGTTATCGATAGCGTATGCCAGAATGATAAATCGCGCACTATTTTTCCATTCATTTGATGATTTCATGATAAATCGTTTCCGCTCGGAAATTTCCCTGCCACACAATGTATAATAAAATATTCGTCTGCATTAAAAAAAAACACCAAAAAACTACCGCTACATAATTACCGTGTAACTTCAATAGATAATAAATTAATCCATAAAATGTTCTGAGGTAACTTTTGCACATTTTTTTAATATCACAGTTTTACACAACACGTTTATTGTGTAATATGTGTTGTTATATAACATTGCGGTTTTTTTTGCGGTGTAATTGTATCGTCGGAAAAATCGAGTATAGCGTGCAATGAAGGGTGGAAAACTTATTACAAGATTAGCAAGCGTCCGCGTACATTGTGCACTGTTGTGGAACGCGCTTCGACGTTTTGGCGCTGGCGGTTTTCGTAAATTTCCACGAGTTTTTCCGGGAACGGCGCACGCCTCAATAAAGGTGTACTTTGTACGTTGTACAATGCACAATTTGCAGAACGAGTGTGTTTCCGAAAGGACTATAAATTGACTCTGAGTGTAATAAAGGACCAACACTTAGGTAAATACAGTGTGTTTAGGTTTTTCTTTTTACTTTAAAATTTTAAGTCTTTATAATGAATCACACTTTTTACAAAAATAAGAAAAATGTCAATCTTTTTCATATTTTTCTTTTTTGCATAGTTTTTTGCATTTTTAATAAAGTATTTTATTTATGAGAATTGGAGAGTAGGTCACAATCTGCCATTTTAATAGCTCTTAATTCACTTGTAAAGTGAATAGAAGGTAGAATATCTCATCTCAGTTTGAATTATATATAACTATAATTATGTTTGAATCTTTATAAGAGCTTTCAACCCGTATTTCACACCCTTGCAACCGTATTTTTGAAACAAAAACTAGTCTATTTGCTTTTCCTTAACCAAAAATATCCGTATACCAAAATTTATCAAAATTGCTTGAGTGGTTTTTCCCTGAAAGCGTCACAAACAAACAATCCCTCCTTTCCACTTATATTATTACTTATAACAATCCCTCTCACACTATACAGCGTGTTTATCATTGGTTGTAGACAATATATAACATTGTAGCGTAGTAAATTCGAGAATACGATTCCCTCTGGGAGTACTAATCGTCCATGGCGGTTTTGTGCGCTGGGTGTATTGGGCTCACGCGTGCCCGAGCATTAAGTCGCCCCGCCGGGACCGGCCCCTGTCTCCGCGTTCGATTTAATTGATCGCCATCGATGCGAACCGGCGAGGGGAGCGCGCTATCGAAACGGCCATCGCCGCCTACCAATTTATTACGATAGATTACCGATCGTCGGCTCGTGGGCGAGCGCACGCCGTAATGACAGGTTAATTAGCCACGCCGCTCGTAACGGACACGTGTGTTTACAACGGGTTATTACATTAACGTTCAATTATCTAATTTGGTCAAAGAGGGCATTAGGTTTATGAAAAAATAAAAAGTAAATCTCATATTATGAAACAGAAAAATTAATAAAGCGCGGGAATTACATTTTTATATTATTATAATTTAATAGACACTTAATTTTAAAAGGTAAATTAAAACAGACAGAAAAAGGTGTTTTATTGAGTCATGAACTTCATTAAAAATTTTGTTAACTTCATTTTTAATTTTATAAATTGTAAAATATTAAAATTTACTATTTTTATGGACAAAATCTCAGAAAAAGTTAGTTACAACACTTATAACTCAAGAACGGCTGGACAGATTTTGATGATTTATGATTTTTTAGATTCATCTCAATCCTGAATAGGAGAATAATTATTAAAATATTAAAAATTTTGATTTAAAGGGTGTTAAATAAGAGATGAAAATTTATATACTAATTTTATCATAGATTGTAGTTAAATATTTGAATTATAGATGGCGTTAAAGTTCATTATTAATCACTCTCATTTCTTTTTAATAAATAATTCTATAAAAATCTAGAAATCCTGCATACAATTCGAATATCACTCGTATTTCTCGTCATTTTTGTAAATTATTAAAATATTCGCTCATCAAAATTTTTAAATATGGCAAAGCCTAAGTGTTTACCTTAAAAACAAGCGTATCCCCCGCACTCAACGTGTCGAAAAAAACTCTCTGGAAAATCTTCCGCAGCGTTCCGCATAAACCATCCGAAACCGCACTCTCAAGTTGCCACCGTCACTCCCCCATCGTCGCGAAGGCGAGAAAACAAAACCGCAAGTGCGGAAAAAAGTAGATGAGCCTCGGATAAAATTAGTCGCGCTCGCAGGACGCGCTGACGGTCTCGCCGGATTTGCCCTCGTTGCAAACAAGAAAACGAAAATAAACTCTTGGCCTGGCTTTCCACACAAAAGTCCAAAGCGCATCCCGGTCGTGAATAAAACAAAGAAAAACAATATCTAAGGATATCGTTTGGCTACGGGACGGGATGAAGAAGAGACGGCGGCGGCGTCGCCAAGAAAACCGACCTAATCTGATTATTTTTAATTGAGTTTTATTTATTCGCGCGCGCCGCACGCCGCTGGAATTTTCGCAAAAGGATCATAATCCTGGTCGAGGAAACAACGTTGATTAAGATGAGTAAGCCGAGGCGGGTCTCATGCGACGATACATTTTGATTAATTTACATCATCGAATTAGTTTTAATAAAATGTTGAATAGCTCACAATCCGCCATTTTAATAGCTTTTAATTTAACTAATTTTTTTTTAAATTTTGTTTCAGGTGTCATTCTTTCAACAAGTCCAGAATTATCCAACAAACAGCGATTTGAATATTTCACACGTACCATTCCTTCGGATCATTATCAGGTTAAAGCAATGGTGGACATCGTCAAACTTCTGGGATGGAGTTACGTCTCCATTATTTATGAAGAATCAAATTATGGAATCAAGGTGAGTTTTAAATGTTTTTAAAAATTATTATCACCATCGCCGGTGTCAATTTCGTTGGAAAATGGTTTACCACGTCTTTTATAAGGGCGTGGTTGTCGTTGATACGCCCCTGCAATTCCTTTAGTTGCCATGGGTCCACATTTCTCAAGATCCATTTGTTCAATCACTACTTTTATCTCTTCAAAAGCCGTTTTTAGCTTTGCATCCCATTCGGTGTCTTTTTCGTCGTGATTGTACTGATTGTGTCGGTCTGGTACGACGCTAGATGGCGTGGTTGCTCCAGAAACATTTAAATTTCCCATTTTTACAAATTACTAACAAAAAACACTTAAATTTTATTCAGAAAATTGTCTACATTTTAGATGACAATTAATTTATTTGACATAAGGTAATATTTTATTTTTGTTTTTATATTTATATACAATATGTTCAAATTAGGTTAATTTCATGAAATCGAATAGTTCGAAGTTGTAATCGCCTCGTCTTGAAACTTGCACACGGCTGCAATTTGTAAACTTCGTCGTGAACTTAACAAGGTGCGGATGTGTCTAAAAGGATTCTCGCGTCTGCTGCCAGAGCCGAAAAAGCGAAGTAAAGTTGTAACTTAATTTCCTACCGACTGATGCTCGAGTACTATATATGTTTGTCTGTATGTGTGTATCGGTTGCAATTCGCCGTCTTGCATTCCTCATTCCCCAGCAATCGGAACGTCCGTATGCGTTTGCGATTCAATTCTATTCGAAATTTTCAACAATTGCTTCAGTAACTTGTTTAGAAACTTCATCAAGATAAATAACTGCTTGAAATTTATAAGGATTTGATTAGAATCCGTTTCGGCGGAGATAAGTTATTGAAAGGGGAACGGTTTATATCCATAATCAATATCTGAATATCTGATATCTTGCTGACATTTCAATATTGGCTTGAATTTTGTGAATAATATTTTATTACTGAATTCGATTTGGGTTTTTGCAGGCGTTTGAAGAATTGGAGGATTTATTGGCGGAGTATAATATTTGCATTGCCATCAAGGAGAAGCTGGTCAAGGATTCTGGTGTCGCGGATGAAATCGCTTATGATTCTATTGTGCAGAAGTTGTTGACAAAGCCGCGAGCAAGAGGTATGTGATGTTTTATCAATATATTATAATTAATAGTATATTAAGTTAAACGGGAGATTAATTAAGAGCGAATATAACGACCACAAGCTCCACCCCGTGACTAAAACCCGTGACTAAAGTACTTTAGTCACGGCCGTGCTTAAAGTACTACTGCTTGTGCTTAAAAATGTCGATAAACTGGCGTTTTAAATGTGAAAGTATAAAATCTTTGAAATTTTCGGCTTTTTCTTAATATAACATAAATATTTTATCAATATAAACATTTTTCTTGAATCACCCTGTCTATTAATTAAAACTGCATTAAAATGTGTCGCATAGTTCAAAAGATAGAAGCGATTTTGTTTTATACAATATACAAATAATTAAAATACTAAAGAAAAATCAATTTGCAATAAATGGAATCAAAACTCCTGATTCCTACAAATAAAAGAAGAATAAACTATCAATAAGTTGAGCAGGAAGCATATTTAAATGCAAATTTATTTCTCTTCGCTTTTTTCTATCTCATCCTCCAAAAGGCAATCACTGCAGAAGAGTCTTAAAGTTGTTAAATTATTTTCTTTCAATTCCTGCTATTGCAACGTCCTTTTTTCAATCGTTCGTCCTTTCAACGACTTTGCCCCGAATTGAATGCCGCTTGGGAAAGTTGTAATTTAGCAACTTGTCACGCAGCAAGCAAAAAAAAAGAAAACAGGAAAACTAGCAGGATACGCAATAGACGTTATCCTGCCGGGAAACACTAAGACTGAAACAATGCAACAACGAAATGAGTCAGTCTATAGAAGAACAGGGAAAAGGGTGAAAGGACGAAGCACGTTCACGTTGCTCCCTGAAAGTTTCCTGCCGTAGGCTTTTAGATTCTTTAGGGTGTACGCAGCAGTTATTCCGGCTGCGTTAATAAAAGACAAGGAAGAGAAGGGCTCAAAGTAATAGTATACAAGTGAAAATTACTGAAAACCTAAAAATGCTATAAAAAGTAATTATTTAGAGGTTAAATGTGTTTTTGGTTACCTATGTTACATCACTCAAGAAGTTGTATAAAAAAATCAATCAAACATGTCAATTTCAGGACATTTTGTTACCCAACATTTTTTAAGTGTCTCGGCGCGGTTAAACCACCCTCAATCGAGGGAAATTGAGTTAAATAACTTTTGTTCCATTTTCTGATTTGCTTACACTTTACATTTTCATTCTCTTTTAACGTTTTCTTTCGTTTGGCAAATTTTAAATATTCTGTCACAGGTGCGATTTGGGAATTTCATCATGATCAAACGCTTTATGTTGAAATATTTGCCACTTACCATAAAAGACGTTAACACAAAATATACATCAGCAAAATTCAAATTTCTAAACTTCTACTACAGATGGCGTTTGTTACAAACACTTTTAAAACTTTTTTTTGTTAAATTCCAGGAGCAATTGTATTCGGTTCGGATCAAGAAGTCGCTGGAGTAATGCGTGCCGTGCGTCGTAACAACGCCACCGGAAGTTTCTCCTGGATAGGTTCCGACGGATGGAGCGCGCGCTCCCTGGTGTCGGACGGCAACGAAGCAGAAGTAGAGGGCACACTCAGCGTCCAACCACAAGCCAATCCAGTGCAGGGTTTCGAAGAGTATTTTCTTAACCTGAACGTTGAGAATAACAAACGCAATCCTTGGTTTGTCGGTAAATATTAATTATAAATTTTATTACTCAATTATAAATCCGAATTTAATCGTGCGCGCTCACGTACCTATCCTTTCATCATTTTATGATGAGACAGGCGATGTTTTTTTCATCGGCTCGACATCTTTTTCGATAATAAAGCGGCGTTTTTACGCGTTTCGCCGTGTGTCGCATTGATTTTGAAGACGTCGAAAAGAGTCGTTTCAAGCAGTTTTTTGCCGTTTGCTGAGTTAAAAAAATAGAAACATAAGTTTCGGCCATGTGCCACGCGAGTTTTATGGGCTATTAGAGGCGCGTAAAACGAGTGCCATTAAAGTTTATTCGTTTTCTTGACTAGATTCTGTTGTGTCTCCTTGGAATAAAAAAAGAAATAGAAATCACATTAAAACAGAGAGTTAACAATTTTGTGATACTAAGGAATAAAATATTTGCAAAACTTTTGGGGATTTTTTTTATTTTGATAAAAAACATTTTCTTGATTGTTTTAAAGGTTTTGCTAATATTTTATTACGAAAAAGTAAAAATCTAACATTTTGTGATTTTTTTTCAAAAATTTTTTTTATTTTTTTAAATTTCAGAATTTTGGGAGCACCACTTCCAATGTCTCTACCCCAACAGTTCAAGAACACCTTACAACCAAAATTATAAAAAAATGTGCACAGGAAAAGAACAACTCTCAAAACAAAACACCGTCTTCGAAGATCAACTTCAATTCGTCTCCGATGCCGTCATGGCGTTCGCATACGCAATCAGGCAAGTATAAACAACTACCCCCTCCTCTTTTGTAAATAAACCTAACCTCAATTATCCTTGAACTAATTCTAATTGTGAATTTGTGTCTGTTTGTTACCGGTGCGCGCATCCTTGATCGATGCGAATCCGATAATCTTGCTCTCGAGTAATGTCCTTCGGGCGGGCGCGCAAATTAAGCCGTAATAAATTAATTCAAAGGGGGCGGGGCAATCAGCATCGATCTGTCTGAATTCACCGATGCGTTCATGTTCGCCACGTCCGCAAACACAAACTGCAGATCGAGTTGAGTTTATTTTCCGGAAACGAAAAAAAAAAGAAAAACCGGAAAATAAAACGAACGAATTCCCATTCGGACCATCTGGCACCTGCCAGCCGGGGTTATCCTCTGTCTTTACTACAACTGACGGCGACTTGGACATAGATATATCAAACATACAGTGTGTCCATTAAAAATTAATTATTTTTGTTTCTTTTGATAAATTTAAAGTAAATTTATTTAATTTTTTGTTTTTTATAGTTTAAACACATTGTATGTAAATTATCTGTTACATATACGTAGGAACCTATTTCAATTAAGCGTAGAAACCGTGAATGGTTCACCCACTTTAAATTAGATAACGTTAATGCGGTTGGTGTGGTTCAGCTGCGCACTGCAAGTCCGTGTAAAAGTGATGAGATTCGTTGGATCGTTTCCTCGATTGTATCCCAATTGTTTCCGTCATTAATCAAATTGCTGACGAGGACGATTGCCAATTCTTAAGCAATTATACCGAAAAGATTCTTTTTTACATCAAATTAAACTTTTGTTTTTATTTTATTACAGAGACATGCATTTGGAGCTGTGTAAAGGCCGGCCGGGATTATGCGACGCAATGAAACCGACCAAAGGAACCGAACTTCTGAAATATCTCCGCAAAGTAAACTTTGAAGGTATAAATGTTTTTTCATTATACTTAACGATAATTATGCTCGTATTATGAAACTGTGTGCACTGGGAGAAGGTATAAAATACGCACTGAAGGTCTGAACACAGACATAAATCCTTATTTGTCCTCATTAACAGCCGATTTGTCTTTTGTCCTTTATCCTTTGTCCCTCATTCTATGTGCGATGTTCATCCTTCCATCAAACTCGCACAATACGCGTATTTACAATCCTGCTCTCACTACGGGGAATTTCGAGGTGCTATTTCACAGATCCTAGATTCAGGACGAGACCTCATGCGGTACGAGGATAACAAAAAAAAAGAATAAAGCGTAGCATGGCTAAAAGCTGGAACGCTCTAACTTGCTCCGTTCAGCGGAATTATGGCTTTTCTTCCTGTTTGTCCTATTCTTCATTTCGTCCGGTTTTTCTTTGGACCTTTTTGCGATTTTATGCTTCTCTCGGTGAGAAAACTCATTCGGGCCATATGCCCCGGTTTTCATGAGGAGTCCATGACAAAAATACAACGCGGAAAATTAAGGATTCGTAGAGATATGAAAGCGAAGGAAACGTCCTGTGTCAACAGGATACTCGACCTATTAATACCCGCTTTTGTGCGTGGCGCCACGGTGCGCTGCAGACGTTTATTTATACGGACGGGATTTTCAGTAAGATGGTAACTGGTGCGTCAAAGGGTCCTTAGTAATCGGATTAGAGAATAATGTATTACATAAGGAAGACTTTTTATTACAAATTAAAAACAGCACAATAAATCGGATTTTTAGGAAACAAATTAGCATTTTATACTTTATAAGTCATTATTAGAAATAACATAAATTACGAAGTATGAGTTTGTTTGTATGTTTTGTGCCGCTTTCACGCAAACACCAGTCAAAGAATTTTAATAAATTTTGGTATGGATTTACTTTTGACAATGGAAAAGCATATAAACTACTTTTGTTGCAATAATATCAATAGAAGAGGGTTAAATTAGAGTTGAAAGTTAGTATAGAGATAAAATCAAACTTTTAGTTACATTTGCTAGTTATTATTAAAATTTGCAAAAATAATTTTCTGTTACTACCCCTTTGTAGATTTGTTTACCTTTGATGTTTGTTTTGTACGATTTTTTTATTCTTATAAATAATGTTTATCTAAAATCAGTCAGACTTCTCTAAAGAAGAAAATCGCTAAAGAGAAAGTAATGGAGCGTGCTCGGCATGAGTAAACAACAATCCGACATCTCGCATAACTCGGCCACAAACAATCCCTAAAGGGACAAGACTAATATTTAAACCTTTGAAGATGTTATGTTTTGTTTTTGTTATTGTATGTCATGCACGTAATTCAACTTTTTTTTATTGACATTATGGTTGTTGTTGTTGTTGTTATAAAACTATAACTTTGATTGAATTCATAATTTTGCATTTTTTAAGTAAATGTTTTAAGAAGTTAATCTGTTACATACATACTTTTACGTTTATAAACGTAAAAGACACGTTAAACTACTAAAAGTATTGTGTGTTGCCTACTTGCGATGAAGAAACATAATTCAACAACCCAAATGGCGTTGACACCAAGTTTTACACTTTTAATTTATCTGCATTGATGTCACTCAGAGTCACTCCAAATCAAATTAAAAATACAATACAAAATCGATGGCAGCGCAAATATTTATTGAATCACGTTGATTTTTCATTTATGAATAATTAAACACAACACGCTCCAAAAGCTATACTGACTGGCAGCACTCTGAACAACACTCTAATCCAATTATGTATACAGTTATTGTTTCATTATTCATTCAAATAATAGCACTATTATTTTCGACATAACAATAACATAATAACTTAGATGTCTACAATATTGAATTTAACACAAGACTAGCAATTTACACTCACTAATTAATAATTAACTAACACAAAACTATTTCTACTTATTCACTCAAAAATTAAAGTCTTAACTAACAAAAACAAAATGAATCAAGTTCACTAAAAGAACAAACGGAAAGAAAATACATATAAGGAACCAACCTTTTCATTTAGTAATTAATTAATTAAACAAAACAAAGCAAAATCAATCGAAAAGATTGCGACACAAATTCATTGTTTGTTTTTAATTAAAAATTCATTTCGACTGCAGAAAACAAGATTTCCACCGATACAATTCAATTGAAAACATATTTCAAGAGCGAAATACGTAAATACGCACAGTGGCCATCAAATATTTGTATGTGATCTCTTGGTGTTGATAGGTTTGAGCGGGGACCGATTCCACTTCGACCAAAACGGCGATGGTCCAGCTCGATACAATATCATTCACTTCAAACAGACCACGCCGGGGAAGTATAAATGGGTGCGAGTCGGCGAGTATCACGAAGGGGAGCTGAGACTTAACATGCAAGGTATGCAACCAAATATACACTTATTTTAATCTAATAATTAAATAGAGTTTTGTTGGATGCATCAATTGCAGAAACGTATTGAAGTGCTGCTCAATGCACTATTTGTTATATACTTATTATAGTTTATTGGCAATTATCTAGTTTCATTGTGTTCGATTGCACTTTATTGCAATCCGAAGCAATTAATAACGTTTAATGGCAATCTGCCAGCTCCAGTTTTCCGACAGTTTAATGGCCAGTGCTCAGGTGCGTTTGCAAATTTTGCATTTAAATTGCGAACATTATTGCTGAGAGTTCGATTTGCGTTTTCTCATTAGAAACTTAGACCGCAGCGTTTTTATTCTGTCTTGATTGAATTTTGCGTGTATTGTGTGTTGCCTATATTGCGCATAATACATTTAACCAAACTTTTCAGAAATCCAGTTTAAGCTCGCCCACCCCAAACCGCCGGAATCCGTGTGCAGTTTACCCTGTGACCTTGGCCAGGCGAAGAAGTACGTCGAGGGTGAGAGCTGCTGCTGGCATTGTTTCAACTGCACGCAGTATCAGGTAAGTTGAATAAAATAACCTCAAAAAGTTAAAATGTACGTTTCCTAATGACCTTCAGAAGGTTAGCGGTAGTCGGTTGTCACTTGCGGGTTGGCGAAAAGTTTCCACTGCAACCCCTTCGATAAATTCGCTTTTCAATTGCACCACTCACCACAATTATACTGACTGTGTGAGTCGGCAGGAAAAACGGTCGCCCAAGTGGTTTTCAGCGTAGCGCACGGTGAAAAGTGGGTTGAAAGGGGTGAAAGGAAAACTGCACACGAAAGTCATAAATTATATCGGCCGGAATTTATGAGCGAAGCGGCGGACATAACCTTTTAAACTTTATTAAACGTCCAGGGGGGTGGTTTTTGAAGGGTTTTAGTGATTTCTCATGTCGGCTTGTTCAATTACTTAAGAATACATATTATTTTATCTTTTCTCTTGAAAGATTTCAGTTCGGAGTTTATTTGAGAGTAGAAATGAAACAATTTGTGGAACATCTTGTATATTCCCATAAAGCAAATTTAATTGACTATTAAATGTGACCTTTGATTCTGTTTTATGTTTAACTTGTCAGAAGTTATTGATGGAAAACTAATCGAATATTTGCGTGTAGAATCAGTGATTTTTTATGTTTTCAAACATAAAACTTGAAAAAACTTTTATTTCTGAAATGACTTTAAACAAATGGATAGAGTATTTTGAAGCCAATTAATTTATCTTTAAAATAATGCAATTTTTATTTATTTAGCGTAATAATAAGACACAAATAAACGCAGTTAAATTTTTTCTTCTATTACACGAGTTTTTTGTTGTTTATTTTGACGGCAAGAGGATTCCAAGAATTGCTTTGAAATTCTCTCAATTTCTCCTGCTGCGTTAAGCAACATCAAACAAAAAATGCACAAATAACAAGCGAGTGATAAATTAAGTATTAACAGTCAATACATGATGGAAAATCATTTCGATTTGGCGTTGACTCGCGGCGAGTCGAGACTAATAATTTTTTTCTTCTCAACTTTACGCATTACGACGCCGCAAATTGAAATCGCACAAATTGGATGTTCAATTTTCTTTCATCGCGCGGGGGAACGCGTTTTTGCGCGCGCTCTTTTATTCGCGTCTCATGCCGCCGACATTTATGCGGTGCGGGCAGCGGGGCAGCTTTCCACCCAGCGGAGCGAAGTAAATTCATAGACTCGGAATAGACTAATTTAAATTTTTTGCTTTGCAGACGCTTCGAGGCGTTCTACGGAAAAAATGTAATCAAATTGTGACACGTATGAATTTAACGCGAACTTAATTGGCTTTTGAGTGTTAGTTAGCTAAGCGATATCAGTTACTTTAAAGATTGGGGGTTTTCGGAGAAAAGCAAAAGTCATTAAATATTGGTAATTGAAATAATATCATTATTTCGTGTTGTTTTTAGAGAAGAATTGTCAAATATTTCATTATTTTATATTTTTTGCGATAATTTATGATATTTTACATGAATTACAAATATCTAGAGTTGAATTATAAGTCTGTTAGTGTTCTAAACTATTCAGGAAATAATTTTTTTTTAAAACATTTTCTGAAAACATAAACTAAAACTAGATAAGTGGATAGTAAATTTTTTTGACGTTCAGTGTAATTATTACTTATAATGGTTTAGAGCATAAAAAATATTTATTTTTTGATAGTGTTTTTATTAAAATCCATTATGTTCATCCGACGTTATCTGGATGTAAAATTGATGCATCGTAAAATGCACAGGTGGCGCCAAACAAATGCATGTTTTCAATTTTACGACCATGCATCATAAAACATAAAACATCATGCAAAGAGATTAGGATCTAATTGGCTTTAAAATAACATAGGTATTCAATTATAATATACAACAGGTCTGACAGAATTTACAATAATTCACTATATTCGGGATAATATCATAAACAATTATTTTTACTTGCATTTTAATTTCGTAAGCATTAAATTAAAACATGTTATTATAATGCACATTATTCAGAATACAATTTACAATTTTAATTGAATTCTTTCATGTGTACAGAATGAATCTCAAAAATAATTTAAATTTTCATAATATTCACTTTACTAAAATATTATTTTAATGCAAATCGTTGTATTATTTATTTAATAGCACATTTAACATGCTTTTAGAAATATATAAATGCATTTAAATAGATCGTTTAAAACTAGCCTTATCATGATATAAAATTTATGTGCATTTAATATTGAAATTTGTGTTAAATGACAACACGTTTAAAAAATTGTTAAACATTTAAAATTGTGGTTATAGAAAACTTAAAAACAGATAAAAATTTGTATCATGAAAAACGTATTCTTATTTAAATTAATTATTTATATCATATAAAATATCACCCACTATAAAAATTTATAGAGAAATTAATTTCCTTCAGAAAACGTTTTCCGTCATATTATACAATATGTACCAAGCAAAAAAAAACAAATTTAATTAAAAATTAAACTTTACCAAGTATAAACACACACAAAAAAAATTAAGAAGTTATAATTAGCAATTTATTTCTAATGAATTTGAAGATAATTTAATCCGCAATCGATTAACTTCTCTCCCGCTGATGTATACAACATGTGTTGAAACTTATAAACGTGTAAACGAAAACCACAGAAAACAAAAAAAAAACGCTGCCGACTTTTAAAAATTCTCCTGTGGTTGTGCGTTGGGGAAATCCGACTTTATAACTCGATAAAAAAAATTGTTACCGAAGTAACACGCCACACAGCGCCCGCTGCACGCTGCAAACTTTTTTTCCATCCATAATCCGTCTTCACCTCACGTTTATTATTTCTTGCGGCGCGTTGGGCTTTCTTTTCCCAACTCGCACGACGCGCAACAAGTTTTCTCAACCACCACGGATAGACCTTGCTAGTGACGTTGTGGTGGTGGTGGCTATCACGTCTATCATGCAACATCATATTTTTCGTATTTTCTCTCGTCGTGAGTTGAGTGAACCGCGATGTGGCGAGATGACACTTGCGATACGTCGATACTTGTTGCCATCCTAAAATCACCCACATAACTAACACCACCCACTCAATATAGGGAGTAGTCTACTCGTACTAGCTTTGTTTGGTGGCAGTTGAGTGACGCGTTCGATTTCCCATTTCGCGGTTTTTCCAGCGTCGATTTATTTTCATTTGGTTTTCACATTTGTGTTTACTTACATTTTATTTTAAGCTTTTACGTTCTTGCTTTATTTTCATTAGTGTTTTGCTTGTCAAAGGGATGTTTACCTTGCTTTTATATTTTATGCGCTTCTGGTTAGTGGGTTACTTTTGTGTACTTTGTTCTTCAGTTGTAACACAGAATATTTTTATGCAGTTTGCTTTCATATTTCTGTTTGTTGTGTGATACTTGATGTCATTCTACAGCTAGCATAACTTTATAACTATGATTGGATGTAATAACTAATATTATTAATATAACTAATATTAGAAATATGATTATGTGTTTGTTTGTGACGCTTTCACGCAAAAACTTTCGAAACAATTTTGATAAATTTGGTTTAGAGATACTTTTGACCATAGAAAATGAAATAGACTACTTTTTATTGTTAAATTATAGCGTTTAGGGTGTAAAATAAGGGTTGGAAGTAGATACGGAGATTTAATAATAGATATAGTTATATAAATTGAATCTAGATGGCGCAAAAGTCAACTATTGACTTTTTTCATTCAAATAGAGAATAATATTGGCGGAGATAAATAATTGGTTAAAATTCAAAAATTTAGTTAAAACAAAATGAAATTAATAAATTTCTAGATGCATTTACCTTATTTTATAAATTTGCGTGAAAAATAGGTTTACTATATTATGTCTATTTGAAGTTTTTGATCAATACTCTTTCGAGTTTACACTCGTTGGAATTTTCCAATTTTTACGGAAACTCAATTCCGCGCGGAATGTTTGTTTCCTTTCGTCCGATGTTTCGATTGACAAGCGACAATGACGGCTTTCTAAAGCCGAACACTGAACACAAAATACAGCATGCAGCATTAAAAGAAAAAAAAAGCAACAACATTGCACCAGCAATGTGAAATATTTCATGTTTACGAGTAGAGGGAGAGCACACACAATGAATTCCCATTTCTGAGCTCTTGAAACCAGTGTTTAATTGTTGTCAACGCACACCACAATGCCTGAATGCAGTGTCAGTCAATTTTTCTCTCTCCTGCTTTGAGCGAGAAAGCGTTTTCGGTAAAATAACGTAGGCGGTGCGCGGTGGAGAAAAAAGCGAATTAACTGAGCATTTCGGCGCGTTTTCTTCGGCTGACAGCTGCCAATTCGGGCGATTGTGCTGTCGGCGGCCGAAGGAGATAATTTAATTGCCCATCAAACGCAAAGTGAGTGGCGCGCGGTGTTGACCCAGGCGGTAATGCAAACAGAAACTGAATGCGATGTCATATTTTCGGAATGTTGGTCATTTTCGGGTGTCATAAACAGAGTGGATATATATTTGGGAGTATATTACAGATCAAATTTGGAGGCATGCTTAATTGACTATCAATTTATGACAAAATAATTGGACATCTACGTATTTAAACATCTATTAAGAAGAAATATTGCTCAGAGTTGTTACAAAATGCTGATATAAAATGAAGTGTTTATTTTTTTTACTTTCTTTTTAAAGAACCAGTTTTTCCACGGTTTCAAAACAGAAAAAGTGCTACTTTAAACTGGGTCGACCAAAGCCGTGACTAAACTACTTTAATCACGGGTTTTAGTCACGAGTACAGCAAATGTAAACATATTTTTGCTCTATTTTCGTTTTAACTACTTTAAAATTATACATCAATGGTTGTAATTTACATTACAACCAAATAAAACTTGAACTAGTTTATATCTTATTCTAATCTTCCACAATTCTAATTTTTTAAACTTTGGTCAAATTCTGATTTATTTATTTTTGTTGCAGATTCGTGACCCCTTCGATGAAACCCAATGCAAAGAATGTCTCCCCGGAACAGTACCCGACGCCCTGCACGTTCGCTGCGTGGACATCCCGGAGGAGTATCTGCAGCCGACAAGCGCGTGGGCGATCGGCGCGATGGCGTTCAGCTCCACCGGCATATTGGTAACAATGTTCGTCTGCGGCGTCTTTATCCGCCACAACGACACTCCGGTGGTGCGGGCGAGTGGTCGCGAACTTAGCTATGTTCTTCTCGCTGGCATCTTCATGTGCTATGCGGTCACGTACGCGCTAGTCTTCCGACCCAGCGACGTCGTTTGCGGAATTCAACGGTAAACACGCAAGATACTTACGATTTAACTTTGATCAAACTTTATTTCCAACATGCATATCCTAGATTTTGGGGTTTAATTTAATAAGTAATTAAATTTAGCTTATTTTTTGCAGAATTACAAGAAATTACATAAAATAAATTAAAAATCATTGATTTTCAGTTTTGAGACAAAATGAAAAATAATTTTGCTTTTTAAATTTTGCCAAAATATTCATATTGTGGTAAAATAATTAATTGGTTATCAAAATTTGTTTAAAACATTGTTTTAACTTAGTTTGATTAATAGTTATCAGCAAATTTTCATGATTAATCTATATAATAAATGTCGTGTTAGTTACAACGTTTATAACTCAAGAACGGTTGAACAGATTTTGATGATCTATGCTTTTTTGGATTTATTGCCGCACCAAATAGCAGAATAATTATTAAAATTTTTAAAATTATGTTCTAAAGGGTGTTAAATGAAGGATTTAGCGTAGATGACGCATTATTAACGTTTCTCTTTCATTTAAAATAAAATAGCGAATCATATTAATGATCAAAACTAATTAAACATTGTTTTCTAACAATTGGCGTACAAATCTATAAATTTTATAAAGCTAAATTTAATTGGCTATTAAATTTTACAAATTTATCAGCTTCTCAAAAGTTCTAAGCATATCTAAGTATTAAAATACGTTTTAATGAAACTTTTACATCATACAAGTTTTTCAGCCTGTTTATTTTTATTTTTAGATTCGGCGCTGGTTTCTGCTTTACAGTGGTATACGCGGCGCTATTGACAAAAACAAACCGCATCTCGCGCATCTTCAACGCCGGCAAGCGGTCCGCGAAGCGGCCGAGCTTCATCTCACCACGCTCGCAGCTCATCATCTGCGCCGGATTAGTCGGCGTGCAAGTAAGTGCAATTTCCTCCGGCGGAGCGCAAACATGATTACACACAAGGGCGAGCCTCGCGCCAACAACTATTCGCGTCTTCCGGTTTTCCATCCCTTCTTTGAAACAAACCCACGCCGGGCATGACTTACGTGCAAACACGTTTACGACGCGCTTGTCGCACCGAAGGCAATTTTCCGCCGCCATAGGCGAAATTTATGACGTTAATAAGCCGATAACGCTTCACTCGATAATGGAAAATGCGCTGCGAAACGCGAAATCCGACGCGGAATTATTTTCGCCGCGATTTATTTCCAGCGTGTGCACACACTGCACACTTCAACGACCTGTGGCGCTCAATAGCACGCAAATTTCCCAAGTGGGTTTTATATCGATCGAAGGGTAATTTAATTGCAACTTTGCTACAATGGCAGGTTTTACGATACAATGTGAAAAATAGCTATTATTTACTTAATTACACAGAAAAACAAATATTTACAACAAAAATTTCAATTATTTCATTTTACATTTCTTTAAAAAACGCAAATTCTCTTTCAACAGACGGAATATTTAATTATCTATCAAAAGATATATGAATTATTAATATCTCTGCCTTCTACCAGAAATTATAAGCATTTTAAGAAAAATTTAATACTCTTCGTATTGTATTCAAACATTTATAAAGAGCTGCGCGCTTAGAAAGTAAAATTTAATATACAGCGCTCGTAAAAGGATTAAAACAGAGAAGCACGCAATATTAGCAGGATCGAATCGCATTAACAAAGTCAGGATTAAACGCGCGTTAAAAGGAGTTAATGAAATTTCCGTCTCCTCCGGCTGCCAACAGGTGCTGATCAACGCCGTGTGGATGGTAATCTCGCCGCCGAAAGCCATCCATCATTATCCGACGCGCGAGGATAATCTGCTCGTCTGTTCGTCGTACATCGACGCCTCTTACATGATCGCCTTCACCTACCCTATCTTGCTGATTGTGATCTGCACCGTCTACGCTGTGCTCACAAGGAAAATTCCGGAAGCTTTCAATGAGTCAAAGCATATCGGTGAGTTTATCAATTTTTTAAATTTTAACAGTAGAAAAGTAATAGTTTTAAATGGGTTAGAAATTGATATGATACATCAAATTAAAGATAATTTAATGTAGTTTAAGAATATGAAAACAGAAATCAAAAATGTTGAACGGTTTAAAAGTTATTGATAAAAAACGATCGGAGGTATAATTTTTTTGGTTTGAAGTTTAAACTTAAATTAAGTATACTTATCAAAGAGATAGAACCTTAATTTACGGGTATTCACTAGTAAATTTAATATATTATTAAATACTAAAGAGATAAGCCACATATCTTTACACGTTTTAATGTAGTCGACAAAAAGCCTTACAATTGCATGAATTTAAAGTGTCCAGACACACAAAAACAACTCCGACACCAAATCGCCCAAAAAACACCTTTTATTTATATCTACATACCCGTGCCATACATGCTTCGAATGCCAATTTATTCAACCGTCTGATACAGTTAAAATTATTTAGTTATTCATACCCTGAGCCAAATTACAAGCCACTAAAGTTTATTAAAAAAAAACTTAATATACAAACTTTTAAAAAACTTTTTTTTACTTTGCGCGTAAAAAAACCACCTCAATCATTTTTGATTGCTAAAAATTTGTTGCCAACATCAAAGATAATTTAATTAACCCCCGCGGGCAAGAGAAATTACTTCATTACCGCCCCTCGATAAAAAGTTACAAGACAAGACGTGAATTATCTCCTCCGGTTGTTGTGTTTTTTTTTTCGTGTTTGTTTGTTTGTCAAGCTTGCGATGCCGCAAACGAGGCTTATAAATATTCCACGACGGGGGTGGCAACCGTCAACCCACCCCCGTGGTGGTAACTGTGCGCGCGCTTGGGGCCGGCTGTAACGAGTGTGTGCTGTTGTGATTTAGGATTTACGATGTACACGACGTGCGTGATCTGGCTCGCCTTCGTCCCGCTTTACTTCGGCACGGCGAACCACGTCGCGATGCGCATAACGAGCATGTCCGTCACGATCAGTCTCTCGGCGAGCGTCACCGTCGTCTGCTTATTTTCCCCTAAGGTACGTTTACATCCTCATACCTTAACCTGGCTCTCGTAAAAATATAACTACTCTGAGAAAGAGTAGTCGTGGTACAAACAAGCTAAAAAAAGAAATAAAAAGCAAACGCGTAGGCTTAAATATAGGTTGGGTTTAAAAAAAGTTATGTTGGTTGCCTAATGTGTTTGTCTTGTTTAGTTGTACATCATCCTGATTCGCCCGGAGAGAAATGTTCGACAATCGATGATGCCGATGCGATACTCAGCTATTAATAAGAGTACAACTGCCACGACTAATTCAGGGGCGGGCAGTATGATGGCAGCAGTTACATTGACGGCAGCCACGTGCAATCAAAAGAATCAGATTCAGAAACACGTACCGCCTGGAAGCACAGAAGAAAAAGGTTTGTAATTTTTAGCAAAAGTTTGAATTTTTGTTAAAAAAATGTGTTTTAGATGGCGACAGTGGTATAAAACCGGAATTAAAAGATTCCAGTACACAAACGAATGGTTACATAGCGCCGCCACCGTCAGCTGCGGCCGCTGCAAATGGCTTAACCGCCTCACCAAACAACAACGCCGCTCCCAATGAGGAACATCCAGCACGCGTCAACAACAACTACAATAACGGACCTATATTGCCAATCAAAGGCGATTTATAGCAATTGGAAAAAGATGCCGTAGCTGCCGCCCCCGGCAGCCGTTCCTCCAGCCTGCGCTCGCGACGCAATCCCGTGCAGGTGTAGCCCATACTCACGGCGTTGCTCCAGCCAAAAGAGACTCATTTGTAATTTACATATCTAGCAAAGTAAAGAAACAAACAAAAAAAAGCGAAAATAAAATAAAATAAAATACAGGTTTTTCACAATTTAGCGTTAAAGATAAAGACAAGAACTGAACAGGGTATTGTAAATTTCGTTACTGTTAAATTTGATTGAGTTTATTTAATGCGTTCATGGAAATGATTTCTTCTCAAAAAAGTTCTTGTGATAACTCAATTTCATCTCTACTTTATGTAATAAAATCGGTGCTGTGACATTAAATTAATTCTACGTTGACTTATAGAACAATTTCAAATTGAATGTATTCTACTTGTGAAACATAATATCGTGAAGAAATATCCAAAATATTGTACATATATATAGATATATACTGTATGTTATCAATGTGACGATTGTCGGCCATGTTGAAGTATCAGTATCAATGTTACTAACGCCCCGATGTATGTATGGTTGCATACGTTATCAAGTAAACTCAAATATTGTAAATAGAGATTATAATAACTTAACATACTCAATAAGCTAAACTAATTGGTATTGATGTTGATGCGTTTATGGTATCAAAATAATTAACACTTCCAGAAAATTATGTAGAGTCAGTGTGCGAATGTGAGATTGTAAGAAATAACGAAATTATTACAAAATTAATTATCGACCGAGCGTGCGGTTGATGCGGAAGTTATTCGTGTACGCGTCGTCATTTAATGGGATTTAATCATAATCGCGCGTAATGCGATTTAAAGCGCAGCGCGAAAACTTTTCAACGGCGAGTTTAACTAAGTTAATCGCACGCGCGATTAGCGAGTTAAATAGTTTCCAGCTCGCGCCGGAACAAAAAGTTGCAAACATTTGCAAGTGTTTATTAATGTTTAATAAAATGGTGGAGTAAAGAAGGGAATAAAATGGCGGACGGGCAGCTGCGCTATGAGCCCGTGCAGTTGCCCGTCCTTTTCTACTGTGTATATCAAGCGCCTTGTTTCATTCAACTTGATTGTCGTTGGTGAAACAATGTTGAATTGTGCGAAGGAATAAAGTAATATTTCAAAATAATATTTTTGTGCAAAATTATATTTGTGAATTTAAACGTTTTTGTTGAATTTGATTTAAACTTAATGATCTAACTAAATCTTGTAATAAGAATCTGTTTTCGTCGGCTGTCTTTTATTTATTTTATTCTGCACATAGATTGCGTTTTGTGCCGGTTGTTGATTAGTTCGTGTCGCAGTTTTCTTGCTTTGCTTGTGCGTTGACTTGTTTTCAAGGTCGTAATTCTGTAAGGCTAAGTTATATGGATGTTACCGTTTGGGTTTAAGTCAGTTTACGATTGCTGTTGAGTAGGGTGTGCGGACATGCGCGCGTGCCACCACTGCGCACTCCTGCGCGTCTCCGCAGGCGCGCGTGGCTCAGTCCCTCAGTCGTGTCGGGTTACTCGTTGATCCTAGTTGTCGCCGTGCGCGTGTACGTATCTATTGCACTTCGCCATTTTAGTTCGGTAAGCATCGCTCGCGTTTACTAGTTACAAACGGATATTTTGCTGTGCAGTGGATGAATCTTGCATTACATATTCCCAACACGATGGTTAGCAGCTATGAGGTAAGCGTTGTAATTACAAATATATTGAATAATTATTTCATAGCCACTATGCATGTTCTTTCTTCAATTTGATTTGATATTGTCGTGCGAAATTATTTAATTCCTGTTCTCTTTCTGTTTCAGCACTTGCATTTGATGTGCGTTGTACGACACACTGGTAAGTTTATAATTAAATTATTCCTAATACTAACATGGCATAAATATAATTTGATAATAAAATTGTTGTCGTTTTCTTTTCTATGTGCTTATCGGTGTTTGTGTATAAACAACTTTTTCATCGCGTTCAACTCTCGCGTTTGCCGCGTGCCGTTGCAGTATTCACCGCAGGTATTCAAGTTTAGTTTTACGATAAATTAGTTTCTGCCTTTTGCATGCTTCTTCAAATTTATTTAGCTCAAGAGTTAAGACGTTAACGTTATTTACAATACGTGTATACCGCCCCCAAAATTATAACGGTTACAGACTTTATGATATTTATTAAATTTTTTTTCAAACTCGCGATGGGAAATCGGCTGTATCTCTGGAAGCGTTCGTGCGATTTTAATTATTCTTTCAAATTTAGATAGCGCAAAGATATTTTTTTATATAACACGCGAACGCGGTGTCACAATAAGTTCGGGATAATTTTTCCAGATGCAGAATTTAATTCTGTCTCTCCCTGTATTGAAATTTATTCCGAGAAAATTCCGTATCGCGAGTTATATTGAAAGTTGTGTGTATAGACACTAGTACTCGTTGCGCTTGGAATTGAAGTGTTTTTATATAACACGCGAACGCGATGTCACAATAAATTCGGGATAATTTTCCCAGATGCATAATTTAATTCTGTATATCTCTGTATTGCAACTTATTGCAAGAAAATTCCGTAACGCGAGTTATATTGAAAGTTGTGTGTATACGCACAAGTACCCGTTGTGCTTGGAATTGTAGTTTCTTTGATATAACACGCGAACGTGGTGTCATAATAAATTCGGAATAATTTTCCCAGATGCAGAATTTAATTCTGTATCTCTCTGTATTAAAATATATTGCAGGAAAATTCCGTAACGCGAGTTATATTGAAAGTTGTGTGTATACGCACTAGTACTCGTTGTGCTTGGAATTGTAGTTTCCTTGATATAACACGAACGCGGTGTCATAATAAATTTGGAATAATTTTCCTAGATGCAGAATTTAATTCTGTATCTCTCTGTATTAAAATATATTGCAGGAAAATTTCGTAACGCGAGTTATATTGAAAGTTGTGAGTATACCCACGAGTACTACTCGTTGTGTTAGGAATTGTAGTTTCACCCATACACACACTTGCTTGTAGGTAATGAAGAGCGGCCTGTTAATGTGTATGTATGTAACCGAAACAACTTAGATATGTTTATTGTTTATTATACAAAAAAATTAAATGAATCATTTATTAAATACTGGTTTGTTTCGTGTATGACTTTCGTTGTTTTCAATTTCATTGCAATATCAACCTTGTTGCATATTTAATAAATGTGTTTTGAATATTTTTAAATTGATAAATATTTTCAAAGGTTAGATGGCGCTACGATGTACGGTTTTGCATTAAATATTACTTGTTGGTGGTAGTTAGTGCACATCGTGTCCGTGTGCGATCACGCGATTTCGCGCAAGAGATAAGTTTGTTTACCTGCTGGTATCGAATCTTTATTTCGTGGAATCAAAACACACCGTTGCCGTTTATTATACCAGCATCGTAAATTTAAGCAAATATTCTTCAATTCTTTCATGAATATAACTAACAATTTTATATTAATTCTAATACATTTTTATTATCAGCAGATTATTACGGATTAATGTGTTACCTGATAAACGAGAAACGATGCATGTTCAAATTTAAATATCACTGAAATATTTTATGTAAAATCTAGCAATCTGTCTGCATAAGAAATCAGAATTACTCAAATGGAATTGTAATTTTTTTATTACCTTTACTATTCTAAATTTCGAAACTTCTGCATCATTTATAGATTGCAATAGCATGGACTAAAAATTGTAAAATAAACTTGTATTGTTTACTTCTATATATATATCAGCAAGCGTGAACTTCGACACAAGAATTGTATTTGTTTGAATACAATATACAATTTCTTATCGCATTGCCGTGTGTCGTCGTTGCCAACACCTCACGCCGCATGTTGTTGCATCTTAGTTTAGTTTTGATCCCAGGTCTCTGATTGATTCAGACGTATTTTGTGCGACTCTTATCGTTTATCCGGATTTCTTCTACCACCAATTAGTATTATATTCGATCATCAATCAACTATTTAATTTTAACTTGACTTTAGTGACTTTAGAACAGTTATTTATTATTATCATTTGGATGTAAGAAACTTTTAACCAAACAGCACAGATTATTTGTTTTTCTCCGCTGTGTGATTACACTATTATTTATGTTTTCTTTTTTTTATTTTCAGTATTTGTCGTGCCTTGGAGTCTGATGCGTTCTATACTGGTAAGTTTATAATTCAATTATATATTTCGTTTTATTTTCTGCGTCTATCATTACTTTGCATTTACTTGTTTTTTTTTTCGTCGCGGTCCACCGCCTTCTACAATTCGATTTGTTCCTAATTATCTCTTTTAGTTTACAAGATATTCGCAATTGAATAAAATGGGCAAAAATTGAAAAATGTCACTGTTTAGCACTTGTAGTCGCGTTTCTCGACCCTTTACTGTTGGAAATATAATGAAATTATATTTTTATCTGATAGAGAATTTTCCAATCTTTCATAATCAGCAACTCGATGGTTGCTATCTCTTTTAGTTTAAGAAATATTAATTATCGAAAATCGCCGATAAAAATGATTAAGCATCTTTCAGATTTCTGTTTTAACTAGCTTGTCTTAACAGAATAGTCCGCAGATTAAGACGCTGCGATCAGATCCTATTTATCTCTTTTAGTTTACGAGATATTCGCGATTGAATTAAATGGGCAAAAATTGAAAAATGTCACTTTTTAGCACTTTTAGTCGCGTTTTTCGACCTTTTACTGTAGGAAATATAATTATTTTATATTTTTGTCTGATAGAGAATTTTCCAATCTTTCATAATCAACGGTTCGTGGGTTGCTAGCGCGTTTAGTTTAAGAGATATGAATTTTTAAAAATCGTCGAAAAAAAGTATCAAGCACCCCCCCTTGGCAATTTTTTCTTAAGAATTAAAATTTCATTTCTCACATTTCCGTTTTAACTATCATATCTTATAGAGATAAGTTCGTAGATTAGGACGCTGCGACCAGATCTTATTTATCTCTTTTAGTTTACGAGATATTCGCGATTGAATAAAATGAGCAAAAATTGCAAAATGTCACTTTTTAGCACTTTTAGTCGCGGTTTTCGACCTTTTACTGTAGGAAATATAATTATTTTATATTTTTGTCTGATAGAGAATTTTCCAATCCTTCATAATCATCGATTCGTGGGTTGCTATCGCGTATAGTTTAAGAGATATGAATTTTTAAAAATCGTCGAAAAAAAGTATCAAGCACCCCCCCTTGGCAATTTTTTTTTTAAGAATTAAAATTTCATCTCTCACATTTCCGTTTTAACTATCATATCTTATAGAGATAAGTTCGTAGATTAAGACGCTGCGACCAGATCTTATTTATCTCTTTTAGTTTACGAGATATTCGCGATTGAATAAAATGAGCAAAAATTGCAAAATGTCACTTTTTAGCACTTTTAGTCGCGTTTTTCGACCTTTTACTATAGGAAATATAATTATTTTATATTTTTGTCTGATAGAGAATTTTCCAATCTTTCATTATCAACGATTCGTGGGTTGCTAGCGCGTTTAGTTTAAGAGATATGAATTTTTAAAAATCGTCGAAAAAAAGTATCAAGCACAATTCACACTTTCTTATCGCATTGCTGCATCATATTTTAGTTTTGATTGCAGGTAATAAGTAATTTTTACGTAAACAGCATAGATGTTTATTTTTCTCTGCTGTTTGAATATAATATTACATTAATATAATGTTTTCTTTTCTTATTTACAGTATATGCCGTGTCTTGGATCTGCATTGGTAAGTGTATAATTCAATTATATTTTTCATTTTAATTCCTGTGTCGCAGATGCGTAATTTAATTCTTCATTTCCCTGTATCGAATTTTATTGCGAGAAAATTCCGTAACGCGAGTTATAGTGATAGTTGTGTGTATACGCATATACGCAATAGTACTCGTTGCGCTAGGAATTGTACTTTTTTAATATTATAACCCGCGAACGCGGTCTTAAACTAAGTTCGGATTAATTTTCCCAGATGCGGAATTTAATTCTTTATTTCCCGGTATCGAATTTTATTGCGAGAAAATTCCGTAACGCGAGTTATAGTGATAGTTGTGTGTATACGCATATACGCAATAGTACTCGTTGCGCTAGGAATTGTACTTTTTTAATATTATAACCCGCGAACGCGGTCTTAAACTAAGTTCGGATTAATTTTCCCAGATGCGGAATTTAATTCTTTATTTCCCGGTATCGAATTTTATTGCGAGAAAATTCCGTAACGCGAGTTATAGTGATAGTTGTGTGTATACGCATATACGCAATAGTACTCGTTGCGCTAGGAATTGTACTTTTTTAATATTATAACCCGCGAACGCGGTCTTAAACTAAGTTCGGATTAATTTTCCCAGATGCGGAATTTAATTCTTTATTTCCCTGTATCGAATTTTATTGCGAGAAAATTCCGTAACGCGAGTTATAGTGATAGTTGTGTGTATACGCATATACGCAATAGTACTCGTTGCGCTAGGAATTGTACTTTTTTAATATTATAACCCGCGAACGCGGTCTTAAACTAAGTTCGGATTAATTTTCCCAGATGCGGAATTTAATTCTTTATTTCCATGTATCGAATTTTATTGCGAGAAAATTCCGTAACGCGAGTTATAGTGATAGTTGTGTGTATACGCATATACGCAATAGTACTCGTTGCGCTAGGAATTGTACTTTTTTAATATTATAACACGCGAACGCGGTCTTAAACTAAGTTCGGATTAATTTTCCCAGATGCGGAATTTAATTCTTTATTTCCCGGTATCGAATTTTATTGCGAGAAAATTCCGTAACGCGAGTTATAGTGATAGTTGTGTGTATACGCATATACGCAATAGTACTCGTTGCGCTAGGAATTGTACTTTTTTAATATTATAACACGCGAACGCGGTCTTAAACTAAGTTCGGATTAATTTTCCCAGATGCGGAATTTAATTCTTTATTTCCCTGTATCGAATTTTATTGCGAGAAAATTCCGTAACGCGAGTTATAGTGATAGTTGTGTGTATACGCATATACGCAATAGTACTCGTTGCGCTAGGAATTGTACTTTTTTAATATTATAACACGCGAACGCGGTCTTAAACTAAGTTCGGATTAATTTTCCCAGATGCGGAATTTAATTCTTTATTTCCCTGTATCGAATTTTATTGCGAGAAAATTCCGTAACGCGAGTTATAGTGATAGTTGTGTGTATACGCATATACGCAATAGTACTCGTTGCGCTAGGAATTGTACTTTTTTAATATTATAACACGCGAACGCGGTCTTAAACTAAGTTCGGATTAATTTTCCCAGATGCGGAATTTAATTCTTTATTTCCCTGTATCGAATTTTATTGCGAGAAAATTCCGTAACGCGAGTTATAGTGATAGTTGTGTGTATACGCATATACGCAATAGTACTCGTTGCGCTAGGAATTGTACTTTTTTAATATTATAACACGCGAACGCGGTCTTAAACTAAGTTCGGATTAATTTTCCCAGATGCGGAATTTAATTCTTTATTTCCCTGTATCGAATTTTATTGCGAGAAAATTCCGTAACGCGAGTTATAGTGATAGTTGTGTGTATACGCATATACGCAATAGTACTCGTTGCGCTAGGAATTGTACTTTTTTAATATTATAACACGCGAACGCGGTCTTAAACTAAGTTCGGATTAATTTTCCCAGATGCGGAATTTAATTCTTTATTTCCCGGTATCGAATTTTATTGCGAGAAAATTCCGTAACGCGAGTTATAGTGATAGTTGTGTGTATACGCATATACGCAATAGTACTCGTTGCGCTAGGAATTGTACTTTTTTAATATTATAACACGCGAACGCGGTCTTAAACTAAGTTCGGATTAATTTTCCCAGATGCGGAATTTAATTCTTTATTTCCCTGTATCGAATTTTATTGCGAGAAAATTCCGTAACGCGAGTTATAGTGATAGTTGTGTGTATACGCATATACGCAATAGTACTCGTTGCGCTAGGAATTGTACTTTTTAATATTATAACACGCGAACGCGGTCTTAAACTAAGTTCGGATTAATTTTCCCAGATGCGGAATTTAATTCTTTATTTCCCTGTATCGAATTTTATTGCGAGAAAATTCCGTAACGCGAGTTATAGTGATAGTTGTGTGTATACGCATATACGCAATAGTACTCGTTGCGCTAGGAATTGTACTTTTTTAATATTATAACACGCGAACGCGGTCTTAAACTAAGTTCGGATTAATTTTCCCAGATGCGGAATTTAATTCTTTATTTCCCTGTATCGAATTTTATTGCGAGAAAATTCCGTAACGCGAGTTATAGTGATAGTTGTGTGTATACGCATATACGCAATAGTACTCGTTGCGCTAGGAATTGTACTTTTTAATATTATAACACGCGAACGCGGTCTTAAACTAAGTTCGGATTAATTTTCCCAGATGCGGAATTTAATTCTTTATTTCCCTGTATCGAATTTTATTGCGAGAAAATTCCGTAACGCGAGTTATAGTGATAGTTGTGTGTATACGCATATACGCAATAGTACTCGTTGCGCTAGGAATTGTACTTTTTTAATATTATAACACGCGAACGCGGTCTTAAACTAAGTTCGGATTAATTTTCCCAGATGCGGAATTTAATTCTTTATTTCCCTGTATCGAATTTTATTGCGAGAAAATTCCGTAACGCGAGTTATAGTGATAGTTGTGTGTATACGCATATACGCAATAGTACTCGTTGCGCTAGGAATTGTACTTTTTTAATATTATAACACGCGAACGCGGTCTTAAACTAAGTTCGGATTAATTTTCCCAGATGCGGAATTTAATTCTTTATTTCCCGGTATCGAATTTTATTGCGAGAAAATTCCGTAACGCGAGTTATAGTGATAGTTGTGTGTATACGCATATATGCAATAGTACTCGTTGCGCTAGGAATTGTACTTTTTTAATATTATAACACGCGAACGCGGTCTTAAACTAAGTTCGGATTAATTTTCCCAGATGCGGAATTTAATTCTTTATTTCCCGGTATCGAATTTTATTGCGAGAAAATTCCGTAACGCGAGTTATAGTGATAGTTGTGTGTATACGCAAATACGCAATAGTACTCGTTGCGCTAGGAATTGTACTTTTTTAATATTATAACACGCGAACGCGTTTTAAACTAAGTTCGGATTAATTTTCCCAGATGCGGAATTTAATTCTTTATTTCCCTGTATCGAATTTTATTGCGAGAAAATTCCGTAACGCGAGTTATAGTGATAGTTGTGTGTATACGCATATACGCAATAGTTTCGTTAGTATAACGCACGAACCGAATGCGCTGAAATTAACAACTGATTATATTTTTTGAATTATTATATTTTATTTTAGTGCACTTCAAAAATGTGCTATTTCAATTCTACACGCATATCGGGGTTTGTGTATAAACAAGTTTTTATATCGCTATAAACGTGCGCAATGCTTCCTCTCATGCTACGAACGTTCAACCGCTTCAGTCTGTTCTTACCTACACGCGGCTCGGCATCATTATTTTATAAATAAAATGTAGCGATTTTCTTCTTGTATCACCCTATGTTCTACTTTTCCTTGCGTTCTAGTGTAAAACTGACTAAATTTGTCGTTTCTGGGTCGTTTTCTACTTAAACTTTGTATTTTATTTTTAATTTTAGGAATTTCCTGTTTGTATCACCCTGTATGTTTGTTTTTCTTGACTTCCTATTATAAGTTTTCTAAATTTGGTATTCCCGACTGTTTCCTTCTTTGTACTATTGATTTTCTTTTTGTAACACCCTGTATATTTGTTTTCCTTAATTTCCTATGAAAAACTGTCGACATTTAGTGTTTCCTAATATTTTCCATCTTGAACTTGGCATTTTCTTTTGTGATGTAGTAAATTCCTTTTTGCAGCACCCTGTATATTTGTTTTCCTTGTTGTCCGTGAAAATTTAGCTTTAGTTGTTGTTTTAGGTTTTTTTTCTTTGCACTTTGAATTTTCTATTTGTAACTCCCTGTATATTTGTTCCCATTTTCACTCACGTAGAAAATGGTCTATTTCCTAATTTCTTTATCCCGGTAGTACTTTGCGAAGTGCAACTTGCTTGCATGTGCGCGGCTATGCAGGTCGTAAGTCTTGTTTCAATATGGCGACATGTATTTTGTTGACTTGTAAAATATAAACTTGTATTCTATTGTTAATAAATGAATAGTAAGATATATTGACTTCTTTGATTTGTGAACCTCCTCAATCATTTCAGGTACAGGTCTCTAAGAGAATTCCCTCTCTCAGGGGATGATCCCCACTATAAAAATTGTTAAGGTATCCTGTGTGATTTGTGTGCTCCTTCTTTCATTTCAGCTACAGGTCAGAACTGGTAAGAATATTTTTGGTGTGTCACCTCTCTTGAGGCGACTTAAAACTTAGAAATATTTTTACAAGACCTTATAAGGATTGTCCTTATAAGGAGTTCCCTCTCTCTGGGGGTGATCCCCCACCATAAAAATTGTTGATATGCCTGATAATTCCGGGGATGAAGCGCAGAGACATCGTAGCTGTAGGTTGGGCCGGGAGCAATGGACGAATCGAAGCAGTGGGCGATTGACCAGAGCGCCGGAGGCGCTCTGGGAGATCGACCGTAGACTGTCTTATAACGACACGTGCCAAAAAATTTAAAAATCTGATCCTCCCCTGTTCTCTTTCTTCTATCTCCTCCTCTTCTCTACTCTACTCTCTGTTCTCTTCCTTCTATCTTCTCCTATTCTCATTCTCTACTTACTACTCATATTCTTCTATTTCCCTGATCTCCCGTTCTCCTTTGACTTTCTTTTCTTACTTCTCTTATTGCCTTCACTTGTATTTCAATTTCTCATATATTTCGTTGCAATTCATATATGCAACCCAAATTACACCTGATATTTTTATATTTGAGAAAAATGACTTCTATACCTGAGATTCGATCCGTGTCTGCTAGCATGCCAGCAGGTGCACGTCTCCACTCGACCACCGAGTGTTTTTATCATTGTTATTTGATCCTTCTATATATGTTTCTGTTTTTATCATGTTTTTAAAAACAACAACACAATTCAAGCAACAGCAATGCATTATACACGCTTCACGCACATAAGATTTATATAAAATACTATATGATTTAAGACACCGATCCTGAAAACAAGAAAGAGGATGCCACGAAGGAATAAGAATTAGTTTATAACATTACAATGTGTTATATTGGCAACATTTAAAATACATATATCTTTCAAATAAAGAAAACATTGACGAATCTCAAATCTCGTAGCAATAAAGACTAACCTTAAAATGTGCGCATCTCCAATACTTCTTTATAGATATCGCAGATTCCATGACTCTCAAACTGGGTACCAGCGTTATCTATCAGCAGGAATTAATAATAAACCCTAGTTTTGCCAATATGCGAGAAGATAAACAACTGCCGATAAACACGCACGCGACGGACATAAAGACCAACACGGTTGCAGATAATTCCACAACCGAATAATACTTAGCGATGACCGACGGAACATCCCAAGCGCACAAGCGAACCGATGATTAATTGGGGTTGCGCTACATTAGACTGTTACGTGGGGCCGATGAAGACAATTACAGAATTAAAGTAAAAAATGCGAAAAGTCGCTACGAAGATCGAGTGACGAACAGAACACGTGCTACCCGTAACACAGCGCGCGATCGACTAAAGTGTAAAAGGAATTGATATCAGGCGTAAACAAAGCAGATAGCCCCTACCAGTACTATCTAAATAAGCAAGAAAACTGACGCGCTGCGCCGACAGAAGCAGCATAGCAGACACAAAACAAAATTTAAAACGTCAGGGTAGTATTTATTACTTTTGGTTCATTCAATTTGATTTGAGTAACGCTCTGCTTGTGTTCCAAAAATACTAAATAATTAAGTGAGATTGCTGAAAATTCAGCAGCGCACTGCACTTTCTGCGATCCTAATATCAAAAAGAATATTGTGTATAAACTCATCAGTCTGTAGTAGTAGGAACGCAGAAAGTGAACATAGACAGTTCCCGCCAGATTATTATATATATATTACTGCAATTAGTTTCTATAAAATTGCAAATAAAGCCTAAACGGTTAATGCTAGCAAAAAAAGTTACGAAAATTATTGATGTAGAATGAAATTGTCTAGGAGAATTTGAAAACAGGATTAAAAAATTCCAACTTATAATTTCGAGCATTAAGAAGAGAAATCTTTTGCCTTTTTTATAACAAAATCTTTCGTTAAAATTTTTTTTGTGCAATTTTCATCATTTTTTAATAAAGATGCCATCTTGTAGAGAATTTTTAGTTGTCGAGGTAATTACGATTTAATCTTCTAATTAGGAATGTTGAAAATAAAAATTAAATTCTTACATTCTCATGCGAGAATGGTCGGTCCTTCTACGGTGTCAAACTCAGGTGCAAAATTCCTAAAACCAGAAAAAATTAGTCCTTCGAACAAAAAATGCAATTTTGGAGGACAATTTGTGAGATAATCACAAAACTTATTTAAAAAAATAATAAAGAAATTAAATACTTACAATCTGATGCAAGAATGGTCCTTGTACGGTGTCAGACTCAGGTGCAAAATCACCAAAACCGTCAAAAATTAGTCCTTCGACCATAAAAATGCAACTTTGGAGGTAAATTTGTGAGATAATCACAAAAGTTATTTAGGAAAATAATAAAGAAATTAAATACTCACAATCTGATGTAAGAATGGTCCTTCTACGGTGTCAGACTCAGGTGCAAAATCACTAAAACCGGCAAAAATTAGTCCTTCGAACATAAAAATGCAATTTTGGAGGACAATTTGTGAGATAATCACAAAAGTTATTTAGGAAAATAATAAATAAATTAAATACTCACAATCTGATGCAAGAATGGTCCTTCTGCGGTGTCAGACTCAGGTGCAGAATCACTAAAACCGGCAAAAATTAGTCCTTCGAGCATAAAAAAGGCAACTTTGGAGGTAAATTTGTGAGATAATCACAAAAGTTATTTAGGAAAATAATAAAGAAATTAAATACTCACAATTTGATGTAAGAATGGTCCTTCTACGGTGTCAGACTCAGGTGCAAAATCACTAAAACCGGCAAAAATTAGTCCTTCGAGCATAAAAATGCAATTTTGGAGGACAATTTGTGAGATAATCACAAAAGTTATTTAGGAAAATAATAAAGAAATTAAACACTTACAATTTGATGCAAGAATGGTCCTTCTACGGTGTCAGACTCAGGTGCAAAATCACTAAAACCGGCAAAAATTAGTCCTTCGAGCATAAAAATGCAACTTTGAAGGTCAATTTGTGAGATGATCACAAAAGTTATTTAGGAAAATGATAAAGGGATTAAATACTTACAATCTGATGCAAGAATGGTCCATCTACAATGTCAGACTCAAGTGCAAAATTCCTAGAACCAGAAAAAAAGTCCTTCGAACATAAAAATGCAATTTTGGGGGTTAATGTGTGAGACAATCACAAAAATTATTTAGGAATAATTAAATTATTATATTAATAATTATAATTATTATTAATAAATATGTATTATTAAAAATAATTGTAAGGGAAGACATAAATTTTTATTTAATTTTAAATCATGCACACAAACATAAGAGTATCACACGCGTGTTTATCGGGTAGTGTATAATAGTACTTTTTATGTACAACTTCTAAGGCTCACTAATACATACAATTTTGGGAAGGTTACTTCACACTTTACATGTGTGTAGGACAGTAAAATATTACTTACTTCTATTTCAGTGCTACAGTGTTACATTTATAACTCAACACACCGCAAAAGTGAAATAAATAAATCAATGAGTTATTATATTAACTTAATAAATCCAAACAAAATTTTTATATAATTGTTTTATGTATTATATTTTATGTATAGTTGTGATGATATTGACAACCTACCGAGGCTAAGTTAACACACACGTGGATTGTAAAGCGTACTCTACACTTTATGAAGCACGTTTATATGTCAATCAACTTATATTTATTTCCTTTTCTGTGTTACAGTATTATAATTGTAACTCAACACCCTATAAAATTAACCTAATAGTTATATAAGTTATTACATTAACTTAACAAAAACAAAAATAAAATTTTAAATATTTATGTTTTATGTATCATTTTTTTGGTTGGTATTCGTGGTTGGTACAATTGTGACAATCTACCGAGGCTAAGTTAACACACACGTGGTTTGTAAAGCGTACTTGACACTTAATATAACACGTTTGTAAGCCAATAAACTTATATTTATTTCTTTTTCAGTGTTAGAGCTATAATTGTAACTACACTTTTTAGAATTGAAATAAATAATTATATAACTGATTTTGTTAACTTAATAACAACAAAAGTAAAATTTTATTAATATATTATTTATTTTATTACTTAGAAAAAATTGCACGAAAGGTTTCCGAGATACAGCCAAATTTCCACCGAGTGTTTTGAAAATTCACACAAGTCGTAAAAGTTAGAGAGCGATTATAAATGCCTATCACTTTATCTAAATTTGAAAAAATCATTGAAATCGCATGAACGGTTCCCGAGATACAGCTACATTTCCTCTGAGTGTTTTGAAAATTCACAAGAATCATAAAAGTTAGAGAGCAATTTTAAGCCATTTCTAGCGTGATTTTGGGGAGCAGCAATGTCGCATCCTATAAAATGCCTATCGCTTTATCTAAATTTGAAAAAATCATTAAAATCGCATAAACTGTTCCCGAGATACAGCCAAATTACCACCGAGTGTTTTGAAAATTCACACAAATCGTAAAAGTTAGAGAGCGATTTTAAGGTATTTTTAGAGAGATTTCGGGGGGTAGCAATATCGCATTGTATAAAATGCCTCTCGCTTTACCAAAATTTGAAAAAATCATTATAATCGCACAAGCGGTTCCCAAGATACAGCCAAATTTCCACCGAGTATTTTGAAAATTTACCCAAATTGTAAAAGTTAGAGAGCGATTTTAAGGCATTTCTAGCGTGATTACGGATGGCGGCTATGTCGCATAATATAAAATACTTCTCGCCCTATGTAAATTTGAAAAATAATTTAAATTTCAAGGACGGTTCCCGAGATACAGCAAATTCGGACCCAAAGTGGTAATGGCACATCGTTAAAAGGAACTCTAGCGCAATCTAAACATATGAATAGAGAAGGGAACACGAAATTATTGCAAACCATTCGCGAGATAAAATCCATCAATATTCTGAGCAACATGGCACGCAACTATGTATCTTGTGACATTGTAACTCAAAGGTAGAACGCGATAAAAAAAACTACATCTGGTACATACAAACATGCGTACATCGTGAATATTTCAATAAAAAAATTATTATAAACTCACCATTGCCAGTCAGGCCCCAAGGCATGGCAAATACTGTAATTAAAAGAAAATATTAGTTGAGGCATTCCATACAATATGTTATGTTCACTAATGTTCACAAATCTGATAAAATAGCAAACTATCAACACAACACCTAATGCATATAACAGTATCGAGATAGGTGTATGTGACTACTTACCCAAGCGCAAAGAGTCTTTCTAATGTAAACAATCAACATGGCTGCGACAAATGTTCAATTCACTCAACGACCGACATCGAACAACCCGCAATCCGCTGTGTTAGCTCATCGAACTGCGATCAAACACAATGGCGAACGATAACATCACAACCGCGAACGCATACAAAAGAAACTAGCACTTAGGAACATTCAACGCGCGATTAAAGATTACATTATACTATACTCGTACATACTAATGACCGGCTAATACATAGTTAATTGTCGAACAAATATAACGCAATTTATCGAATAAAAACATGAAAAATTATTCTAACCGCACGAAACACGCGTGCATGGAGCAACGACCGGCGCGAAACTACCTGCAATGCACCGAAAAAACAAGCAGAACAAGCCACAACACACGATATCAAAAGATAAGACGACCTCCTGCCGCAGCGCAGAGTATGAGATGCGCAAAACTTGTGCGTCAAGAACACGCAAATACGCGCGTTGAAAGAATAACAACTAAAACCTGCAACTCTAGCAATTCTTAGACCGGTATTCTTATTTCGTATTGCGTATTTCACGGAGGCACGATTAAAGTAAAACACGTTGAGCCAATTGATAAACTATCAATGTCAAATTAAATAAATACTAATAACATTTACTAAGCAAAACTACTTATCATTTCTCATAATATTTGTATACAATTTCTTTAAATGCTGTAAATGTTTACAAAACTATTTAAATATAAAACAAAAATTGAAATGTTAAAATTCATCTAAATGTTACGGCAAATTTAGAAAAAGTACTTATAGAACATTTTAATTAATCAAACCATTTCACTAAATGTAATCTTTTCGTGGCATGTAAAATGCAGAAACTAATTACTTGTAATTACACACCTTCATTGCACTTATACGTATTCCAAAGCTATTACGGTGTTAATTGGCTTAACGTAAGCACCCACGATAATCCATATATTACACAAAAAGAATCTGAAACCTAAGTTTAAAATAGACAAAACACTTAATGTGATAATAGTTTTATTATAGCACATTTAACAACAAAAGAAAAACAAAAACAATATTATAAAATCTAGAATCTCGTCCGTAATAACCGTGCCGCCGCATACATACTCCACACGGCGGCACTGCGTGTGTGTGTGTTTACAATTTTATTCATGTATCGGGCATTGAAAAATACAAATAGATATTACAATCGATAATAATACAAATGCACAATGCAATAAGTAGTAATGTATATAAATAGTATTCTTGTGTACGCATGTGGGCTGTGTCCATGTATATCAGTGTGTGTGTGTGTCTAATTCGTTAATAATTTTTGGTCTAGTTTATTCATTAATAAATTCCCTACGCTCTACGAGAGATGTTAATATCCACTAGATGTGAAGATGGATTTCCTTTTTATGTGTAACAAGTTTTTAAATCTTTTTCGTAAACATTATCGTTGAATGTAGGCAACCAACAATGCTGGTAGCCTTAAAATTCATTAAAAAGAGTCGAAAAGAAAGCACTATTCAGCACTGGATTTGATCATCCAATTTACTCGTATTTACAATGCTCCTATAGCTGCTACGCTCAATGAACCAATAGTTTGGTAGTTCTTTTTGTTTACTCTCAGTCCGTTACAAAAGTGATGGCTACTTGCCTTACAAACCAATTGAAATGTGTTTTACAACGTACATTAGGTACAAGCTATGCAACCAGTTTAACAATTCAAGTGGTGTTGTGTATATTAATGTAATATACGCGAGAAATCGATCGGTTCATCATTAGTAATTAGTTAATTAAAGCAAATCTCTACTGATTGTTCCGTTACTGCTTATCATTCAACCAATCAACACACGCGAAATCGGCGTGTGGGTGTATGTTTTATCTGTGTTGCTCTTGTATTCGTTTCATCAATTGTTTTCAATATATAGTAATATATGTATATAATTATATTTATATGTATATTGTAATAGTAAGTTATAGCATCTAATAATATGTGATATACAATCTAATAACGTTTTCACCTCTCTTCAAAGGTTTTCTGTTTAGCTTCATTTGTTTCAATATAATTTAATACGTTAATAATATTTCGTTGCATTATTACACAAGGTTATCTTCGTTAAAATGTACAATTTCGGTCTTTGTTGTTTCTGCATGTGTGTGTGAGTGCATACTATACAGATAAAATACATAACATAATCAATACTCATAGATCAATTAGGCGTATACTTGGTTGCCTACGTTTGCGCTAGAACAATCAACAAGTTCAATCAATTCAATGCTATTGAAGTAAACGAATGGACGAAGTTTTGATAGTTTAAACGTTGAATAAATATTTATGCTCAAATAGTTATGTGTTAATTTAACCAACAGGGTGTAAAAGAAGGTGCCTACGTTGGCCTGCTGTGCGTACTGCATACAATTCCGTGTCGATGACAATGAACATCATGAAGATGAAATTGATAATAAAAGATATCATATGCGAATATTATCAGCTATTAATGCTCTTTACTGTTTTAACTATGTTTATCTATTCTTTTTATCTCTATGTTAAACGCGAATGTTATGTTTGGTTTGCGTATGTGTTGTGTGTGAATAGGCTTCAATTGTTTTGTCGTGTACGCTATCAATATATGCAATATGTGCACGCGATAATCATAGTCATAATCGTAATGGGATATGGAACGATATGGATCTGGATGTGTGCACCATTATTTCCTGTTGAATATTTTTATGTGGTAGGCCTCGTTTCTTCGATTTTTTCGATGTCATAATTTGCTGCTTTTCCAAGGTAAATCAGGCAACCCAAATTGCAAGTTGCCATTTTGAAAAGGAGGAACATTCGACGCCACACTTGGAAAAACACGCGCTCTTTGTATGTATGTGTGTATGTATGAGATTGTGATGAATACGTCCTAGGCTCGTATATCATTAATCAACATGATGAAATCAGTCTTAATGAGGAAAGAAAGATGCTCTACGAGGTTTTGTAGCTCTCGTGATGTGTGGTAAGTTAAAGCCAGAAGCAAATCCTACTACACGATAAGTCGTTGAATTTTCTTTGTGTAAGTTCGCACGTTTGTTTCGATTTAGTTTTTCATTTACTTTGCTTCTACAAGGTCGACACAAGTTCGAAGGACTAAACGTTGAAAAGTTAAATACATGTGTGTGTGTGTGTCAAAGCATTCGAACAAACAATTATTTAGTACGTTAATATTGTCACGTTTTTAGCCAAAGAAATGCGCCGAATTTCATTGCTCGAATCGAATGGGCACTTTTGTTTCGCCACGAAATGCTCGCTTGTTTTAGATGCTAAAAATTGGCACGAAACAGACCTAAAGTGCGCCGAAAATGCAACAACCTAACGCCCTCAAACATAATGCTGTATATAAAGTTCGAAACTGTTACCTGAGTGTGACCCATCTGTTTTCTACCAAACGCGCGCGAGTGTATGTTGGGTTGCCTACGCATATAGATTCTTACATAACCTCGCATTTGTCCTTGGCGATACGGCTCGTAGTTTTGTTGCCCACCTGTAGGCTGACATTACGCGACTTCTCGAGGTTGAGCAGCTCCTCGAAGAGCTGCTTGACGTTATGGTTGGTCTTGGCCGACGTCTCCATGAAATGCACACCCCACTGCTGTGCCTGGCCTTGACCCTCGGTGGTGCTCACCTCGTGCAGTTCGGCACTCTCGTCGCATTTGTTGCCCACCAGCATGATAGGAATGGCGGTGAGATCAGGACCTTTCACCTCCTTGATCACCTCCCAGATGGGACGCAATTCTTCTAGGCTTTGGCGCGAGGACACCGAATAGACTAGAATAAACGCGTGCCCTTTGCTGATCGACAGCCGTTGCATCGCCGGAAATTGATGTGATCCAGTTGTGTCGGTGATTTGCAGTGTGCAGATGTTTTTGTTACAACTTATAACCTAAAACGACAAATATCACATAACCTATACCGGTAGCCTTCAATGTCAATGACATTTGAAGGTCAAAATGGCTCTCACTTGACGATAGGTGTCCTCGATGGTGGGAATGTAGCTCTCGCGAAAGGTGCCTTTGACGAAGCGCAGGACGAGCGAGCTCTTGCCGACGCCGCCGGCGCCGAAGACGACCACGCGGTAGTCGTTGCTTTGCTCCGGCATGCTGGCGACGCTCGTGCACGCAGTCGTCGTCTCCTCAATGTTGACTGGCCTGTGCCGCCTCGCGGGGGCACTCACTGGTAGATGCTGAAGAAACCGAGCTGCGGTTGTTTACAGCGGCGCGCGACGCACGCACACGCCATTCGGGCGCTTACTTAATGTCCGGCATGTTGTCCACCGCACAATTGAACAATCGGAATAACGGTGCCCACCGGTGAAACAATCGTCGTGTTTATCGCGACGCGCTTTTGTCTCGACGGCTGGTTGAACGGTGGGATGCTTCGATGTCGACGGCAACAACCACTGCGCGCACAGCGGTGAGGTAAGTGAGGCGGCGAGTGAGGCACCGTCGTCGCTGCCGCCGCCGCCGAGTGACGTCATTCGGCGTGATTGCGTTGCACCCCTTGGCGCGTGTATTGATTGCCCGCCACCGCTGCCGCCGCCCACGCGCACGGCATCTCGTAGCCGCGTCGCAACTATTTTCATTCATAATTTCAAACGACGTCACTCCCGGACGCGCACGTCTCAGCTTACTCATGAAAAGCAACTTTGTACAAAACGTATCAGTTGCTTTATTTACTATTTTGTTACTTGCGTATCATGACATGATATGGCTTGGCCAAATATTATTTAACTTAGAACTTTAAAATGTGTTTGGTTACGATATCAATTCATATTCCCCTTCATTATCACATTCCTTAATTATGCTCATCGAACTTTCCGCCTGCAGAACAATGATATCCTCATCCCCGGATGACGAATCCTCCGCTTCAGGGACCTCTTCAATTTCTTGCTTGTTCAACTGTTGAATCGGAGTTTTTTTTTCGCCCTGCAATTGCAGAAGTGGCGATGGCTGGTCGGAAGCGGAAGTAGAAGGAGCGCTGATTTGCTGAGCAGGCAGGGTAATATTGATTGTCCTTGGATTTCGTTTCCGCTCCTCAGTAACACTATTGCTATTACCTCCAAAAGAAAACCCTATTAGATGGAATAGATGAAAACCGAACGGACTGCCAAACATGAATGACAATAAAACACATCCTGCCATCAACAGACAAAACAAAAGTAGAGGTATAGCTAACGTCGCCGGAATCATCATGTACCAAGGCACTACACCTGCAAAGGTTAAACATTAAGGTTATATTTCTCAAGTTAGGTTATGTTTAGAAGTACTTACTAAAGACACCGGTGAGAAGCTTAGAGAACGCGTTGCCTAATTTCTCGGCTGGGGCAAGCACAAAATTACCAAACTGAGTACCAAAGACTTGAGAGGGCGGCACTGACCAGAAGAATGCAATGTCTTTGATTTTATGATATTTCGCACAATTATCGTGCCCCTTGAAAAGGTACGAGAAATATTGCATATAAGACATGTTCTTCACGTTGCATTCAGGTGGGACAGCATATGATGTGTGTACCAATTGCTCCAGCTCCTTTTCCTGTGAGGAAAAAACAAAAAACAATAAATTCAAGGTTTTAATAAAATAATAAGGTAAATATGAAATAAATCATATTCAAATGAATAAAATGCCTTACCTTCCACAAAAATATCCATGTGAAAGCAAAATCAACCAGATACATCAACCCGAAGAAGCATATCGCAGCTCTTCGCAAATTGAAATTGTTTTGTAGTACTTTATATAAAAACCAGAAAAGCAAACAGCCTCCCAGCACAAGTGCAAATTCAATAGTTATTAGTTTCATGTACAAATAATCTTTCCATAGAAATGCTTGAAAACTGTATGTGTTTTCCACATTGGTGAACATCTTCCCCAGTAACTTATCCATTTGTTCAAAATCTCCCGAAGTGGCACTATTTTGAATTAGATTCTCCAAGAAACTTTGCATAAATTTATAATCTTCTTCTAATAGTTGCACATCAAAATGGGCTCTATACACCTGGCCAGTGTTCAGCATAGATTTCAAAATCATATTAATTGTTCTGATGTAATATGATGTAATAGCTGATGGAGGGTATTGTTGAGATGAAGGCAGCAGAATACCATTTGATGGACAGTCACAAGGTAGTCTTGGATCATCTTCCATGCTGTACGGATCGATCCATTCTGTCTTACCATAAACATATGGTGTTACAGCTAATAATAAGCAAGTAAAAAATAATGAATTTAAACTTCGCGACATGGTCGCAGTTGAGGTTGTAACCGTTGCAACCGAAATTTTATTATGCTTGAGATTGTATAGCTTTGAGAATCACAGATCACATTATATATTATTGTACATAAGAAATAATCACTTTAAACGTTTAGATTATAACAGTTTACATTTGAAATATCGTGTATAAACTTGTATTATCTGGTAAGCGCACTATCTTCCATAGAAACAACGTGGGTTATAAATGCAACCGCACACATCTGAATGACCAAATATTCTGCGCAGTATATTTAAGTTAGGCAACTTACAATGCAGCGGTTTGTCTACATTTGCTATATTTACTTTAAAATCATTAAATTACTCACCATTAGCAAGTTGACACATGATTTATAATTAGTTTATTCTAATTTATGTTTAATGTTTTGTAAAAAAGACGTTAAAAGTTATTTTCTTTGGTATTTTATTTTGCTTTGTTTGTGTGGTTGCATTTGACGCATGTGCGCAAACAGCTGTCTACTGTCCGACATCAGCTGTTGTCTATTTACGTTTTGCGTTTCATGTGGCTCGTTCGACTGAAAACCTTCAACTGCTTCAACCGCTCTCAATGGAACAACAGTGCGACAAAATGGCAGACGTGAAAGCCCTGGAACATCCAACTCTAAAGGTATTTACACTTTCATTCACATCTACCCTTAACATTATCGATAATAATAATATTTTTCGCTGTATACAAAAGGTGCCTTACGAAATTTTGAATAAAAAATTTCGCACGGCGCAGAAAACGCTCGATCGCGAAGTCTCGCACGTCCAGACGGCCGCAGCGGATATCGAAAAGGGTATCGTGACGGGCAACATTCCGCCCACTGATCTTACCAAACTGCTCGGCGGTATGGTGGAGAAACTGCAAGTCCTCAAACGTAAGGCCGAGGAGAGCATCGCCGAAGAACTCCAGGCTACAAACGTGGTCAAAAAACGTATTGAGCATCTCAAAGGGCACGCGACTGTGACTTCCAGCGGGACTGTTAGCCAGGGCGCGTTGAATCAGTGGCGACGTCAACGTCTCGACCGAATGATTATCGAATATTTTCTACGCAATGGTTATTACAATGCCGCGTTGAAACTCGCTGATAAATCGAATATCAACGACTTGACCAATATTGAGATATTTTTGACCTCCAGAGAGATTGAGAAGAATCTCCTCAACCATAATACTATTAAGTGTTTGCAATGGTGCCATGAAAACCGATCAAAATTGAGAAAACTCAAGTCCAATATGGAGTTCAATTTGCGCGTGCAGGAATTTGTTGAATATATTAGAGGGGATAATCGAATGGATGCCATTAGACACGCGAGGAAATATTTCCCCTCCTTTGAGGAGGAACACTTGGAGACAATCAGAAAGGTTATGGCCTTATTAGCATTTCCTATAAGCACTGGTGAGTATTATTCATTAACTGCTTCAAAATTTAGTTTCGTGCATGAATTTTGAGTTAATTCTACTAGAAATATGAAAATATTGGTTATGTTATGTTATGATGCTTATAGAAATCGTCCAGTATAAAAAGTTACTAGACATTCATCGCTGGGATGAGCTGATTGAAGAGTTCCGCCAGGAAAACTACAGATTATATCAACTCGCGTCCCAATCAGTCTTCACAGTGGCCTTGCAAGCTGGTTTATCAGCACTGAAGACACCATATCCTTTTCTGCAATTTTATATAATCTAGTTACATTTCTAGGGATTTTTTTCTTTGATATTACCTTAACCAATGTTATACTCAGTGTTACACAGTGAACTGCGAGAGCAGAAACCCGGAGTGTCCGGTTTGTCAGAATTACCTGAACAAACTGGCGGAAGTCTTGCCGTACGCACATTGCTCACAATCCCGGCTGTATTGTTTCATCAGCGGCTTGCCATTGAACGAAAATAATCTCCCAATGATGCTCCCGAATGGTTATGTTTACGGTGAACAGGTTTGTAATACAAAGCTATGTGTGCATCATTGGTTGCCTATGTTTGTAATTTTTGACAGGCACTGGAACAAATGGCACGCGAAAACAATGGCTTGGTAATCTGTCCGAAAACAAAAGAGAGCTACCCGTACAAGAAGGTAGAGAAAGTCTACGTGATGTAAAATATATCACAGCTATAAGTTTATGAATGTGAGTGCAAGTGTAAAAAATGTGATTCTAGACTCGATAAGATTTTTTCAGAATATTATTTCTTCCATGACTTTTTATTTTTAACGCTGTCAATAATTCTTGACTGGCAACTAAGTTTTCATTTGAAATGTTTAGAAAGTAGATTTAAGTTGAAACAAAAAAAAAACTAAGGACATATTGTATAATATAAGTAATGCCTATTTGAAATCTTGAGATTTAAGCAGATTTAAGAAGTAAAATAAAAATTTAGACGAAATATTGTAAAACGATTCAAAACTTAACATTAACAATTCTTTCCTTATCCAGCGGGCGGTTTGTTTCTGGCCACATACAGCGTGTCCGTGTCTCATCCATGGCGATACATTTACAGCGTGTCTTAAGTATACATAAATATTTGTCACCGTATAATCTTGCTTATGATATGATTAATGATTTTTCGTTTTGATTATCCTAATCTTGGTGAATGAATGAATGAAAAACGTGTGTGGATACCTTAATTTAGGTTAGGCAAAAGATTTTACAAAAATTTTACATAGAAAACCATCTGGCAGTACATGTTTCAATAGTTTACGTGTTCTTGCTTCGTTTTTGTGCGGAATACAATAGTTTCGAGTGCGTGGTTTAAAAATTATTGTTTATCGTTATTGTGGCTGCGTACATATTGTATATTCAGAGACAAATTATTGTCTTGCCTTGCATTTCAATATTTCAGTTCAATTTGCATATAAAACGCTACCAGGTGCCATACACGGGTATAAAAAATATGGATTTACAAATTTTCGTAAGCGTTGGCATCCGAACTAAGATACAAACTTAGTTTTTCAAAACTTCGCTCTAGTTTTTCTACACCCTGTGTTTGGTTGTGTGTATATTGGATTGCCAATCTTAGTCGTGTCGAGGACTGTGGGTTGCATAACTTTTCATATACATCTGTTCACATCAATTTCACACTCACATCTTCAGTCGGTTCCCCTAATCATTGTAAAAGTTGTAAAACTTAAAACTTAACATTTACGATTTCTTTCTTCATTCTAAATCAACAATACATCTACTATACCAATTATCAACTTGATTCAGATTCATAATGATTGTTTGAGCACATTTTTCTCGGTTACGTTGGTTGGTTTGTTTGTTAGTTTTTTATGTTTGTGGAAGAACGAGGTATATCAAATAGTTGTCGTTATGGAAAACAACGCGAGTATAAATTCAAAATAATCAAAACATTGTGTACGCTGCGCTTCGGCTCGTTATAAACGTATCTGGAGTGTTTTCTCCGCGCCGTACACCAAACACTTGTGCTAGTAGCCCACATGCGCAATAAACCACGGCCAGATGAACGCGAAGCAGATTCCGCTGAAGATGCCTGTGATCAACGCAGCGGCGGCAAACATACCGGCCGTTCCTTGATATTTCGTTTCCACAACTCTGAAAATTAAAAATTTAATGTAGGCAACCGAGTATACACGAAGCAGCCATTTTGTTTAACTTACTTTGGCGCGTACATCATGCCCAACGAGCTGAAGTAACCACTTGTGAGACCCATAGCGGTGGCAATGAGCCAATACACCCAATCATTAGTGATGAGTACCGGAAGTATGCGCGTAACTTTATCAAGTTGATAGTTGCACATCAAAAAGAGAGGGATAAAAACAACCCTCAATGCAACAGGTATCCATAGATATTTCGGACCTGGAAATTGATAAAAACCAGCGAGGAAACTGCCCATCATCGCCCAGAAGTTAAACGTAAGGAAACAAACTACACTCTCAAAGTATGTGGTGGTCAGGAAAAAGTCCGGGTCGCTCATTTGAATATCTAAACAAAAAACGCACAAATGTAAAATCAAAATGGCGGTTGACACTTACCCAACCTACTTGCATGAACAGACGGGAAAATCGACAATGTGCAGAAGAACACAAAGAAGATATTCCACAACTGTGGCAGGCACTTCTTGAAGATATAGAAGTAGGGCACGCGCGTCTTTCGGCCGGAATTCTGCGAGATCTGCAACTGCGCTTCCTTCTGTTCCTTGAGTTCATGATGGCGATAGAAGCGCTGAAAATTGCCAATTTCCGGTGAGTGTGTTTCCGCCATTAGCTAACTAACTTACGTTCAGCGGCAGCGCAAAATAGGTGTCAAAGCAGACGAGCAGCACGAAGAGCGCTGTGATAAAGTAATAAATGGCGGACATTCGCACATTGGACGCGAACGTGTCGGAGAGGATGCGAACGACGGAGGTGAATGTACCGCTCATGTTTGAACCGAGCACCACGGCGCCGGTGTACTTGATTGGCAATTTCGCCGCCATGCCGAAAATTGTATTCTGGTAAATACCATTTGCCACTGGAATCACAAAAAAATAAAAACAAGAATTAAAAAACGCCAGTAGATGTCGCTACGGAACGTACTGTTTAATATAACGACAGAAACCATTGTAATCCAGAAGAAAACACCGGGCCATGATGAACTATCACTCATTGCCAGCGCAATCGTGAGGATAAAAATGACCACTTCGATGCTGATGCTCCACACGATACGCGTGGTCAAGTTGCCGCCCATTTGCACGAAGATGTTCATCCAGTTGAAGATCACATTGGGCACTTGTGCCGCAAAGGTCAAATACTGGAGGAAAATCGACGCGTATGCAAACTCAACATTACCGATGTATGCTTCGGAAAGTTTGTACCTTGTAAAATACTAAAAACAAAACATAAAAAATGCAAAATTTAACAATTTTGTGAGTTTCTAATGTAGGCAACCAAATAATCATATTTTTAAATACAACTTACACTGATTGCAGTGATGAACATATTCCACGGCATAAGCACACCGATGCCATGGATGAGGAAGGTGATGTACACCAGGTTGTATTTATCACGCGGCATGAACGTCTGCAGCGCGGCGTCGTCCATGTTGAGGTTCTTGAAGTTGAGCTGGTCTTCAGGCAGATTGTTCTCTTCCCATGACTGTTCGAAGCGCACCGGTTGCTGCGCCAGCAGCGTTCGCTCGTCGGCGTCTGCCCCAAGAAAAAAGGAACAAAGAAATTGGCGCGATGTTAGAAAACTGGTCGGATGAGAACCGGAACCCCGAAACACGCGCGCACCGTCGAGTAGGGATGGTCGCAAAATGAAAAAAGACTTCAACACAACGACGCCAACGAATGTGTCGCTGTGGCAGTTATCGTTATTCTACGTTCGTACGCGAAAAAATATGCTGACCACGCTGACCTGCTGCTTAATTCTCGCTTGCTTTATCAAGAAATTTCATATGCAATAATTGAGTGTCCAGACAGCACGGAATGAATTTGTTTATAACTCACATCATAACGATATTTAATCATGCTGCGCTGTCAGAATAATCTCGGGTAATTTAATCTGAACTTAGAATAAAAATAAGTTCAATAAACACAAGCCGCAATGAAAACTTGAGTAATCTGCGTGGTTTATGAGGGAAATAAAAAGAAGAATCCTGTATTACCGACATAAAACGAAAAATGTTTGCTACTCAAACAATTTTTCAATCGTGCAACAGGCAAGTTATCGATTCGTGGTCGGTCGTCAGAGAATGATTTGATTTTATCCAAGCGAGTAAAACCGTCAAGGGATGCTGGTTGCCTGCCGACGAAACGGGGTTAAATGTTGGTGACACCGAATTGGGACACGTCGCGCTGAAATAGCGCACATTATTAACCTGGATATTTCATTCGTTTTCCCATTGTGCCGTCGATATTTGCATTGAAAGCGTACTCAACAAGTCGGCGCTCGATCTATTATTCATCTGAGTTCTATTTATTTCGCATGCCGTCTGCTTCATTCAATAAATGATGGCTGTGTATGTTGGGTTGCTTACCAGTTTTTGAACGTATGATCTGCGGCGCATGTCCGTGCCCATTGTTGAGCAGCTCATGTCTCATATTTTGCATTTTTGACACAAAATGCAGAGATACTCTAGTAGTTGAATGTCTTGTCGTCGTCGACCGGGTTGTTGATGCAGTATCACAAACGCATCCACATCACTGTTATTCTGAAACAATACGAAGAAAAACAATAAAACTCTCAGCTTCGTAACTTTTTCCATGGAAAATCTCTAAAAATATCTCGAAAACGTGCTCGGAGGGATTTCTTTACGCGTTACAATCTATTATTAACTGGTAGCGGTCTTCTTTTATGCTCTTTGACTTTCTTTGATCGTTATTTCTGCGATTCAAAACGTTCAGAACCATTTGAAGTTGTGTAGTGTTACGCTACTGGTGCATTGGGTGTTGCCTATGATTGCATCTCTCTTTGTCGCCTGTTCACGCCCCGAAATCCGCTTTTGCTTTTTATTCTTTTTGTGCAACGCCGACACTTTTATTCCTATCTTTGCGTACTTATTTATAATGCGCGCTTTTTGTGCCCGCAACGCACGGGATTCCTTTCCGCGTACGTGCTTTATTTACGAGACCGGATTCCCTTTCAAGTTGCGTCGGGGAGTAACAACCGTGCGGTAAAATGCGGAGGGCGCACGAAATCTAGGCCACAAACGCAATTTTTCCACTCCGGTGGGTAGGAAAAAAAAAACGAACGTTTACTGCATTGCGTGAATGTCGTGAACTAATGAATTATGTAAAATTGTGCGCCATTATCGCGACAAAAGAACCACAACAGGTTGGATTATAGAGTTAAATTTAAGTGGTAGGCAACTTTTTATACTTTTTAAGTTAATATTTTTTTTTCAACGCACGGTTAATGGTAATATTATACGAATTAATGTGAAGTTTACTATTACAATACTGGTTATTTTTTCGTCTTTTTTAATTTAACGCGTAGTTTTTAATAAAAAGTTGCATAATTAATTTATTTTTTGTTTCTTGTAATTGCTATGTGTCGTATACGCCAATAATTCTCAATTTTATGTTAGAAAAATGAAAAATGCTAAAATTGCACTTTAGCGCCATCTCGATATGAATTATAGAACAATAAATGTCAACTTTAACCCCTCATTTAACCCCCTTCAAGTTATATTTTCGTAACAAAAAGTAGCCTATGTTATGTTCCATGATCCAAAATATCTCCATACCAAATTTTATCAAAATTGATTGTGTGAAAGCGTAGTAAATCAACAAACAAACCCACATACCAATTTATAATATTAGTTCCTATAATACATCGTTCCTAATGCAATTGCTGATTTGATTTTGTGAACTTGGTTGCATACGGTGAATTGCACATCACAATACACCATAATAAAATAATACTCTTATAGGCCTTCCTAATTGTATTACAATGGCTTACAAAGCATTAAAAGATTAAAGATTGACTGGAAATCATTACAGGGTGCTTAAATTAGCTCCCACAGTGAGTTAGTGAGTTTACGAGCAGGCGCGTTCTCAAAGCGTTTTGTTTGCGCTCCATTGCGGCGCTTTTGTGCCGGCCGACAATTGAACTTGTTTTCGAACAATAACCCCACAAACAAACAACTAAATTACAAACGCAATGGACAAATATGGACAAAGAAATCAAAGCATGGGAGTCCATTCAGCGAAACATTTATTGCTAGTGATAAAGGAAAAATCATAAAGGTTAATTTAGGTTAGAATACTGAGCTATTTGCTATTTCCTGAAATTTTTAATACTTAAATTAATTTATCGTTTTGTGTATAAGTGTGGCAAGGATGAGTTACGAACGTTATCTATTTTTAATGAATTGGAGCGTGGAACATATTAATGGTATTAACTAATATGCTTGAACTCTGTACCTATTGAGAAATTGAACATGAACACATTGTTGTAATTAAATTAGCAATACATTAGTTGTGTGGATGTGCTAAGAGATTGATTGATTCAATAAGATTTGATAAACATGTTTTCATATATCTAATGAAACATTGTAGCGAAATTGTAATAAAATTAATCGATTATTGCGTGTTTATGTCCTGATTTGAAACAAAATAAAGAAAAAACTACAAAAGTATTTGTAATTGTTTGAAATTGTAACGACACAATTGTTGATAAAAGTGTTGTCACGTAATAATTTTAATGATATTGGGGAACTATTGTAAATTTGCTGTAAAATTTTGATATTATCAAATAAATCATATGTAAATAATCGATTTTACCATGAAATTTGCCCAAAGATGGATATATAACGATTAGCTACCAGGAAAGTATATGATTTCAGACTTTAACATAGAATAATACGTTAACTAAAAATTTTTCCTTGCACGTGGTCGCCTCCATCATTCAATGCAATGTGATATATGAGTATCAATCACGTACCCGGATATTATTATTTGTCATATAATATAAAATATATAATTTGCAAAATATTGACAAAACACTTATTGATATTTGCACATCAAAACCAACTAAATACACACACTCTACAAACTATTTTTTAGATATATTAAATTGTTTGCTGCAAATATATGCAATTCGTTCAGTTTATCCAAAATTCCCAACAGGAAATAACATGTTGATTATTCAAACCAAACTCTGCACATGTGCGAATGAATACTCATTATTAAGCCAGCACGTACACCACTGACACAGTCGATTATATTATCATCATATTTGCCTTCACATAAGCTTTGCTACAATGTGGTCACATACAAAACTAATATTTGTGTTGTTGAATATGTAAATTAGTAAACGAGTCGTAGGTACTTACTTTCTTACTATCAGGAATGTATGTTCAAAAAACGGAAGTGGAACGACGGTTAGAATACTACAGTATCTAATATGTATAGCAATAACGGTTGGTAGTTACGCACTGACCAAAAATGTGCTTCGATCGTATCGAAAAATATTGCATAAGTGTATTCATATCAAAAAATGATTGATTGATTAGAGATACATGTATTGTCATTCAATTCAGGGCGATATCAATAATGTCACAATTACTTGAATTATGATAACGATTTTTTTGCGGTCAGGAGCATAGCTTAGGAACAATAGGAACATAAATTTTGTGATATATTTTTTCGAAAAATAAAAATTACTAGTTTTATAGTAATTAGAGCAGCATGTAACTAAAGTATTTTAGTCACGGTCTTAGCCGTCCGTGTTTAAAATACCACTTTTTGTGTCTAAAAACCGTAGCAAAACTGGTAGTTTAAAGGTGAAAGTAGAAAATATCAATTATTTTTAAAATTTTAAAGCCTAATTAAAAAATAAAATATACCCTATTCAATAATGCCTTATACCTAAACGAGAGTAATAATTTTCAGCAATATTTGCATATAACTGCGTATAATTTCACATAATTTCACAAGAATATGTCACTTTTCAAACAAGCTAGATTGCATTACTGTTTTTGTACACCACACTTAAAGAGGGAATTGCCTTGTGAGTAGTTTCAACGTTTATTATCGTTTAACACATAATTGGCAATTTTCCCTGGCTGGAATTTGCTGTTTATTATTCATATTTGCTAATAAAAAAAATTATTTCCAACAGTTAACGACTATTTAAATGATGTAAGTGAAATTTTTATTATTTTTATCAATTTTTGTCAATTTACTTAAAAACATTTCCGTATCCCAAAGGAAAATATTTGCGGAATTTATGAATCAGAACTAAGCGCAACATTACACAACCCAAGACTGAGATGAAATACTGCTGAAGTTTGTGGCTTATGTTGTTGATTTTAGATATTAATAGAAATAATGAGGCTTGGAGGCTTAGAAACTACTCTAGTTTCCAAAAATATTCGCAACAAGTTAACTGATACAACGAATTTAATAAATTTATAAGTACAGAACGTGGGGGAGTTGAATTATTATAACTGTTACCAGCGTTATCGCCAATCATTAGCTGTCAGGAACAAACTCGGACTCAATGGCAGACAATAAGAAGCAAAGCAAAGACAGCCGGCAAATATTTGAACCGCGGAGGAATCATGAATGAAGGCGTAAATGTGTTGTTACGTTGTTAGTTCACCTGCAATGCAACAGGTTTAACTTTATACGTCACAAACAAGAACAGCGAAGCGAAGGCGTTCAATATGTGTTATCATGCGTTTACTTCCGAAGGAACATGGCGTCATTTTCGACATGTATTCATTTGGGTTGTCTATAGTGAAGCAAAATAACATAGTTGCATTCAGTATCTCATGCGTTGTTTACACTGGTCAACAAAAATAATTATTTTACGCTCATTTAAGTTATATTTTACTTGTCAATTTATTATTTTATCTCTTGAATTGAATTATAGTTGAAAAATGTATAAATCACGTCTAGATTTATTGAAAAAAAGAATTTTTAAGTTGTAAAAATTTGTTATTGAAACAAAAGGAAAAAATTTTTTGAAGAATGTGGTTTTGTGATGCACCGAAGGCAAATGTGCAGGCTCAAGCTCCACTCCGTGACTAAAGCCCGTGACTAAAGTACTTTCTGAAGTTTTAAAGTAACAAATTCTACAATTAACACTTTATATCCAATAAAATAGATAATATTGAATTATCTAAGACACAATCAACTTCTCTGAGTAGTTTGTTTGTTTCTGTCACTTCTTGCACTCCCTTCATTAAATCCAATTACTACTTTACTCAAAACCTAAATTGAAGTGTCCACCATTCAATTGAAAACCAATCCCAAGTGATAAAATGCAACTACAGACGCGGACGGATGCCACGTCTCGACAAAGTTTAACTAACCGAAGAGCAATCTCATCAACTGGATAAACTAAATAAACTGAACACTGAACCTTAAATTAAAACAAATGTGAGTCAAGATATCCAGTCCATTCATTGATTCAAGTGCATACGTATGATATAAAGTCACAATTGTCCAAGTACTCTCACAATTCGAGAGTTTAATCTCAAAAAAGAATGTGTTGCAACGGTTGCTGCACTGCAAAGCAGCAGAGAATGGGGGATCCAGAAGAGGCGTGACTGGTTGTCTGCGCAGCGTGTAAAAGAGGCGACGCCGACGCCATCGACGCCAACGCAGAGACGCAGGACGCAGTATCGTGCAATTTAAAATTTAAATTTATTTTACGACGCAATGCGGGGCCGGCAGTTATTCCTGTAACCGTTGCATTGTATATGATAGTATTGTACTTACAATGAAACTTGCGTATTTAATTTCAAAAAAGTTATTTTAGACTATTGTTCGACTGATACGGAAATAATAAAAGTCAAAAACTAATAAAACACTTCTCAGATAAGATATATAATACGTTTGCACAGTGTATTTTTGCACGTAGCAGTAGCACGTTTACGTTTACAGTAGCGCAGAACTTATATTTCGTTTATTTTTAGATTTTAATTAATTACTCGTGAACTAATTAACGTATCTTAATTAATTCTTCAAAAATCTGTTTATTAATAAATTGAGAATTGAATTATAAATAATTGTTGTTAAAAATAAAATTTTGTCAAAAGTTACAGACAATTTTGTGAAAATTTTACGAAATTTGCCTTTAACTGTTAATAACTTTTCCTATGATATGATTAGATTAACCGTCTTTATGAATATGCATAGAGAATTTAATACAGAATATACTCTTGCTTGAATTATAATTTTAGCACGTATAGCTTTCAAGTTATTAATTAATAATTAATATAACCGGTGCTTCAAACCTCTTACGCTTGCTTGAAGCGATAATGGCAATTAGAAATTAATTATTAACTCATAAACCAATGAAGTTATATTAATTATTTTAAAAAAATCAATTCTTAATTAAATTCTACATCAAACTATAGAAAAAATTTTATTAATAATAACTTTAATAAAAAGTTACAAACCTTTTTCTAAAAATTTCACGTTTTAATACAAAATTTTAAACTTTAGACGCGAATAACTTTTTCATTATTAAACTTATAAAAATTATTTTCACGCTGGTAGAAAAAGAATTTAATTCTGAATCTATTACTGTAGAAATAATTACTTTTGCACTAAAAATCACTGAATAATTAATGAAAATACATCCCGATGGACCATCTCTTGCTAAGCAATGTGAAGTAACTTTATATTTTTGTTTTGAACGTGAACTATAAAGTTATTTTGAGTCCAGACACTCCAGAAGCATCTGCAAAGCTATGCGCGGGGTATAATTCGTTTAAAATTAGCTCGTCGAATAGACGCACACTTCGAAAATGTCATTAGCGACTGTGACTGCATTTACATTCACGTTTTACAGTTAGAACATAACAATTTATGCGCCACACCGGTTGGGTGAAATAAGTTGCTAGTCGGTGTCATCTAACATGATAGACGAAGCAGGCATACGCGTACATATCAGGATCGGCAAGTTTCTTAGGTTGTGACTTTAAACCAGAAATTATCACTTCACATTCGACGCGGTGCTGTCAAGCGTAGGCGTGCTTTTTTAACGACGTTGAAGCAGCAATTCTATGAAATTTTATAATAAAACTGACGCAGAAACAGAACGTAAATTGCGGAAGTTGTTTTATTTTTATCATGTGTGTGCTAAAAACGTTTTATACGACTTTTTTAGAGTCCAAGTGTGGAACGTCATACGTACAATATGATTGGACAGTCATAGACACCACCAATCAAGGGAGAGAGACGGCCAAGGCCGTGACTAAAGTACTTATATCACATAGTAATAGAGAAATGCATACAGAATTAAATTCTGAATCTAAATTTGTTAAAATCTGGTTGATATTTTTTTTAAGTTAAGAGTTACACACAATTTTGTATAACAATTTTGTATTTCAAAAAAAGTGAAACTTTAAGTGATTATAACTTTTGCAGAAATACCTAAACAAACAGTATTTTCATGAAATTTGATGTTGAATTTATTTCAGAATCTATTTCTCAAATCATTTTAATTATAACTTGAATAGTTCTTGAGTAATTAATAAATAACTAGCACAAATGCATCATCGCTGTGTCCGCAGCAAGTAAAACTTAAGTAAGACTTATTGTCGTTTGTAATACTACTTAATTATTCAAAAACAAACAGTCTTACATTAATGAACTTTTCACAATCTTATTGATTTCTAAATTCTCAATCTAAAAATAAAATTATTGTATTGATTCAAGTTCTATATTAAAAGATACAATACAAAAAAAGTGTTTTTACGTTTTTTGTGAATTGAAACTTTAATTGTTTATAACTTTCGTTGCAATAATGCAACAAACATCATTTTTTCGTAGTATGATGTAGAATTAAATTCAAAATCTACTACTGAAAGAATCGTAATTCTAACCTTTATAGTTTTCGAGAATTTAATAAAAATCTAAAATATTGCACTATGCATACTTTTGACCACTACCATTAGCAACAATGAACATGCATTTTGTAAAAACGTGAACAAAGCTTCCGTCCACGTGACCTAACACAAAGATAAGTACTAAAATACTACATTAAACCCAATCTACAACTAGTATATTCCTCTATAAACATTGTTCAGTACTTTTGTCTAAACGCTTGCCCACCTGCAGTCATAATTATTTTAAAATTACACCTTATGCATCATGCGATTCAATTTGACGATGTAGTCAAATTAAATCCACGCAAACTCTGTGAGCATAAGCATTAAGCATTAAACATTAACATGTTAAATAAACATTTCCTAAAACTCTGTACATAAAAAACTCTGGATTCCCAAGCATTGCGTCAATGACAATCTAAACATAAATATTAAATATTTATCAACTACTGCAATATGTACATACCAACACAATTTTGTCCGTTTTTTTTTTTTTCATTTCACTCTAAATAATTTGGTTTCTTTCTGGGATATGAGACCGCAAACCCGTGATCGTGATGAAAAACGCGTCTGATTCACACGGCGCCAAGGGAAAACCGCATGAATAATTCCTGGATATCGATTTACAACCAACATATGTTCGCCATCCTTGCTGGTGCAGGACACGCCGCACTTTCGCTTCATTTTAAAATATTTTAGGTTAGTTTGGGGAATTGTCTAATTTAATTATTAATTTCACGAGAACTAGGTGAGGTAATGTAATTATTTTTTCAATAATAAATTAAACATTAAACGGATAATTTATAACCTTAAAAATTAATTAGAAAAATTACTTTTTTGAACAGAAATTTTCAAAAAAAAAAATCTGAATTAAATTTTTACCTTTTTGCTTTATAATTATAAAGATAAATTATTTACTTGATTGTATATTAAATATTAGTATTGCAACCCATTGTGTTGTCGAGTAATTAATAAAAATGTAAAAATATCAAACAAATCTTGTTTTTGTTTTTTGTTTTGTCTTCAGAACACATGCACTCCCATATTTACATGTTTACAAAAGATATCATATAAACATAATTTGTATAATCTTCAAACTAGAATAAGCAAACGCAAATGTTAATGCGTACTATCTTTGGAGTGTGGTCTCGCCTTATCAAAATATTTTAAGCCGGCCTAAATGCACATACCTTAAGTGTAATTGTTGCACGTTGTGAGTGTTGTTACCAAACGACTGCTGCATCCAAGAAACGGAACTAAACTAAAATTTCCGATTAAGCGATGCACGTGGTTTCGGCGTCTCTCATCGGCCAGTCTAACAACTATGATACATAATCACAAACATGAAGCGTTAGAATTCTGAAGGTCGTGGATACGCGCCGATGCTCACGACGTATAAATACACAATGCACAACACAAAATCGAAAAATGAATCATCCAACCGGTAACGTAACCGTTGTACTTCTTGAATCTAACTCGAGTTACTTGCACTCCGAAAGCGCAAGGGCCACTGTACGCGTTCGGGCGCCACAGCCTGCGTGCCCACTGCTCACTCTGCCCAATCTTTACTATAACTTGCGTTCGTGCAGTCGGCGCATGCGCACTGAACCCGTCTTCGAATACTTCGGGTGTTTTAATCTGCGTTACCACGGACAGCATAGCATAACTCTGCAAGGGTGAGGTAAACAACACTCGGTGGATTGTAACGCGGCGTACCTGAGTTGTGGGCTTGTCGCTTGGTTCAAGAAACGCAAGACACGAGAAGTCGATAAACTTGAATGCATAGCACCCACGCCTCTTAAACCCGCAGGGAAGGAAGAAAATCGGGGAAAAGCAATGCGTGAGCCGCATGTGTTCCGTGATCGCAAAGTAAACAGGTTTTTCTTGCACAATCAGCAATATTTTTGATTGTATAACATCTCGCTGATGTTGTTTACTTAATATTTGTATAAAAATCATGCGATATCACTAAATTAAACTATGTAGTCTGTACATATTACCTAATATGCATCGGTGTGATGGTTAACACCAGGTTTCGGTTTGATACCGATTGGTTTTCTCCATTTTCTCAACGAAATTCTCCGCTTCCTGTGGCGTAAGACGACCGGCGTCAGTCGCCACCGTTACGAATGCATCACGCACAGCGCGAGGCATATTTTTCGAATTTCCAGCGACCAGTACGTAGGCGCCTTCCTCCGATAACAACTTCCATAAAAACCCAGCGTTTTCAATGATTTTATGTTGTACATAACTAAAAAATATCACTGTTTTGGTTTAAACATTCAATATACTTGTATAAACTTACATTTTATAATCCTGATCCCGACTGAAAGCGGTCACCAGTGTTATCTTGCCATTTGCGTGCAGTTTTTCTTCGTCTTCACACACGAAATCTTTACCACGATTGCGACAGCCGAAGAATAACACGCAATTGTTTGGTCGCGCTGTGTTTGCTTGCACGCGTTCGAAGATAAAGTTCTTGAAGGGGGCGACACCTGTGCCTGGTCCCACCATTATCACTGGCGTGTCCTAACCTCAAACATTCGCATACTGTTACATACTGATGCAGACTAGGTATTATTCATTATTTACTTACGTCTGTTGGAAATTTAAAACTACCTTTCTTTACCCATGCACTCAACTTGGCGTCTAGTTTCAAATCAGCTAAATAATTGCTGGCTAAACCTAACCTTTCTTTAACCAACTTTGTTTTATATCTTACAACCGCAACTAATATATGAACTTCGTTCTCGTGGTATTTACAACTCGATGCGATTGAAAAGTCGCGAGGTTTAATCGCTGGCAGCACTTCAAACAGCATTTCTTTGGTTAAGTTTTTGGTCGCGTGGCGGAAATCTTCTAAAACTTCGGTGATATTCCTGCGTGGACGATTGCAATAGTTGTATAAATCGTTTTGGCCTTCTGCGGTGGTCAACTCTTCGCATTTTTCCTTCTCTATTTCGCTATCGGTGAGTTGGCCGAGAATTTCGAATGTGCGTCTTCTTGGTATTGCAGTGAGGTCGAAATATTCTTCACATAGTTGTTGGAAAGTTACTTCGTATTTCAAAAACTTTGGGATGGGCATTTCATGAGTGGTTTCGGTGATTTTGAACAACGTATCCGGCGGGATATTGACATTATTGTCTTGTAAAATGCGTTGAAATTCAGCTACTTGCGAGGGTAGATTACGAGGACGCAAGACTAGAACATCGCCAGGGGAGTATTTATGTCCAGGGCAAGCGAATTTTATTAGACGAACGTCCTAGAAATTTAAATTTAAATTTAGGTAGATGTGGGTAAAATTAATTACAGTTTCTTCTTTGTTCAGTTTTGTTTCTTCGGAATACTTTAAAACTAAAGAAAAAGTGGGATCTGTGATTTTAAAATTTCAATTTTAAATTTGCTTATCAAAATTCAATTAAAATGTATTATCTATCTCTGTGTTACTAGAGACTGGCTTAGAGTAACCTAATGTCTACGACTGTATTATTGGTGACCCGCAAAACGTGGTGGGGGTAACGTGAGCGTGATGGCAGCAGGTGTACCTGCTCGATCGAATCACAAGCCCCCACCCTCCCCCCACCACTTTTCGCAGGTATAAAAGGGCAGCGCGCAGCAGCCAAAGTGCTCAGACGTGCCTGAGTCGTCCTGCAGTCCAATCGCAGATCTTATGGTTCGGTCCTCGCTCTTTGGATAGCTTAGGTTCGCGCATATGAATATTTATTGTAAATCAAATATACATGACTTCTTAGTAGCGCGACTTATATAAATATATAAGTAAATTTAATAAAACATAAATTAACTTACTTGGAAATGATCATCACTTGTCATCCGAATATTTTCCTTCACAGCAACATCAAACTCATTCGATGCTCTTGTGGAATAATAAATAGATTGTTGCTTATATGCACCAGCTGCAGAAGGTTGCAGTAATGTAGAAGACACATTAAACCTAAAATAATAAATAAAACAAGAAATATAAGTCTAAAAGCCTAAAAAACGGATTTATGCAGTACCTTGGTATAACCTTTTGATTCTTTTCTAATACATGAACACCTTTTGGTAGTGGATACTCCAAAAGCAATGCTTTCCACAAGTCATCAATCCATGGATCAGCAACTGCATCATATCCCAACTCATGTTGGTCGTCTCCTAATCCCAAAGGCACAAGTGCTTGCCCTCCCAATTGCTGCAGACGTTTCTGTAGGCGTTTGGCAACAAAGTTGTACTTTACATAGCTTGAATCACCCAGACCCAAAATGGCAAACCTTTAAATCATTAAAAAAGCAAATTAAAGTGAATTACAATTTTAAAATTATAATTTTTATCTTACTTTACATTGACTAGAGAATTTCCAGGTAGACTCCTCCGCAGCAGGAATCGCCAGAAGTTCCGCATGTTGTCGGGTTCCTCGCCCTGTCCGGTAGTAGAACAGATGAAAATCACGCAGCGCTCCTGAACGAGCTCAACGACGTTGTACTCGTCCATTGAGCATACTTTACACGCGAAATAAAATCGTTTCGCTTCACGCCACAACCGCTCGGCCAAATCTTGAGCATTGCCAGTTTGCGAACCGTACAAAATCGTAAGCTTCTCATTTACAAACGACATCTTACACGAATATTCAACAAATAAAACTTCTTTGAGGACTTTGCACTTGTATTTAGCAATATCACAAAATCGCAAATATAAATTAATGGTTTAAATAAAAACTTGAATAAACGCCACGCTTTTGTTAAATATAAGTTAGGTCTTATGAAAAATGCGTTGTTAAATGCAATTCTAATTGGAAATCAAATGAAAATTACGTTTTAATACGATGCATGATTACAAAACATTTGACTTACTTTGAGGTTAGGAGACGAGACCATATGAGTGTCAGTCAGGGAAGGGTATTGTAAATGTGGAATGAGTAAAATTGACATTTCAAATAGTTTTCAGTCAGAAATCAATTTTTACGAATATTATTACATAACAAACTTAATTTTAATTGAAATATTAAAGTTGAAGTGTGTTTTTTGACTTATTTATCTTCTATTTCGTTATTTTCTGAGTTTAAAGTAGTTGTATTGTTTTCCGTCGTACATTCGTCGTCGCCATCTTGAATTTCTGAATTAGTTGTATTTTCTGAATACTCTGTAGTTATTTCAATAGTTGTATTAGTTACTTCAATAGAATTTGTAGTTGTTGTGTTGATTTCACCCTCTGATTCAGTTGTTTCAGTGGCATTTGTATCATTTTCATCTTCTTCGTCACCTTCTTCATCTTCCTCGCTTCCTGCTTCTTCTTCATCATCTTCATCGTCTTCATCACTATAATACTCATCAGAATCATAATCGTCTTCATCGTCATAATTTTCTTCCTCGTTATCTTTATCTTCTTCATCTTCTTCATCTTCTGCGTCAATATCACTTTTATCATCAGTTTCTGTTTCATTATCACCATCTTGTTCTTGATTATTATCAGTAGTTGATGTAACTGTTGCTGTTGCACCTTCTGTTGTTGTTGTGGTATTATCATCAACATTTACATCAGTAGTTATAGAATTATTAATTTCAGTAGTTTCTGATGTTTCTTCTGTAATTTCAGATATTTCTGTAGTTGCATCATCAATATAAGTAGTACTAGTAATTGTAGTACTAGTATCAGGGGTAGCAGTGGTAGAATCAGACAAATTTTCTTCAGAATCACTAAAAATAAACCCAAAATTATAATCCTCTGCTGTTACATTGCATTCCGGAGGTGCAAGGTTCAAAGCAAGACATTCATTTATCCTCTCATCCATAATATATCCATCTTTACACCCGCATGCCATTATGGGTGGCTCATCATCTTGTTTCACATCAGTTTGGCACGTGCGACGACAATTTACACAAAAATAATTTTCTTCATGATTAGTTTCGTTACAACACTCCGCACCTAAAAAATAAATATTAATAAATTCCGATATTTATTTACATTTGATTTAAAAATACTTACAAGTAATTATTATACTTATAATAAATATACATATTAAATTATTCATTCTGAGTTTGGCTTTCTTTTTTAATTTTACAGCAGAGTTTGATTGTTTCTGAATCACTAAAAACTGCGCACTTCTATATCTATGCTTTCTATGATTAACGCCGTGAAAATTACACTCAAATGTCCTTCACGTAGTTTAAGTTTAAGTTTTAATTCATAATAATTTATTCCGAAATAAAAGAGTTATGTTCGTTGTTTCAAGAATGTTGCTTATCAGTTGAGCAGTGCTCACATTTCCAGTCATTTCTAACAATTTCATGTTTCTGACGTAATTGATATCGTTATCACTGCAATTTTACATGCAGTTTTGTTTTTCTTTACATTGCTCGTGATTTTTATGATTCATTAAAGGGAAAAACATTTCTTTTTTTGTGCAACAAATGAAAAACGTTCAAAATATTTAAGTATTATCTAAGCAACACCAGCGCCTCTAGTGTGAGGATTATTAAAGTTGTAAAATAAAGGTCAAAGCACAATCTGGCCAACACAACCTCACAAAAACAACGTTTGTTTACGCGCTTTACAACGTTTATAAACTTTATCACAAATAATCATGGTAAGTTGTACTTGCAAATTACAATTTATTAGTAAACTAAATTTTTGTTTCTTTTTAGGCTCGTAACGCTGAAAAGGCGATGTAAGTGCATTCCAATGGTTTTGAAAGTGAATTCATTTTAACTCCCTTTGTTAAATATTTGATATTATATTAATTGCGCATAAAAAGGACTTTTATGCAATTCTATTTGCTTATTATATGACTTGTACTTTTGCAATTAATCACAAAACATTATATAATATTCTCATAGGACAACGTTGGCTCGTTGGCGAGCAGCACAAGTCGGTGAAATCGACAAACACAAGAAACGCCGCCCATACCTCGCTTCCGAATGCAAGTCACTCTACGCTTGCGAGAAATGGCGCATGCAAATCATCCGCGAGATTGCCAAAAAAGTCGCACAAATCCAAAACGCCGGTCTCGGCGAATTCCGCATCCGCGATCTCAACGACGAAATCAACAAACTCCTCCGCGAGAAACGCCACTGGGAGTCCCAAATCAAAGAACTCGGCGGTCCCGATTACTCCAAAATCGGTCCCCGAATGTTGGACCATGAAGGCAAAGAAGTTCCAGGCAACCGGGGCTACAAATACTTCGGTGCTGCCAAGGAACTACCTGGTAATGATTTAAGTTAAAATAATTTAATTTATTGACCGAGTCTTCATCACGAATCACATCCAATCAGTCGTTATTTGCATCGTCATCATTCACATAATATTAAGAGGGACATTGATCAATCAATCGCTTGGAGGGAGTTGAGTTATTTAACTTGTCGGCGCGTCGCGCGCCCTAGCGAATTAGTGTTTACACTAGAGTTGAAACATTCACTAATTAGCAGCTAATGGTAATCTGTAATCACGGGACATGTAGTAATTAAAATATTTTTGCTTCATTTCTGATGTGCACGGTTGCAGGCGTGCGCGAGCTGTTTGAGCAGGAACCGCCGCCGCCTCCGCGCAAAACGCGCGCCGAGATGATGAAGGACATCGACGCCGACTACTACGGCTACATGGACGACGATGACGGTATTATTATTCCTCTGGAGATGGCTGCTGAAAAAGAAGGTAAAGATTAAACAACCAATAATAATAAATAATATACTAATTCATGTGTTTTTAACAGCGATACAAAGGAGTATAGCTGAATACAAAGCGAAGAAAGAAGAAAAACTCGGTAAAGAAACAACATCCGATCCGGAGGATGAAGAAGAAAATATCTACGCAGTACAATCAGATGACGAAGATGATAATAAGAAAGATACCGGTGATGGCGCGCAGAGATACACTGCGCATGTGCCGGTTCCATCGCAACAAGATGTCGAAGCTGCGTTACTCCGTCGTAGAAAACAAGAACTCATGGAAAAATACGGTATTACACCGATGGAAACTTAAACTTAAACTAAGATAACTAGTAAGATTACAACATGCGCAAATAAATTAATTTTTTATCGATAAAATAAAATACCTTGAGAGTAAATTAAGCACTAGTCAAAATCCCTCTGCATAACAGCGTGAACTCGGTGACAGTTTCACTTAGTTTTCTTTTATTGGCCTTTTCTCGAAGCACCGCCTTGACAAAGTGCTCCTTCTGTTGTGCGTTCACCCTCGGCGATGGGAAGCCCTCCTGCTGCAGCAGCCCTTGCAGCCACCGCGCGAAATTATCACAGTATTTCTTATTCAACGCCAGTAGGATATCGGCGAGGACATCTGCGGACGCCCTTGGCGCTGATCCTATTAAAAATATAAAAAGTTTAGCCTTTTTAAAACACATTTTAATAATACTAACCTAAACAGAGTAAAACTCTCATGACTAGTGCCTCCCCGTAGTTCTGCACGACGGCCGCCTGTCCAGTTTCACGACTATGCGTAATAAAATTCACCAAAAACGATGTGCAAGCTTTAATGGCCGCCAATTCATTCATGCCTAGGCAAACCGTCGCGCATTGAAACAACGCCGAGCAATCAACGCCGCCATTTGCAATGAGCACAGCCACTTTTTTGAAAATCTGCGCTAGTAACAAGAAGAACCCTTCTATAAGATCGGTCTTCTCGCTGAGGTTATTTGTACTGTTCAATTGCGCGATTAACGTCAGCGATGTTGTGATAATCTCCGCTAACAAGTGCTGCATTGTAGCAATGTATTCAGGCTCTTTACCAAAAAGAATCATGGCCGTGCGTGCGACAACCAATATACTCGGCTGAGGTGTTTCACGATAAATACGCACGACCAAAGTTAAAATATCATTCACCAATGGCTTGGCATCATCCATCAATGTAGTCAGAGTTTGTTTCAGAAGCAAAGCCAGTACTTCAATCACCTCTGTGTTTGTATGATATTTAGATCCGATTATCGTGTATAAAGACATTGTATTCTGCACAACTAGTAATAGAGGTTGTTCAATATTCTGCGGTGGCATGCTATTTTCCTCATCAGCATCCAGTGGTACCACATGCAACGAACCAAACAACGCTGATAGTATTTTGAGTCGTGTCGCTAGGCGCACAGCAACCGCATCGCTTTCTGGCTGCGATAACAAGCTCTGAATCTCTTCGAATGACGGCGCAAGAATAACATTCAAATACTGCATGGTATTCGCCACGGGGACAATGCTCAATACTTTACCAACACTGTACATAATACGCACACATTCCGACAGCTTTAGATTACCGCCCTGGAGGCCATTTTGGCATGCGATTAGTATTTCCTCGGCGTATGGAAGTAAAAACTTTTGACAATTGTGCGTTAAGTCTTTCAGCGCCATCGTGGCGGCTGGCGACACTTCGGGATTAGTCAATCCTGTGATAACCAGCGGGACAACTTTACATAACATGTTCGGATGGTCCGCTAACCATTCCGAATACGAGCCCACACACTCCAAACAACTGCTCAGGACTTTCACGTGTAGATCATCATACGGTATTGTTTTGAGAATATGCATCAACTTGGGAAGGAAAAGATTTTCAAGTTCAATGCATTCGGCAACTGATGAGAAAGCATGCAGGACACTTTCGACAAGATTCCAATTGTTTGAATTGATCACACATTTTGTGAGCGCATCCTGCAGTTGCACGATGAGTATGTCCAACATTTCAATGTTTAACACATTGTAGCAGTACATGAAAGTATCGCTGATGTCCTGCCGGTAACATCGGAACATCTCTTTGTCATCCAGTGTCCAATTGGACGCTTCTTCACTGGATGGAAACATAGACTTGCGCAGCATTACACACGTCAACTGTCGATAGTATGGTTTGATGATTAGTAATAACTCTGCGCATTGTGCTGTATCCAATGATAAGATATCTTCTTGTAATGTGTACCAGAAACCAAACGTGACTGTACTACTTGTTTCATCCACTGGATAGGTTCCTGGTAAATCCGTGCATCCCAATATGCATCCGAATAAATCATTCGCGATCTTTCTGTCAGTCTCTTCGTTGCTTCTCAAACTACTCACGAATAGTTTACAGTGCGTATCGCCGATTGTTTCTATCAATAAATAAATACTTGTCATGATGTCCTTATTCAATTCGGCGCTGGCCTTCTCGTTGTTTAGGATTTTATTGAATTTGTCGAGAATGTTCGTCGTGTGCTTCATGACGTAGCCGGGGTATTTCGTGGTGTGTGGATGTTGTACTACTGCGGTGAGTGCCTCGAGTGTCACTTCGATGAGTTCCATTTCTTCGGCGCTCATGCATTCGGGGTCGGAGCGATTCCAGTAGACGAAACATGTTAGGTCGACGAGGAGATTCATGACGCGAGAGCAATCGTCGATGGTGACACCGCCGAGTTGGATCCATGCGGCTGCACAGCGCGATGAATGTAGATAGGTCGTTATGTTAGACATATCAAAACTAAAATAATAGGAATGTATTGTTTTTTTTTTGTAGAAATTATGGAATTAATGCTTACTTTGCATTTGGTATGGGGACTAGGCACATCTCCACCACTTTGAGGATATCTTTGGAGACTTCCTGGAGGACTGACTTGACGCGATGTCTTTGGCTCGTCGCGAGTGTTGTGCTTTCGAATTCTTCGGGGATAACGGTGAGAATCTCCAGCAATATCCATATAACTCGTTCGGGTTCGACGTTCGGGAGATATTGGGGTTGAAAACTGCTTACTAGTTCTTCGAATGCTTTTGGCCAGTGGTGGGGAACTGTGTGGATTATGTACGCAGATAACTACAAAGTTAAAATTAGTTAAACAAATGTTTTTGGTCATGTAATTGGCAAATATTGTATTTCTTTCTATTTTTTTTGCCAAACTACTATATTACACTATTATTACTCCACTAATTAATATTATACACAAAATCATCAACATTTTAGCTATTTTTGTAACCCTAGCAAGCAAATTGAGTCTTTTAACTTAAATTTAACAAAAACTTATATACTAACACACTTTAAAAACTAAAATTTATCAAATTTCAACTTACTGTAATGCAGAGACGATTCAAAACAATTTTGGGCCCCATTGCAAAGTTAACAATGGCATCCAATATTCTTTTCTTAAGATTCTCATAATGTTCCTGTGGCACTTCATCCCAGGCCTTCAAAATCTTATTGTGTAAAGTTGTAGCAGCAAAAAATTGTACTTCAGATGTCTAAAACATGAAAAATATAAACAAAACTTATCTGATAAACTAAATAAAAATGTATACCCTTTGGGGATGCAATAATTCCCACACAAAACTCCAAGCTTGAGGGGAATTCTGTGCTTCTGTGAGCCACTGATGCGCTTCTGCCTGCTGTGCCGCTTCCGATCTGTAGAATAGACACACTGCCTTCTCTAGATTCTCCGCTGTAAATTCCATCGCAGTGCAGTTCTTTTTGCACCTGATATCAGCTTATTTTGCAAATTATTTTTTCACAAATAACCTAAAAACCGCCTCGGGTATAATGCAGCGTTGATTAATTATGAAAACCTGATGTTTCGCGATAGCACTGCGTCGGTTTCATATTGCTTTTCCCACGACCTCCAGGCAAACGCAAGCATAAAGTAACCGGAGAAAATTGTTTGTTTTCCAGTTGGTCAAGTTTCGTCTAGGAGACCCAACCTGACAGCCGGAACCCGGAACAGCTGAACGGGATCAGCTTGCTGCATCGGGTATCACCGTTCATCTTCGACAAGAATGTCAAACAAATTTTAAACTTGCGCAAGCGCAATTATGATGACATTCTAAAGGTTAGCAATATAAAACATGAGTTGTACAATTTTAGCAATTTTTCATTTCTAAAAAGATTAAACATTTGTTCATCACTATATAAAATGCGCGGCACTTAGGAGGGCGCCACCAAAATATATAACTAAATAAAAAAGAAAAACATCATATTTACATATACATGGAATTCCTCTCTTCTCATCTGCCTTCGATTAATATATAAAAAAAAAACATTAAATATGTAATAAAATAAACACGAAACAAGTATTATCATCGGTGCGATAATGGCAGTAATAATAATAATATAATAATATATAAAGAGAACCACAGAATTCGAGAAATCAATGAGAGAAAAAAAAAACGCTACGGAACAAGACGAGGAGAATACGTCTCCGGTAAAATTATAGTCTTGTTTTGAAAAATACTTTTAGTTATTTATCCTCTTTAGATTATTTCGTACATATCCGTGATCGCGTTTGTTAGTTTTTGTTTCGTAGCCAATCAGTCTCGCACTTGGTTCCACACACTTTTTCGCTAAATTTCGCTAACACATATTCGAATATTCACAATTCCAAAAGGGGTTAATTCAATTTTAAGGTTAATTCATTTAAGTTAAGGTTAAACTATCCGCCATTTTGAATAAAAATCACTTTCTTTCTAAAAACATGTGTCTAACCCCTTATCGCCATCGAAAAAAAATGCAAATTTCACGCAACGACAAACTAAAAATAATTCAAAGCGCAGCACAGAGTTTGCACGCTGGCAAAGTGTGAAAGGTTGATCATTGAAGTCAGTTGAGATTGTGATGTGTTTGCTGAGTATTTCATGTCAGTATTGAGCATTTCAACTCCATGTTACCACTATTAACCTCTAAGTATATTGCTTTTTGTTTTGTAAATATGTTTTGATCAGTGTGTGACTTTGTTCGGTTTGTGTTCTAATTTTAGGCCTACCATGCTTACAAAATATCGTTATCACTCCTGGATCTCATCTACTTTTGCTTTGTGTCCGGCGCGTCCTTTGTTCGATCGTTTGTGAATAATAAAACTGGCATCGTTGTTGGCATCGCATTTAAAAAAAAATAATAAAACGAAAAGTCTACGCAATAAATTACTAGAACTGAGATTCGAATTCGAGAATTCAATTTTTCGGAGACACAAATAAAACTAGTGTGTACTTGTAGTACAGCAGGGTGTGAGTGAGTACTAAAGGCATCCGACGTCGGGGTGCTGCGATTGCGACTTGCGCGACTTGCCGCCCTTGGAGGACTCGACCTTTACCTGCTCGATGCTTGTTTTGCGCGGGTTGCCTAGCGTGACCAGCGTGCTAGCTATTGCCAAACCTGCTGACTGGCCCACTACTGTATATGGTTCACCACCTGACAAAAAACAGAATAAAATATTAATTGATGAAATATTCATTTGTTTTAAATGTATCACTACGAGCATTCTTCCACATAAAATAACTGTTAGTTAACGGGATTTGACAATAATGTCAAAATTTTACACTCGCGCATGCGCAGTAATATAGATCTATGAAATATGAACATGAATATGAAGTAAAATTCTATTTACCTGTGGGTAATCGAACGAGAAGACTTAAAACAGCGGCGCGATTGCCATTGCACGGTTCTAAAGCTATGGGACTAGGTGCATCTTTCTTGCTCTTGAGGCGGTCGAGTGCTGCAATCACCGCCGTATCCGTGTCCATCTTGTCTTTCACTTCCAACTCGACCAGCACCTGCGAGAAAGGCCGCGACGCCATCTGCTCCATCTCCACAAACAGACGCTGCCGCCGTCGATACATATCATATTTCTGTTTCACCTTCCACAGGAACGCCGCAATCAGCAGCAGAAACAAGAAACACCTACAAAACAATATAAATTTCAATTCATGAATTTTAAAATTTGTTTCTTGCTTACGTTGAAAATGTAATAAAAAACTGTTGCAAATTCAACTTGGGATACTGCGAGAACGAAATCTGTATCCACAGCGGCGGTTGAAAATCATACACGTAGACATGGAAGGTGGTCAGCGTTACATTATTCACCATTCCAAAGTTATACTCTGATTTGGCGAATCGCGACCGGAATGTCGTGCAATTCTGCGCTGTAAATATCGCCTTTTCCTCTTTCGAGTTTGGTATCTTCACAGTGATGTTCATCTTCGCCAGCACCGAGCAAGTGATGGTGAAATCAGCATCCACGTCGGGTTTGTTTGGCGAATTTCGGAAGTTAATCTGCGTATAGTGCCTGTCCTCCTTCTTGGACAGATTAAATGTGAATTGATAATCGATGGTCAGGTCGTAGTAACAGAATCCTTTGTTTGTCGGGTCGCCAAAGTAGTGATTCGCCGCGTCGCACTTTTCGCAATGATCACCACCTAAACCTTTAGTGGTGCAATAACATTTGCCAGTTTCGGGATGACACTGCGTCGCCTGGCCATTGCACTCACACGGTTGGCATTTTCCGCCATTCACGGGTGAGCCCCAATACCCAGGCATGCAACGATCGCAATGTGCTCCAACTGTCAAATCCTTGCACGGTAGACACGTGCTTGAATTACCTTTACAAGACGCATGTCCATTGCATTGACATACTGGGCAAGTTGTAAAATGCCAACGCTCCGATGGACATGTGCTGGATGGTAGTGACTGAGTGTGTAGAGTGGGTCCCGCATATCCGCCTGGCATACATTTGCCTAAACCAGTGCGACTACCATCATCGCACCAGCCGCATGCGGGATCATCTCTACATTGCGCACACGTTGAATAAAAGCTGCATTGGGACTTCTCTTCACTTCCACGGCTGCGGCACTTGCTACTCACAGTTGTCCACTCGCGGCATTGGCCATAGGGGAAGCTAGATGTGTAAGCGTTTTTATCAACGCATCTGCCTTCGTTCTGACACCAAATGCACTCTTCCTGAGTGCAGTTTTGGCATGAAGTGTACTCGGCGCACACTCGCGGACAATGAGTGCCAACATCGACTTCCACTTCGTTGGGCATTACTCCGCTCGAGTTGTGGACGATAAACGCCGTGCATTTGGCGGGTTCGTACTTCCATCTGCAAGTGTAGTTGGTTTCGTCTTGGGACTGGCATGCTTTGCAAGTGTGCAACTCTTTGCAATAAATTCCGGGATCGATTGGGCACTGATCCAATGTTGAGATTCCTTTCGAGTCCATCTCTTTGCAGCTTTTGTAAGTACATCCTTAAGAAATCAATGGTAAAAATTAAATCGTGTATTATATTAGTTTAATAACATACCTGAAGCACACCAAACGCAATTCCTCGTATTCTGCACGCAGCTGCTGCAGTCCTCCATGGACTTGCACTCGTCCTGATACTGATAGATTCTGTGCGCGTTAAAATTGCGACTCATCTCGGGACATTTAAACACAACACCGTCGTTGTTTAGTAAGTTCTTGGGTATCTCCTTGACATTAACGCATTTGGCGTTCTTCTGATCCCAAACACATTTTACCCCGGGCCGGGTGCCGAGGCACGCCTGCTGGTTGACTAGATGTTCACATCCTCCCGGTCGATATCTGATAATGTCCGATAGCATTTGTCCATCGAATCCACCATAGATATACAACGATCCTTCAAATACGGACGCTGAATGGCCAAAGCGTGCAAGATCGCTTTGAATTTGATCCGGAGCCGCAATTGACTGCCACGTGTCGCATATAGCGTCATAGGCCATCATCTCCGAACTGTAGCACTTAGCGCCGCCGTTATAGGACGTATCATTGTGCGTGTTGCCGCCGAAGACAAGCATCAGCGTGGGGCTAACAAACGTGGCTGAATGTAAAAAACGAGCGCTGGGCGCGTCGGCCAAAAGCGTCCATACTCGCGAATGCGGGTCATACGAATAGAGATTCTTGCTGAGTATTTGTGAGGATTGACCTTCTGAGATGACACCGCCATACACGTAAATTTTAGCGGTGTAGTAATCCCATGCCGCTGTGTGGCCATAACCGCCTTTCACTGGGAACCCGCTTGGCTTCACTATGTGCCATTCGCGGGTACCAAAATAATATTCTTGCACTGTATTTAGATAACCTAAATAGAATAACACAAGTTATTCCTACATTCTGCCTAAATTTTAAGAGTTTGACTTACCTAGAAGAGGCGAATGGCCAAAAATCACAATCATTCTGTCCGCCATACTGTTTTTAACATTAGTAACAAGTGTAGCAGTGTGTCCAGCAACGCGGAGAGGTCCACAGAGCAGATAACTCCCGTTACACGACACAGGCCGCACGGTGATATTCTCCCAAGACTTGGCGTTGATATCAAACGCCCATAACTCTGAAGTCGGACCGCGGTTACCAACAATTCCACCGTAGAGGAACAATTTATCGCCGTAGAGAACTGTGGAGTGCGCATATCGCATCTGCGGACCGTGGGTTAAATGCGCAGTTTCCCAAACATGTCCATTAAAATCATAAGTATAGAGCATACTGCCCTTGTTATAACTCTCGCCGGATATCACATACAAACTATCCTTCCACACAGCAGCCCCATGTGAAGCAGAACCAGGAGGAATAAAACCATTCGGTTGCACACTCTCCCAGTACCCATTGACGGTCAACTGTGAGCAGTCTTCTCCCTCGAAGCCTGCGGTACACCTGCAACCATCTTCCGGTTCGCAGGTGCCTCGACCCTCAGATCTGCCACAATTAGCCGGACATTTCTCCAAATGACAGGCGGTGCCCGTCCAATGACCATCACATGTGCATACTCCATCAATGCAGACTCCATTACCTGAACAATCAACTCCTGACACATTTGATGGACATGCATTGATTCTATAGGTAATGTTGAACCCAGACATATTAAATGCGTCATCGGAGAAGAAGTGCACTAACGCTGCGCCACTTTGCGCGACAACCTCAGGCACTCGGCGGATCTTGTAGGAGTCTTTGTACATCAAACCACTGAATACTGCTAGCAGTGGTGAGTTGACACTGTCCCCATCAAAGATGTATAAATGATCCCATCCACATTCAGTGGCAAATTCTTGAAGATGAATGGTTATAGTTGAGTTAGGCGCATCAATCAACCAGCTGCATTTTACTCCAATTGAGTAATTGCCAAAACCATCATGGATTGTTCCATTGGATGTCCCAAGCCTTTAAGAAGAATTTATTGGCAAATAAAATTCTAAGTATTTATAAATGTTATTGAATATATATTTTACCTGACTTTTCCTCCGCAGTATTGGCACTGGAAACCCTGCCAGCCGTCGTAGCAGACGCAGGTCTCGTTGAGGCAGATGCCGTGCCCGCCGCAGTCCTCTGCGCTGCTGCACTTGCTGTCCGCGAGCGCAAAGCAGCCGACGAAGACGACCGCCCCCAGCAACAGCAAGAGGCATTTTCTGCGATACTTGGATTTGAAGAGGAAGAGAAACATTTGCAATATCTCGAGCATTGTCGCTCACGCGAGCTCTTGCACGAACATAACTGTTAATCGGGCCATATTTAGTCGCGCATTCGGCGGAACGCGAACAATCGGCCAGCAGCGCTATTCACATTCGGTCTATTGAAGCACGCATTCGAGACGCTGATTTAGCGCTGCGTCGCGCACATTTTTCACGCCCGCGATCGGGAATTTTCACTTCACAAGCTTCGCATCCGCGACAAACTTCGCTACTTTCTCGCCTGTCGACTTCGACTGTGTTCTGTTTTCACGAAATTGACAGCCCACAAATATGTTTACATACCACGCATTGGAAATAAATTGACGCTTGTTGTGGCATAAAAAGAAAAAGGTAGCGACAATTCCAAGTGCGCTTCTTTAGCACACTGTATATCAGCGTTTCAATGTCAAAAGTAGTGGACAGCGCCATCTTCAATTTATTGTTTACAATTTTACTAACGGCAGTAGTTAGACCAGAAAAATAAAAGAAATTTCTAGGTACACACACAAAGATAAAGGATCTAAAGTCCTCTTTTTATCTAACCCTGTCGTTGAATATAACGTAGAAAATACCCTTACTTCTGTAAAAGTCAAAATGGATGTGTAGAGTCTCTCAAATTAATTTAAATTTATTTAAATTTGTTTTAAACCCCCTCACGATATATGCACTTCCTAAAAGTGAAAAGACTATTAACAACGCTAATTCTGCCAAATAAAACCTAAATTTGTGCTAAACGTACCTAAAAATAATCATAATAAACATAAAAAGTATTAAAAATAGAACAAAATCAATTTACACAAAAACTCCAATATAAATAATTGTTCAGGACAAAGTCCAATAAAGAACGCGGATTGGAGAGGACAAGGTCCAAAAAGGGATGTCTAGTCACCTCAATTTCTGGGGATTCTGAATAAACGCTACCTGTATCAACAAAGGTGGTTGAATGTCATAGAGATATACTTGGAATGTGGTAAACGGGACCACATTCAGATATCCAAATTTATACTGAGATTTTGCAAATTTGGCGCGGAATGGTTCATTCGAGCAACTCTGCCCGGTAAAGATTGAACTTTCTTCTTTGGTGTTTGCTGTCTTCATAGTCAGGTTCATCAGTGCCGGTACCGAGCACTTGATGTAAAAATCAGTATCCAAATTAGGTTGGTCTGGCGAAACCCGGAAATTAATCTGTTTATACTGCAGGTCCGCCTTCTTCGACAGATTAAATGTGAATTGATAGTTCATAGTAACTTCGTAGTAACATAATCCATTGTTTATCGGATCGCCAAAGTAGTGATTATACTTGTCGCAGTTTTGGCAATGATCACCCACTACACCTTTAGTGGTGCAATAACACTTGCCAGTTTCTGGATGACACTGCGTCGCCTGACCATTGCACTCACACGGTTGACACTTTCCGCCATTCACGGGTGAACCCCAATACCCAGGCATACAACGATCGCAATGTGCCCCATCTGTCAAATCCTTGCACGGTAGACACATGCTTGAATTACCTTTACAAGACGCATGTCCATTGCATTGACACACTGGGCAAGTTGTAAAATGCCAACGCTCCGATGGACATGTGCTGGATGGTAGTGACTGAGTGTGTAGAGTGGGTCCCGCATATCCGCCTGGCATACATTTGCCTAAACCAGTGCGACTACCATCATCGCACCAGCCGCATGCGGGATCATCTCTACATTGCGCACACGTTGAATAAAAGCTGCATTGGGATTCCTCTTCACTTCCTCGGCTGCGACACTTGCTACTCTCAGTTGTCCAGTCGCGGCATTGGCCATAAGGGAAGCTAGATGTGTAAGCGTTTTTATCAACGCATCTGCCTTCGTTCTGACACCAAATGCACTCGTCTTCAGTGCAGCTTTGGCATGAAGTAAACTCGGCGCACACTCGTGGGCAATACGTAGATGTATGAACTTGGTTCAGTATTAACTTGTTGGGGTTGTGGGCGATGGACGGCTTGCATTGGAGAAGATACCGGCTCCAATTGCAAGTGTAGTTAGGTATACCATGTGAATGGCATGCATTGCAAGTGTTTAATTCTTTGCAGTAAATTCGAGGGTCTGCGGGACACTTATCCAATGACAAGACTGCACTGGAATTTCCATCATTACAGTATTTATAAGAACATCCTTAAACATTGAAATGGAAATAATTAAATTGTGTATGTTTACGACTTTACAACTAACCTGATGGGCACCACACGCAATCTCTTGTATTCTGCACGCAACTGGTGCAATCTTCAAACAAACCACAGTCCTCCAAGGATTTAAAGAGTGTGTCCATCCTTAATCTTGTATCGGGGCATTTAGACACATCTGAATTTTTGTTTAATAACTGCCTGCGTATTGTTTTTACATTGATGCACTTGGCATTCTTCTGATCCCAAACACATTTTACCCCGGGCCGGGTGCCGAGGCACGCCTGCTGGTTGACTAGATGTTCACATCCTCCCGATCGATATCTGATGATGTCCGATAGCATTTGTCCATCGAATCCACCATAGATATACAACGATCCTTTAAATACAGACGCTGAATGGCCATAGCGTGCAAGATCACTTTGAATTTGATCTGGAGCCGCAATTGAGTGCCACGTGTCGCATATAGCGTCATAGGCCATCATCTCCGAACTATAGCACTTGGTGCCGCCGTTATTGGACGTACCATTGTGCATATTGCCGCCGAAGACAAGCATCAACGCAGGGTTAACAAATGTTGCTGAATGTAAAAAACGAGCGCTGGGCGCATCGGCCAAAAGCGTCCATATCTGCGAATGCGGGTCATACGAGTAAAGATTCGTGCTGAGTGTTTGTTTACTTGTGGAACCACCATAAACGTAAATTTTACCAGTATATTTATCCCATGCGGCTGTATGACCATAACCGCCTTTCACTGGGAACCCGCTTGGCTTCACTATGTGCCATTCGCCAGTGCGAAAATAATATTCTTGCACTATATTCAGATACCCTAAGTGGAATCACACAGGTTATTCATATATTCTGCCTAAATCTTAAGAGTTTGACCTACCTAGAAGAGGCGAATGACCAAAAATAACAATCATTCTGTCCGCCATACTGTTTTTAACATTAGTAACAAGTGTAGCAGTGTGTCCAGCAACGCGGAGAGGTCCACAGAGAAGATAACTCCCGTTACACGACACAGGCCGCACGGTGATATTCTCCCAAGACTTGGCGTTGATATCAAACGCCCATAACTCAGAAGTCGGACCACGGTTACCAACAATTCCACCGTAGATAAACAATTTATCGCCGTAGAGAACTGTGGAGTGCGCATACCGCATTTGCGGACCGTGGGTTAAATGCGCAGTTTCCCAAACATGTCCATTAAAATCATAAGTATAGAGCATACTGCCCTTGTTATAACTCTCGCCGGATATCACATACAAACTATCCTTCCACACAACTGCCCCATGTGAAGCAGAACCAGGAGGAATAAAACCATTCGGTTGCACACTCTCCCAGTACCCATTGACGGTCACCTGTGAGCAGTCCTTTCCCTTGAACCCACCTTTGCACTTACAACCATGTTCCGTGCAGGTGCCTCGACCTTCAGATCTTCCACAATTTCCTGGACATTTCTCCAAATGACAGGCGGTGCCCGTCCAATGACCATCACATGTGCATACTCCATCAATGCAGACTCCATTACCTGAACAATCAACTCCTGACACATTTGATGGACATGCATTGATTCTATAGGTAATGTTGAACCCAGACATATTAAATGCGTCATCGGAGAAGAAGTGCACTAACGCTGCGCCACTTTGCGCGACAACCTCAGGCACTTGGCGAATCTTGTAGGAGTCTTTGTACATCAAACCACTGAATACTGCTAGCAGTGGTGAGTTGACACTGTCCCCATCAAAGATGTATAAATGATCCCATCCACATTCAGTGGCAAATTCTTGAAGATGAATGGTTATAGTTGAGTTAGGCGCATCAATCAACCAACTGCATTTTGTACCAAGTGAGTAATTACCAAAACCGTCATAGATTGTTCCATTCGATGTCCCAAGCCTTTAAGAAGAATTAATTTGCAAATAAAATCATAAACATTTATAAATATGATTTTTACCTGACTTTTCCTCCGCAGTATTGGCACTGGACCCCCTGCCAGCCATCGTTACAGACGCAAGTGTCGTTAAGACAGATGCCGTGCCCGCTGCAATCCTCTTCACTGCTACATTTGCTGTCTGCGACCGCAAAACAGCCAACGAAGACAACCGCCCCAAGCAGTAGCAGAAGCCATTTTCTCCTATACTTAGATTTGAAGGGGATCAGACACATTTGGTCATATTTAGACCCAATAGAATCGAACATTTGGCCAATCGCTAATTCAATTGAAAAACTGCAGTAAGAGATACAACAGGAAATGTTATATACTTTTGGTTGATGCTTGGCAATTCGTATGATTAATTTATAATAGAGAATCGTGTTCATAACTAATTTGAAGCATCTCGATCAAAGGTTATTTGCGCAATGGAACGCAACATTCAGTAGTGACGAAGTGACCTGTTGTGAATAGTTGATAAGATAAATGCTAACTAAATTCACCGTTTACAAAATAAGTTTATTTAACTGAAAAGAAAAACATAATGAGCTAAATTGGTCAATCCAATCTCAAATATTGCCCATCATCATTTATTTATATACAAATAAACACTTAAATCAGAGATTCAATGTCAAGAAGTTTTACACACAATCACTGATTATGGATTTAACGGGAAGGAAAATAAAACATACCCAGGAAAACCAAATAGTAAAATATCTCTTCAAAATATCTTCCTTATATAAACATGTTAGATTAAAATTTACGTTTAGTAACCTAATGTTTGATACCTTTTACACCCTTACCAGCCTGTAGAAGTGGATTCTTCAACGCCGAACACCCCTCGCACCCGCATTTCGAAGGAACAGACATTGGTTTCTTAAATTTATACCCATCCTGACAAGTCAACTCGACCAACAATGGTTTGTAATCCAAAGCTCGACAACACGAACAAACAGATTCATGCTTCCCAGTAACTATTTAAAATTTAAAAACACATTATTAGTATTATAAATCTATTAAAATAAAACACCTATACCTTTATTAAACAACGTTGCAGAATGACAAGTCCCTACGCATTCAGTGAAACCTTTCAACTCTTCAATGTTTTTACACACGCCATGTCCTTCTCTTTCCGCAGTAATATAATGCAAACTCTTTTTGCCAGTGATTTCCTGCGGCACGCAATCACCCATTGCCAGTGCAGTTACATTACAATATTCACAACAACCTTTCGTATAAACATTCTCCGGTGGACAGTCATCAATCTGCGGACAGGAAACCTGATGACTTGAAACTGTAAACTGTCCCAGGAAGTTTTCACACGTGAATGTCGTACAGTTATCCGCAGAAGTCCAGTTAACACCGGGTGATTTAAGTGTGTTCTCTACTACGCATGCGCGTTGTACACATTCGCCACAACAAGTCACATTCGAAGCTACATACTCCCATCCCAAGGGACAATCCGTATCACATGTTTTGATACTTTCCTGCTTTTTAAGCACTCCGGGTGAAGTTTCAACACATGTGTACGTTTTACATTGATCCCCGTCTGGGCATGGCCATGACTGACCAATCATATACATTGTATCGCCGACTTTACACGCGGACATCTTGTGTTTCTTACAGCATTCACCTTCGATCGCTTGGAATTCATAGACAAAGTTATCAAACTGTTCCTGGGCGATTTCTGGACATACAATACTCAAAGATTGAACTTGCATCTAAAAATTTTAAGGTTAGAAATCAAAAGTAAATTATATATAGAAACATACCGTTCCATTGTCAGCTAAACAAGTGTAATGCATGCAGAAATCTTCCGAGGTCCAGTTGGTACCAACTGATTTGACTTTCCCATCGACGACACAACCAATTGCCTTGCAGGAACCACAACATTCGTGAGATTCTTTTGTTGCTGGTACGTACTCATAACCTATATCGCAACTTTCATCACAACTGATGATTTGGGTTAGTTTCTGGACGCCATAACCCTTTGTTTCAACACATTCTAACTTGGTGCATGGGTTGTGTTCATCCGTCCACTTCTCCCCAATGTGGTAAATCTTACTATTGTATTTACAACCACTTCGTTTCATCTCCGGACAACATTCACCCTTAATCGGCTCTATCAATAAATCATACTCTGCGTAATCAGGTGAAGATGTCACTAAAGGACACTCGGTGGTTGTGCAAGCCGAATGGAATCCTGTGGATTTAGATCCATAACATTTGCATGATCTACAAGGTCCATCATTCCACGTATCATTCGCTTGTTTTAATAATTTTTGTTTCTCGTATTGACTACGTTGTCTCTCGCCGCCATTTTCTGCTTCGATGTGATCCAAGTCCACAATACAACTTTCCGGTGCAACGCATTTGTATTCAGGACAACAACTTGTCTTCCCAGCATCAGTTTTATTCAAACTATAGAATTCGTCACATTTCGGGGCTGCGGGACATAGATTGGTATCACAAACAAGTTCTACGGTTGGACAACATCCGCCATCTTTGATTTTCTTTGTCATTCCAACTTCCTGATCGGGATCTGCTTTCAAATCAACAACTGCGCACTCTTCAGGTGGTAGACATTCACAAACAAACTGTTGACATCCATCTGACTTGGTATCTAGTTTAGCAACTTGCCCAAAAGCACAATCAAGTTTCTGTGGGGGATCACATGTAGGTGAAGCTGTTGCTGAAGGTATACAGATATACTTCTCACAGCACTCATCTTTTTCTTTTGTGAGTTTGACAGCGTTATATCCATACTCGCAGAGGGTATCTATAGCAGGACAATGTTTGGTTTCACAACGAATAGAACTACCCTCACATTCACAAGTTGTACAAGCGTCTTTAGTCCACTTGTCTCCAGGATGATGACCATGTTCATCACATGTGATACACATCTTTTCTTCAATACATGTATTATTCTGCATTACTTTGCCTTCCGGGCAGAAACAACCGGAAGTTGGGACTTCATTGCATTTCTTTTGAGGGTTCTTTATTGAATCACAGGTGACAGGGCATGATGTCCCACAGGTTTGGTATTGTTGGCCATCAGGACACTTTGTTTGTGGGCAAAGATCCGAATGCCAATTGACACAGAATCCATTACTGAGGCATTCTCTAGCGTAAGAGGAGATGGCGCTGCAGGCTAGTTCCGGATGACCACCGCAGATATCCTTATGGCACCAGTCCAGGAACATTGCAGGGTCTAATAATGGATGACACTGAAAAATTAAAAATAAGTATTTTAAATACAATAAGGTTCAAGACTTTATTACAAGTGACTCAGAATACATTAATATAATTAATTAAAATTTAGGTTCTGTTGATGGTTCATAGAGACTCCTACAAGCAAGGTCAATATCCGGGTAAGCATAATCAAAACCAAGAGATATAGCCCTTTCAGGTTTAACCTTCGGCCCAGTTGTGACCATTACATGCCTGCCTTGGAACATGATCTTCAAAATGGACTCCGGCATCGGAATAAAAGCAGGTCTATTCAATGCCCCTGCAAACGCCTTAGTAAACTCAGCATTTGTGGTCTGTTGAGGAGCAACCCCATTGAATATCCCTTTCACTTGATCATTCTCTATACCAAAGAGGATCAACTTGGTCAAGTCACTGACATGAATCCAAGGCAGCATTTGTTTTCCGGAACCCATAACTCCACCCAAACCCAAACTAAACGGCAGATGCAATTGCTTAATCATCCCTCCTTCACGTCCAAGAACAACCCCACTCCTGATGATTATATTACGACAGTTTAATTCCGAAGGCAACTTTGAAACCCTCTCCAATTCAATGCACATCTTCGACAGGAAATCAAAATCTTTCACATGCGCGCTTTCATCATGAACATTTTGATCACATTCGTATATCCCAACACCGGACATAATAGTAAAGGACTTAACAGAACCATTTGCGGCTTCAATAGCTTTCCGTAGAGTAGTGGTGGTATCAATACGTGAATTCCAAACTAGATCACGAAACGCGCGTGTCCATTGCCGTTTCAAATCGAGAATATTCTGCCCGGCGAGATTGACCACCGAGGAGGTGTTTTCTGGTAGTCCGGCAGCACGTACACTCTCCCAGGATATTTGCTTCGTATGGGGTTTAGGGGTTCGTGATACAATATGCACAACATAGCCGCGATTCAAAAGAAGGCGCTCGAGGTGTTGACCGATAAAACCGGTCCCGCCACCAATCACGACTGTCTTACCAGCCATGATACACTTTGGGGGAGTGGCTTGGGTTTAAAAAATTTTAGTGATAAACTGCGCAGCACGGAAAATTTTCGAGGTTAAACCGGTCTAGATGAAAAACGACTTGAATTTTTATGTTTGTGTGAAAATCAAGTTCGCGTGTATCCTAGGCAACTCACTCTACAAACATTTGAAAGTAGTAATAATGTACAATAATTAACTCACCTGTGCATATCTGCTGGAATCTAATAGTTGCATACAGGGATCTTCTTCGACTGATAACACTTCACATAATTCTCTTGGTTTATTCTCGCAGTTTTCCTTTGTCATGCCTGGTAACTTGTCGTACAACCAACTAGGACCCAATTCTTCTTGGTCTTTTGCTGGGACTCCATCTGGCATTCTCCAATCATTCTCTGGATCTTTATTGCAATCTCCACATAAACCTTCTAATTTCCCTGCGTATTTATGTGATGGTGCTTTTACTGATACACCCAATGATGGGAAATAAACACTGATTTCTACTTGTATCTTGAATAACAACAACTTCATGTGTTTTGATTTTGTTGTCCTCACTTGCATCCAATCAGCGACTTCTTCAAAATCATCAATCCGTTCAGCGTCTACTATTAGTTTCAGTTTGTTTCGTACAGTGTCGAAGAACACGTGGATTTTATGTCCTTGGTGTAAAATGGTGATCTTTCCAACGCACATTTTCAGTGGGTTATCACGGCATGGATGATTAGTGACCAAAAGTTGGAATTGGTGCTCATCGTGGTATTTTTCTAAGACATCTCTAGACATGACATAGACACAATTTCCGTTGATTGTAAAGTTGTTATCATCATAGGTAATGTATTGCAGATGTGGTAACACATTGCATTCGCAGTCCTTGCAGGTTGAAGACTTGATACAAGAGTCACCTTTGCGGACAAGTCCAGGGGGACAATAACAACCAGGGAAGCACATACTAGATAGTTTTGGGCATGCATTTGGGTCGGACATTGTTTCACACGAGGGTTCACAACGTCGGCGGTAACAGTCTTGATAAACTAAAGGTGCGTCGCATGATACAGCTAAATATAAATAAAAATACAAATTTTAGAACAAAAAAATGGTGATTTTAGGTATAAACTTACGACAATCATGCAAAGTCCTCCAATCAGTCAATTCTACATCATTATCGTTCATCATACACTCCACAACGAAGTTTTCCAAAGCTTTGCATCGACATGAATCTTCTGCGGTGCCATTAGTGGCCGCCATTTGTAAACAACTGCAGGTTGTTTCTAAACAACGACTTATAAATGCATCAACGTCAACGGATTTTGTACAAGCGCTTAAAACTTGACTCCTGTTTATAAACAAATGAATAACATTGTTAAAATTAATATTTTAGGTTATTTAACCTTAAAATTTCTTACTTGACTTGATTACACATATCCCAAGCTTTATTTTGAATTTCCGGTGGACATCCTCCAGCATCACACTGCATTTTTCCTTCGTTTTGTAACCAACTATCACCAAACTCGGCTGTTGTTCTTGCTTCAGTCCCATCTGGTTTCCTTTTGTCATCATCTGGTTTTCCATTGTAATATCCACACAATCCATCGACTTTCTTTAATAGTTTACTAGAAACACCCAGTTTAATGTTGCCCTGTTTGTCCCAGATTACCCAGAAGCCATATTGTTCCGATACGAAGAGTAGTGTGTTGCCTAACCGCGATATCGAGAAGAAATGCGAGTTGCTTCCGATTTTCTTTGTTTGTGATATAGAATATTTATATCCGTCGAATTCCACGGACATATCATGATGTAAAACGAATGTATGTTCATTGTGATGTATAACCAAGTTCCTCGAACAGGAAGTCGTGCAATTCTTTTGCACTAAAACAAATTTAACAAAAATTTTTGAGGTTATTGAATGTTTTGAGGAAAAATAAGTAAAAATACTTACAGATAACATCCCATTCTAAATTCTTCAAATCTCTTGCAAGGACATGATTACAAATATCATATTTATACTCGGTGTTATCAAAAGTCGTAAAAGTTTTTCCGGTGACATTACAAACCACATCCGGTAATGGATTTGGAACGCATTCATAAAACGGACATTTGTTCTTAATATCCTCTGCGTCATTGAATTCCGGATTAAATCCAGGTGGGCATTGTGCTGGTGGGCATGGTTTATTTGGTTTAAAGGGTGGGGGTGGTTTCAAAGAAACACATTTATATTCAGGGCATTCATCTGCTTGTTGCTTGTTACCATTAAAGTTTTCAACATCTGAAGGTCTTTGAAGTTGAGATTTGTATCCTCCTTTGACCCCACCTCCTTTAGTACCACTTCCACCTTTGTTACCATTGGTCAAAGCTGATTTCTTAGGTGCTTTCTTACTATACGTTGAAAACATTGTAGAAATGTATGATAATCTCTGAAGTTTAGATACTTTTTTCTCTACAGCTTTGTATCCATGAGGACATTCTAATATTGGTGGGCATTTTTGGGTTAAGAGTTCATATATTTTCGTGGTACCCAACAATTCTTCAAAATCAGTTGTCACTTCAGGTTGGGAAGTGGTTTGACAGTTTAGTTCATCATCAGGACAGTCTCGGATACCATCACACCAAGAAGTGCTATTGATACAGATGTTACTAGTTGGGCAGAGAGTGGTACCTTCATCACATGGTAAACACACACATCCACATGTACTAGTAACAGTACTTTTCAAACCCTATTTAAATATAATTACAATGTAAACTAAAATTCAATAAAAATTCATAAAATAACTTACAACTGAACATGATGGACAACTCTTCGGTACACAATGTTGCACACCTCCAAGTTTACAAACACATTGCGAGCAGTCCTCCTTCTCAAATACAGTCCCAATTGGATATACAATATGTCCAAGGGTACAAGGGCATTCAGGTCTGGTAACACATTTTTCACCATCCCACCATGTGTTTTCACACCTGCAAGCCCCAACTTCCAATTGACCTCCTGTCACACCAGGACATTCATTACAGACTGATGGTACAGTCACTATCTCAGGTTGTGCAATTGTTGGATAAGGTAGATAACAACCATTCATCTCCAGTCTTAATTCAATATTTTTATGCCACTTTAAAGGTAATACCTTTACATAAGTTGCTAGTATCGGCATCAAAAAGTTGGTCATTTGAGCAGAGTCTTCATCAAAATTACCAAGGAAAGTCTTCTCTTGGAATAGTTCATCCAAAATAGGATTCCAAGTTTTTCCATTGTGAGAATATTTAATTCTGAAAGCGGTAACCCAACCGGATGGACCTCCCTTTGATACAAAACCAGTAATGTTTCTTGGTTCCAAAAAGTTGAATTCAACAAATTCAGATGGACTGTTGGTAATAGGTCTCCAACCATTTGAAGCACTCAATTTAAGGTCTTTTTTACTGTTACCAGGACCATATTCTGAACTGACAGTAATCTGTTGGTCTGACATGGTACCATCTACAAGTCCCATTGGATCTAAACACATATCAGGATTAGGTGGTGCTATTGTAATGAATTTTGGTGGTAGGGTTTTCCGTTGTCCACAACCAATCAACTCCACTCTTAAAGCAATGTTACCATTCCAGGTCAAAGGTAAGATTTTCACCAGTTTAGCTTCTATAGCTTCTACAAAAATATGTTGTACAGGGTTATTACCATCCATACAACCTCTAAACACCTGAGGTTCTTTGGTTCTATCCAAAACATAATTCCAAACTGGATGATCCTCGGAAGTAGCATACACAATTTTAAAACTGGTGACGTATTCAGTATACAAGGGACTTCCTTTGAGTACCACTCCATAAATGGGTTCCAATTTACCAAGGTTAACTTGAAGGTATTGCTCTTTATTCAGGTCTTTAGCTGTCCAACTCCCACCTGATTCTGAATTAGCTTGGGCGTCAATCCGTGCATTATAGGGAGCAAAATTTGTAGAGAGATAACTACTAGCCGAGAATGCTTCATCCGGTAAGGGTTGGTCACCCTGTATGAGGTCTATGAAGTTCTCCGGTAGGCATTCCTTTGGAGGTGTCACCGTACTTATAATAACTGGTAAGGATACCACATCTACATCTCGTGTAGTGTTTTCAAATATTTCACCATGAACCAGATACTCCTGAGCCTCTTCCCCGCACGCTGTCTTATCACAAGCGTAGTAGTTGTCCACACATTGACATAACATACACTCGGATTCTTTATTGACAGTTCCTGGTTTGATTGGTTTACCATCATGGGAAGCACACATGCAGTCATGCATAGAAATACAAGTTATATTGTTGGACCATAGGAATCCTGGTGAGCAACTGTTGGGTTTCTCTTTATGCACGCAACCAGGTTCACAGATGGTGTTACCTTGACACAGGCCATTTTCTTTTACAATGTGGGAGTAGTGCAAACAAAGTTTATCACATTGTATTGCACATTCATCATATCTTTCGTTATCAGCACAAAGGTTGGCTTCCAAGGTTACATCCTGGTCTTCTCGGGGTGTTTCAAGAGTTTTGATGGTTTCCTTCTCTTCACACTCGGGTTTGATCAGTTTTACATTCGCAGGCCAGTCACAGATCATAGATGTTGGGTTATACATCATATCCTTTCCACAGGTCTTCTCTACTAGACCATAACCTCTTTTAACAGGAGCACATTGATAGAACTTATGACAATCCCCAGGGAATTCTTCATTTGGTTTGCGTTGGTCACAAGGTGTTACACTTTCACATTTACATAGAACCCTGATTTCAAAGTCTGGGCATGGTCTATGACCTGGTTTGGACTTGCAGACCAACCCTCGTTCTAAGGAGCATTCACAATCCATTCCTGTTTCCTTTGCTGTAAGATGGGTCTTAGATGTGCGGCATTCAATGTCCACCATTTCATCCCTGTCACATCTAGCTGAACCTAATAAGTTATTCAAGAGGATATCATCAGGTAAGGTTTCATTTTCGATGTATTTATGTTCTCCTTTCTTGACAGTTGCTTTATCTTGATTGATCCAATCACTCCAACCTGGTTTACACATAGTATTCTGTTCATGACTAGGTGGTTCCATGGTAGTGGACATAGAAGGTGGGCAAGTGTGACCTTTACAGGACTTCTTCCCTCTTGAACAGTAACATGTGTGACATTGGTCTTCTTCCATTAAATCTCCTTCGTAATAAGTGATGTCATCGACTTGCATGCAGATGGGTTTACAAAGATTACTTGGTACACAATTTAAAAGGGATGAATTAGCGTAGACGTGATCCGCTGGGCATGGCTTAGGTTGACAACCCTCCACACATGAATCTTCTTTACACAGTTTACTCATTGGGCTTTGAACTAATAGATTCTCGCAGGTTTCAACTGGGCAGGTGCTAACACATGGACTGTAAGAAGCACATCTTTCATCACATTGAATGGGGCACAATTCCTGGGATCTCCATTTTACTGGGTGACCTTGATTGGAACACTCTTGGGCGTATGCAGCTATAGCAGTGCAAAGGCATTCGCAGTCACCTCCTTGGTCACAAGCACAAGCATCAAACACACATCTATCTATGTAGTGTTCAACAGGGACTATACTATGACAAGCAGTGAATTTGGGTCCTTTTAGAATACCACATTGTTTCAAGGCCCATTGTTTCCTATCAGGTCTTGATTCACAAGTATCAAATATCTCTTTGGTTTCTGGGCAGTAACTCTGCAGTTTCCATGAATCTCCAAACAAAATCGGTGATACTTCACTAAGACCACCTGAAGGTGTCATGAAATCATCTGCTTGATTGTCATTATAATTCCCACAAAGACCTCTCACATGCCCTTTCCACCTGGGATCTACTTTCACATACACTCTAGTACCTTTATCCCAATGGATAGTCAGACCTAAATCAGCAGCCTCAATAATAACAAACAAATCTTTATTCCTCACCGTGAATCTTTTGAAGATTTGATTGTCTCTGACATGTTTTCCTCTTTGTAGAGTGATACTCTCCTGTTGTGGACCATTTCCAATCTTGATAGTGACAGATTTAGAACATGCTACTCCAAGGGTTCCACATGGGACATTCTGAATGATTACATCAAACTTATCTTCAGGGGTAATAGCACCTTTAGCCAGGATATAATCACATTGACCTTGGTAGTCATAGTGGGTACCATCAAAGGTTTTAAAGTGGGAATCACCCCATGCACTGCATTGTGCCGCGCATTGGCGGGTTGTACAATCCCATTTACCGTTTTTACATTTGCAGGTGTTACAATCGTTTTGGACCACAGAGTTTTCTTTGTATGAACGACCTCCATGATGACACGGACAATCCGAGGGTTTTACACACATTTTGGATCTTGTATCGAGAATGTAGCCTTTTTTGCATTCACAACCCGCGTGACACACATCAGCGGAGGTATAATCAGGGTCATGCATGTTCTATCATTAAGAGGAAATAATATTTTAAGGGTTGTTTTAAATAATAAAAAAATATTTATGCTTACTTTGCATGTGATAGGTTCTGGTGACTCACAAGTAGTAAACACTAAGTTCCTTGTAGCGTTGCACTTTGATTGAAGGTGGGCTACAGGTGGGAATTGGTCTTGATCTTCTTTACGTGCAGGTTTACACTGCCAGTTTGCATTAACACAAGTACTACACCCAAAATACCATTAAAACCCTTTAAAAACCTTTAAATAAACAAAAAAACTTACCATAATTCATTTCTTCCATGCGCAGCCCTGACTTCTTTAAACCCTGCAGGGAAATCAACTCCATCTCGATGACACTTACACCTCCCGATGGGTACACACTCCCCTTGGTCATCCAATGCCTCACCTTCAGGACAATTGCACCCTTCTACACATTGTGCTTTGCAGTCTTGATTGGTAGCCAATTCATTACAGGTTCTTGCACAGGTATTCCCACACATTTGGTAGGTCTGACCCGGAGGGCATACCACACCACATTCAGGGACCTCTTGTCTCCATGAAATCTTCATTCCTTGAGCGGCACACTCTTGTGCGTAGGCTGCCACCATTGGACAGAAACAATTACGGAGTTTACCCTCACACGAACAAAGGTCATAGAGGCAATCTTGGTAGAATGGATCAGGGTTGACGTACCAATGACACGCTACCAAATAAAATTAAAAATAAAGATTTTCTTTTTCTTACTAAAAATAAAATTAAGATAAACTTACGTGCAAATAGTATGGATTTTAAAACCTTGCAGTGTTTCTCCGCAGATGCCTTGTTATGAACATTGATGGTACACGGATGGTTCTTGAGGTCTTCCTTAACATCATTACACTTCTCTTCAGTTTTCCATTTATTGGCAAAAGGAGTAACAGACGTTTCAACGTCATTTTCTGGTGTTAAAAAGTCATCCTTTTGATTACCATTAAACGTGCCACATAAACCTTTGGTTAAACCCTTAAAACTCGCTGGTACATCAACGTATACTCTTGTTATTCCATCCCACCAAATTTCCACTCCGTTATCCAAATTGACAACCAAGAATATAGAAGAAACACTTCTGACTTTTACACCTCCAGAGATCCATGGTAACTTTGTAATATCTTTACCATTAATTACCAAATCATGGTTTTGTTTCAATTTAATATTTATGCCTTTATAACGAACAGTCACAGCTTTCGTACAAGATGGCAACCCAGCAGCGATATTTAACGGAAAATTCATTTCAGCGGAAATGGCGCCTGAACAAGCAACATTTTCTGCTTCAATGGTGAAATTATCAGTTTTTACCAAGTAATAAGAGCATTGACCCATAAAGTCATATCGTTTTCCATCAAATGTGATGTAATGAGGATCACCAAGAGCGGAACATCTTGCACCACAAGCAACTTGAGTACACAACCATTGACCTTGGTTGCATGTGCAGGTGTTGCAGTCTTTTGGTACACTCGTACCGGAAGCAAAGTCTTTACCACGTAAACGACAAGGGCATTTGTCTTTGGTGATGCATTCATTGTTGTGAAGGTAAGTGCCAGGTGGACAGTAACAACCTTCTTCACAAGTGGAATCTTCATTGGACTCTACTGATGCACCGCAGATGGATTGACCACCAACAGGGGCGCAGGGCATGTAGATTCTACCTCCCGTACAGGTCATTGCTATGAGGTTTGAAAAAATGATAATAGTATTTATTTAATGTAAGATTATTTACTTAATTTGTTAACTTACGACAAATTTTTTCATCTCTCCAGGACACCAAATTCTTAACTCCTTTGTATGCGCATGTCCGGATGTAGATATTCAAAGCATCACAGGCACATTCATTAGGGTTTGTTTTTGTACACGTGCAATAGTCTGCTTTACACGTATCCAACAACAAATTAACATCTACAACTTTCTGGCAAGCTAAAAACCGTTTATCGTACAGAATTTTGCTGCAAAACTCGTCGGCCATTTTGATTTTGTTTGGTGCATTGGCACATGCGTGTTGTTCAGTGGGTGTATCTTTACATTCATCTATTAATCGCACATATTAATAAATATAATTATTTAATTGTTAAACATTGATTTTAAAGAATAATTTACCATCTAATGAATCAACTTGCCAACTGCTAGCAAACGTTACAGGATTCTTCGCAATTTTTCCTTGTTTTGTTCTCAAATCATTTCGTGGATTACCATCTAGATTACCACACATGCCTTCAGTTCTATTCCACATCGCTTCATTTACTTCAACCTGTACCATTTGCCTACCATCCCATTTTATTTTCACTCCGCAAATATCCAAGAAGACTACTACAAAATGCGCAATCATTTCAGTACGCATTCCAGGGAGTTGTCCAGGAATGGCGTGGATTTTTTTCGGGGAAACCAAAATGGCGACATCATCATCTAAATAAATAACAAAACAACTAATATTATTCAGAGTTTAATTAGAATTTGGTAGTAATTCATACCAGATTTCTTCAAAATATATTCTTTATCCTGCAGATAAATTTTAACAACTCGATAACATTTTTTGTAGTCAGTTTTGCACCCAGGATGATTAGAAACAATAACTGTGAATGTATTATCAACTGCATCACGTGCTAGAGTATAAGCACAGTTTGAATTGACACTGAAAATAGTCCCATCAAAGGTTTTATAATGACTTCCGGCCCATGTGAAGCAAGTTCCTGGTTTTGGAAGTTTCTCTTCAACAGTCACGTATGCACTTTCATGTTTACCATACATCCCAATAGGAACTACATCAATATTAGTATCGTTGACATAATTATCACTGCTCGGCTACAAATATTAGGTTAGAATTAAATTTGTTTAGTCATAAATTAAGGTTATGTCAAAACTAACCTTTCTCCTCTGCCAACTTGTCTCTGAATTACTTCCAAAAGTAATAACATCACCATCAGAGTATCCATGATGCATTGACTTCGAATTAGACTTCACAGAATAATTAGAAACCTTGTAATATGTATGAGATGTGCTTCCCAGAGGAATAACTTGCATGTTATCAGGATAAACGCATTGCGGGATGGGTGCAGGCAGGAATTTACCTGTGTCATACCGACAAGTGTAATATGGTTGAGGGGTAAACTCGAATTGAATACCAGCTGGGCAGTTGACTGAACATTTAAATGTTTCTGCATCACCTGAACAATTGTAAGCTCCATTGAATTGCAGATTTTTAGCGTTACAAACACTTGCAGCTGTAAAATGTTTAAAAAATGTTTAAAACTTTAAAAATACTTTTTGTAAGAGTTGTTAATCTTACAATATTGACATTGTGGTCCACGAAAATCTTGCGGGCATTGACATACGTTGAAGGAAAGACAATTGCCGCCATTTTGACATGGCGGATTACACGTGGCTTGACAATCCGGTATAACTGCCCAGCCGGGTTTAGTAGGTGCCCAGTTACCGTTTTTGCACTCCATTGTGGTCATGCCAGTGCCGTCAGGGAATTGATGACCATTCATACAAATAATTGTACAGATCCTTTAAAAATTAACAATATTTGTTTATTTATGAACAATAATAACCATACGTAAGTAATAATAGGTAATACGTACGAAGCACGACAAGATCTCTTTGAATTCATGGGCATAGGTGGGAAATTCAAACATGGTTTGTTTTCAAATTGACAATGAGGTCCAGAAAAATTCTCAGGACAATTGCATTGATCCGGAGCAACGCAAATGCCATTATTTAAACATTCAGGTAGACAAATAGCTATAAATAAATTAATATTAAACATTTTTATAAAGAAAAAATTAAAACTGCGCATTTTAGTTAATTCTTACGTTCGCATGCTTGCAATGTACCACTTTCCGTCATCGGAATCCAGATACCATCCTGACACTGCACGATGACATTAGCAGAACCATCAGGAAACTTGTAGCTAGGCATACAAGTTACTTTACACCCGCTGTACTTAGAACACTGCATTTTTGAGTTGTGCGGTGGTTGGGGTTGGCCCACACAGCCGCCATTGTAACTTCCGGCTGGGATGACATTTTTGGTTTTTGTTTTTGTAAATGTTTTAGTCGCTGAAGGTTGTGCGTAACTTCCTTGGTTTACGTTGTAATTATTTTGAATGTATTTTGGCATATATTCACCACTATAGTGTAAAATTATAAAATTTATTTAAATAATTAGTTTTATTATTAATTAAGACTTACCTAACGCCATTTTGTAAATATAAAACACTAACTAATATAATACTAACACTAATACTAATAAAGTTCTTCATTTTTAAGTTTTATTTGATTATTTTATGTAAACTTATTCAATTTATTCATTATCACTATAATTTTTAATTATTTTATTGTTATTGACTGCGCAGGAAGCTCTCCCAAGAGAGAATGATGCAAATGCGTAAATTTGGTCGTATTTATTAGCGATTGTCCTCTGTCCCTCCACGTAGATCATGATTAACATATTTTTTCCTCCGTCGCTGAAAATATCATCATTTTTTCTATGTATACGGTTGGTTTGTGTTGATTTTAACTTGTAGGTTGCAGGAAGAGGATGTTTGATACCACGAGTGAACGGATTGATAAAGGTGTCAAGGCGATGCGCAAAAAAATGAAAATGGAGCACGAGTTCAACCATCCAAGTGTAAAACTTCGCACAAAATTGTTATCAAGTTATCGTGCAAGTGCAGAAACGCATTAAATTGGGGCGCCAGACGAGATGTGCCTAATTTATTATCGTGGACTCATTTTTATAAAAAGTTTTATTGTTGAAATGATGGAAATTATGCGGTCTTTCGGAGAATTACATTGTTTATCAAATTGGAATATTAAATTGTTATTTTGGATAAATCCCGTGGAGATTTTTGATGAATCTGTTTTCGTGGAAATTAATCTATGCGTGATAGGTCAAATTTTCCCAAATTTAACATGAATAATTCTTTCATTCATAAGTTTAGTTGAGAAAGAAAAACGAGCGTAATATTTTAAGATATGTTGCAATTTTTCACAGATTTTTGTTTAAAGGGTACGAAAATAGTTCAAGGAATCTAGAAGAGTGGAAAAGTATCTAGTTATTTACATATTAGGCTACTTTTAAATAAAAGTCATATGTTACAAGTATGATTTTTCTCAAATTTTCAAAACTTGTCTTCAAGTTTGCACTAAATCAATTATTAAGTGTTGGGTACTCCAGCGGTCGACGAACTACCTGAATTCGACATTGCTTGACTCTTGTTATCAAGAATAATAACGTGTACTTCACAACTTCACAAAATGTACCTATATAAATTCTAAAAATATTTGTAACGAAGACATTTTGTTAATTTTATCACAGTTTATTATTAAAAATTCGTTGTTGACTCATTAATCGTAGTTGTTATCAAACCGATTGAACATTTCCGGATTGAAACCTGACTCTGCCCAAATATTGTAATACTCATCTGCGGAAACATTGCGATATACTCCATGTTCAGCAAGAAAATGTTTCCAAACCTATTAAAACAATAAAAAAAACATATTAAATCAAATCCTAACAAAATATTCCCTATTTTAATAAACTAACATAATCTTTATCAGCTGGTGTGGCCATTGGCTTGTTCCCTAGATTTCCATCACGAAAAACATCCAACTGGTACAATAAATAATAATACATATAAAATTTATCTCGTTCAATTCCCTAAAAATAATAATATTAACATAATCATTACAATTAACGCAAAAAACTTACTTTAAAAGTAATTACTCTAGAACTACAACATTTCCGTGGATAAATCGAATTCTTATAATAATTCACGCCCGGAAAAAACTCCTGCTGCCAGTTAAACGCGTTGAATGTGGAATAACCATCTGGATCACGCGTATCAATAGGAAATATATCATATTTTGATAAAACTTTACCTTAAAAATAAAAAATCATAAAAATATTAACAACTCTTCAAATTATAATAATAATAAAACAATAATTACCCAATGTAAAATCCTCTTTGTTCAACATCAAACTATCCACTTTACATCCCTTCTCCTCATCAAACTCCGCCTTTAAAAGCCTTAAACTACCCTGACTTAGCACAAACCCCGCCTGCGCTAAATTATACCGTACGTTCCAAAAACTCTCCGCCTGCCCTAAATAATACCCTTTTGTATGATTTAAACTAGCTACAAACCATCTTAAATTCTCTAACAATACAAACGTTTGTTGATGCACAAAAACAACCCACTCAAATTTATCATATTCAATTTCTTTAATTGCACCGCATAACTTATTCCAATTGGAATTCTCGGCGGTTTTTTTCATTGGTATATGATGTTTCCCCTTTCTACCACTTAGTTTAACTATAGTCACGTCGGTACAACCCTTAGCCCAGGTATGAACCCCCGCTTTGGCAGTTTTATCGTTGTTTGAAAGTATCACGCACAAAATTGGTATTTGATGTTCTAAAATCTTTGCTTCTGTTCGAAATAAATGATCACCGTATCGTAATGTGTCGATTGTGTGTTTCCTACGTATAAAACCCGCATTTTGAAACCAATTCTCATAATAAGTGTTAAGCGAAGCTAGCTTTTTAGGGAGATCAATAAATGTTTGATTTATGCTTGGAATGATTGTGTTTCTTGATTTAACTTGAAATGCGAGATAACTACCAATGAAAAGACCTACTATAAAGAGCAGATAATTTTTGTTGATGTTGTACATGATTCACTATTGACTCTAATTTAAATTAAACACTATAAAACAGGTGCAAATAATAATAAATAAACTTAAGCAGTATTCTTTTGTTCTCAAAAGGTTATGTTTCTTATTTGTTCATTCTGCTGATGATAGCGAAGAGGAGGAGATAACGTCTTAGGCAGGTGTTGGAGAAATATATTTCCTCTCGACTCACAGAGTGCATTGCCATAAATTAGATTGTGTCGATTAAAGGTGAGAGATTTTGAAGTGCGACGTGTATGTATAGTTGCCTAGCATGATTAATTATCTACCTGAGATTATAGATGCTGCTGCATGTCGTGGCGGCAACTCTTTACGTCATTTGTTTGAAACAAAAATCTATTTTAACAGCTGATTTCGTTCCATGTTCTTCAAGTGGTGTTTTGTCACGTATTTCAGGCATTCGTGTGTTCACAATCTCGTCCTTTTTTTAACTCCACGCCCGTTGAAAATAAAATTACTTGAGAAAATGGCAGGGCATATAAATCTCTTGCTGAAACAAGCAGTGACAACGTTTAGTATGCCTGCAAAAACTAATTTTCCCAAAAATATCGAAAAGCTGAAGTGCCTTCTGGATAAAACGAAAGGCTCTGACCTGGGTTTACACTCTGAGCATGACATATTCAAGCAAGAGAGTTGGTGTCATCCTGGAAAAGCACCAGTTACTTATGTTCAGATTTACGATGATGATGCAGTGAGTGTTGGAGTGTTTATTGTAGCAGAAAACATGAAACTACCACTGCATGATCATCCACATATGCATGGCTTGATAAAAGTCATCTATGGCACGTTAAAAATCAGTAGTTATACTATTTCTGAGTGTCTTGATGATAAACAAGTGGATGTTGAGTGTCATACACCTATAAACTTACATTATATGTAAGTAAAACTAATATTTTACTCTAAACATACTTTTTACTTTATATTCTTCATTGTTGATAGAGATCCACCTTGTATTCTGGAACCAAACCATCAAAATCTGCACGAAATTGAAAGTGTGGATGGAGTGGCAGCTTTCGTTGATATTCTTGCACCGCCTTACGATGTGCTGATTCCCGAGCTGGGGAAGCGAAAGTGCACTTATTTTAAACGGATACGACAGACAGGAGTCAACAAAATGTTGTTGGAAAGTATTGAATCGCCGTCGTGGTTCTGGTGCGATCAACTGCCGTACTCCGGGCCGCATATTGAAGAAGACTTCGTGCTGCATGAGAAAACGAGTGAAAATTAGCTTTAAATTTAATTGTACAAAGAATTTTAACTGACGCAACACTTTAACTATTGTGAATTTAAGTATTACCACTTGGGATTAATCGATTTGGTTGTGTGTAGTCAATGACGAGAAATCATTGCTTTCGTGTTCATTGTAATGATATTGTGTTTGAATGTTATGTATGCATGTCTATTGTGCTGTTGTTGTTATTAAAAATAATGTTGAACTTGATAAAATGATCTATTGATATGGAATTGTGCAAATTTTTGAATATATTATCCTAGAATATCTATTTTCATTGTTCAAAATTGTTTTTATTCCTGAACAGAGCTGATTTGAGCGAATTTCCATAAATAATTTGTAATAATCTTAATATATTCGGAAAATATAAGTAGTTTATGTAAAAACGCTATTTCCTAAGCTTTTCTCCTATGGTAACTTAACTCTCAAGTTAAAATATTACAAAATTATGAAAACTATTTCCTTTTTCACGTACAAATATCAATTTTTGTTAAATTTACATAATATAGGTACTATTTCACATGCCCAAGAAACCAAATTGACTATATTAATTGTCTTTTGGTGTAATTAACTCAACAAAAGCGTATTTTTCATTGATTAGACTATTCTTCAGTTGAAAGAAGGCTTAAATGCCCCAGGACAATTCAATTTTATGTCAAAAAACATTCAATTACTTCTTAAAGGCAGGAATGTTTGAAAAACGTACAAAAAGGAAAAACTCACGAAAAACTCAGAAGAATAACCAAGGAAAAGCAATTAAAATTGAAAAGAAACTTCATAACGCGCAATTTTTTCAGTTGTGAAGCAAATCCGAGGTACAAATGAGGTTGGAATGTCCACTAACGCATCATAACCTCATTTTCAATGACTCATTTGATATTCCCCAATACTTTTTACCCTTTCTGCATTAATTGCGTAAATAAAGATAAAAAGTATCTAATTTAAATCTTTGTTATCGTGTTAGAATAAATTTTAAAAGTAAAATCACAAAATTTACTCCGTTTAATATCTTTCAGGAAGTTAAAGTTTTGTTTCGTCAGTTGAGTAGTTGTAGTCTATTCACTTAGCACATGAATAATCCCAGTTATTAACAAATTTATACATTTATCCATTTACCATCCACGACTCCTCAGGACGTCTTTACCAAAGTGTTTAAAAAATCTACGCATACATCCTGCGAGTAAAAACTAGTAAATAAATATCTTTGATAAAGTTAAAGTTGCAAACAGCGCGTAACAATTATGTAATCAAAAGTTTTCGCCGCGAGTTTCGAAGATCAAAAAAGAAACATTGTAAACACTCAATGCGAAGGACGATGCCGTCGTAAATACGCGGAAATATTCGCCTCCGTATAGTCGAGTATCTTGCGCTGACACTGCCGAATGTACTGCTGTTGTTTGTGGTAGATCTTGAGCGCGCCTTTGACTAGCACAAACGTCGCGCCGCCCAGCACCGTCTTGTGGAAGTTGGAGCGCACGCTGTCGAAGAGCAACTTGCCGATTATATTGGCAATTGTGGGCATTAAAAGCGCACCGCAGAGCACTCGCGTCGCGGATACGGGATCGGAAAGAGGTGGGATGTCTTCCTCGCCACCCGTACGCGTAAACGTCGGGCCAACATCGACGCGGAAGGGCAGGATGTGTTTGATTATGGGCACGCGCGACAAATAACGTCGGATAAAGTGTAAAACTGTATCCTCCCAGCGGACCATACGGCCCACAACCAGGGCGATTGGAATTGCTGGTAAACCTATGAGGAGGACAAGTGGATCGGCTTGTTCCATTACAGCGAGACCTTCGCGTTGTCCAACAACTTGCATCACAGTTATTGCGCCTGAAATAAACAAAAATTGTTTTGAAATTTCAAGATAGGCAACCCATCCTACACCACTTAGATTTAGAATAATACTTACCATATGTAACAGCACACCAATAAATAGCGCCAACTACAATCCCTGCTGCCAAAAATGGACAGCCCTTATAAATAAAACTATCAACTGTATCCAGTATGAGTACAAGCACTCCCATATTTGGAAACACTATGATATATTCTGTCTGACACTGTGGGCATGAAACTTTCCCCATGTTTCCACCTTTTTGTTTTTCATCCACCCATCTTTGTAAACATGCTTGATGCACCTGCAAAACCAACAAAAATTAACTTGTTGATTGATGAATATACACACAACATACCCATTTAGTTGTGCCTCTACAATTACAAGGCTGTACCCAAGCAGCAGTCTCATCATCCTCATCAGTTGCAAAGCAAACCCAGCAATAACGCTGATTAGAATCTCTGCTATCAGCTTTGTTCATAATACCCCCGGCGATAGATAATGCATCAGTGCCGATGCTTGTATGCGTCGTATGCACACTATCCACTTCATCAGCGTGCATCTTTCCCTGAAGCAAAGTCCGCGACGTTGTTTCTAGCTCGTCCTCGTCCATGTTTATGATTTCACTCCGCGATCGACTGGCAGGACGCTCGGGTCACGCTCTTAGATTGTTGGCCCGCGTGGCTCCATTTATTTACCAAAAATTTTTCGCAACTGACATTAGTGCAAGGAATGCAAGCGATCAACGTAAATTTCGCCAGCCGATGCAGGGCTGCAGCGCTGCACAACCAAACTGCTGTCAATCACCGGAGACAAACGATTGTGTCACCCAGAATCTGAATGGAAATAAGTGCGATGAATAGCGTTGAATAAAATGCGGATAATTGCAATATTAACATAAATATTCGCTAATGCGCACTAATGTTTTAAAATTAAGTATGGCGTAATAAGATTGGAGTGTGTTTGATTTTATTTAACCAAAATGAACAATTGGAGGGTGTATAACAAGTTGCCTCACAACTAATTTAAGCAAAACAACACTATATTTATGCAATTATACCCGAACTTTTATATGTTGTAAAAATAACTCTATTTACTATTATTTATACAACATATTCATTGTTATGTAGTAAATATAATTAAATCTACCGCGGCATCTATGAACTATCAGCCTAAACTAATAAAATCTGTAAATAGAGATGAAGATGAGGTTAGGAATTTAATCAGTCTGATGAGTTGATGATGAAAAAGGGCGACGGTTTGTGATCGCTTTGCTTTCGGTTTAATTCTTGAAATCTATGCCGAATTAAAATGACGGCGACACACACGGGCGTACTGCCCTTCGTCCGAGGCGTAGACTTCACTCGCAATGATTTCAGCGTACGTACAATCTTTAAAATCCTAATTTTATTGCAACTTAAGTCAAGTATTAATAGCAACAATTAGTCGCCTTCTCAAATTCCTAACATTTTTGTATATACTATACTAATCTTATCTAACGTCTAAATAAAAACTAATAATTTTTATAGGGCGATAAATTTCCGGAACCAGTTAGTTTAATGACTGGTGTGCAATGGCTTAAACTTGATAGAACAAATCTCTCAGAGATTCCTAAAGAAATGGGCAACCTACATAAGTTAGAACACCTGTCACTGACTAGGAATAATCTGGAGAAGCTGCATGGTGAACTGACAGAGTTGAATTGCCTCAGGACTTTAAATTTGAGGCATAATAGAGTGAAGTCTTCTGGAATTCCAGCTGATCTTTTCAATTTAGATGAATTGACAACTCTGGATCTTAGTCATAATAATCTTAAAGAAGTGCCTGAAGGTTTAGAGAGGGCCAAAACATTATTGGTTTTGAATTTAAGCCATAATCAGTAAGTTAATGCTAAAAATTTAAATTTTTCATTAAATTATTAAACATTTTTCTAATAAATTATGTTTTTATTAGTATTGAAGCAGTGCCAACTTCTCTCTTCATGAATCTTACTGATTTACTCTTTCTGGACTTGAGCAACAACAATTTGGAAACACTTCCACCGCAAATTCGCCGTTTGGGCAACTTACAAACACTTGTATTAAACAACAATCCGCTCGGTAGACATTTTCAATTCAGACAGTTATATTCTCTTGTGCATTTGGAAACGTTGCACATGCGTAACACCTACAGGTGTTTAAACAACTTTCCTGGCAATCTGGAAAGTCTTGGGTTGTTAGCCGATGTAGATTTGGCGCAGAATGCCTTGCCAAAAGTGCCTGATTCACTTTATTCACTGCCGAATCTAAAGCGACTTAATTTGAGCGAGAACAATATCACTGAGTTGTCTACCGCAATGGAACTATGGCAGAAATTAGACACACTTAATCTGTCGCACAATAAACTTACTTCACTGCCATCGGCGCTGTGCAAAATCGCTTCGTTGAGGAGATTGTATGTTAATGACAATCAATTGGACTTTGAGGGTATTCCGTCCGGTATTGGAAAGTTGGGATGTTTGGAGATTTTTTCTGCGGCGCATAATCAACTTGAGATGATTCCTGAAGGACTTTGTCGGTAATTATTAAATTATGAAGAATAATCGAATTGGAATTTACATAAATTGTTATTTTTAGTTGTGGATCACTTAAAAAATTAAATCTAAGTTCCAATCGATTGATAACACTCCCAGATGCGATTCATCTACTCACTGATTTAGATTCTCTGGATTTGAGGAATAATCCAGACTTAATAATGCCACCAAAACCCACTGAATTAACTCGTGGTGCTGGTTTGGAGTTTTATAACATTGATTTTTCGCTGCAGAATCAACTTAGATTAGCTGGGGCGATGGTACCTCCAACACCAGCTCAACAAAGTGAGTTTTTTACTACCTACAATCTTAATTAATATAATTTTAATAACATTATGTGTTTATAAGGTGAAAATAAAGATCCAATCGCAAGGAAAATGCGTCTACGTCGTGGTAGACGTGATCACGAGGAAGCTGACCAAGATCAGGCGAAGATACTTAAAGGCATGAAAGATGTAGCCAAGGATAAAGAAGCACTTAAAACTGAAAGTGAATTGAAAGCTGAATTTGTGAAGTGAGTTAATTTTCTACTTTAAAACGAAATATTTTGTTTAAATTATATTTTATAGGCCGAAAAGATGGGAAGAGAATTTAGAAAAACCACCACTTGATTATTCAGAGTTCTTCGATGAAGACGCCGGTAGTATGCCGGGTGTTACAGTGTGGGAAATAGAAAATTTCCTGCCGAATCAAGTTGACGAAGTTACGCATGGAAAGTTTTACGAGGGCGATTGTTACATCGTGCTGAAAACTTCTAGTTTCGATGACACCACTTCACTTACTTGGGAGATTTATTTCTGGATCGGAGAAAAAGCATCTGTAAGTCCAAAAATACCAAATATTCTTAAAAAGATATTAAAAATATTGTTATTATTAATTTTTAGTTGGATAAACGTGCATGTGCAGCTATCCACGCTGTCAACCTTCGAAATTACTTAGGCGCACAATGTCGTTCAATCCGAGAAGAACAAGGTGATGAATCCGAAGAGTTTCTTGCTTTGTTCCCGAATCGTATTACTTACATCGAAGGCGGACGTACATGCAGCGGTTTCTTCACAGTTGAAGACCTCACATACGATCTACGACTCTACAGAGTCCATGCAGCAGGCGCCTCAATCCATCTTGAACCCGTCTGTGTCTCAGCTGAGTCCCTAGACCCAAGATTCGTATTTGTATTGGATACAGGCCTGAAAATATTCTTATGGTTCGGTAAGAAATCAAAAAATACTCTTAAATCAAAAGCGAGACTGTTAACCGAAAAAATCAACAAAAACGAGCGCAAAAACAAAGCGGAAATCTTCACTGAACAAATGGGCAGTGAGTCCGATGACTTCTGGACTGCCATTGGTGAACCAGAAGGTGTCGCTCCTGAAGATATAGAAGAACACGTAGATGCAAGTTTTGAACCATTACAACCTAGATTGTATCAGGTTCAATTAGGTATGGGTTATCTAGAACTCCCGCAAGTGGAAGTACCCAATGGGAAGTTGAATAACAAACTCTTGATAAGCAAGAATGTTTATATCTTAGACTGTTACTTAGACGTGTTTGTTTGGGTCGGTAAAAAGTCAACGCGTTTGGTAAAAACTGCAGCTGTTAAGCTTTCCGAGGAATTGTTTAATATGATTGATCGTCCTGATTACGCAATGGTGACTAGGGTACGTGAAGATACCGAATCACAGGTATTCAAGACCAATTTCCTCGGTTGGGATGAAGTGATCGCTGTGGATTTCACACGCACTGCTTCCTCCGTGCAGAAAACCGGCGCTGATCTAACAAAATGGGCGAAATCACAGGAAACCAAAGCTGATCTTACAGTATTATTCACTCCTAGGCAACCATCAATGTCCTTGAATGAAGCTTACCAATTGATGGAGGAGTGGAACGAAGACATGGAAGGTATTGAAGCATTCGTCCTGGAAGGAAAGAAATTCGTTAGATTACCTGAAGAAGAGTTCGGCACGTTCCATTCGATGGATTGTTATGTCTTCTTATGTAGATATTGGATACCAGCGGATGATATCGAAGATGGCGAACCAATGGAAGAAGATTTTCAGTGTATTGTTTACTTCTGGCAGGGCAGAGAGGCGTCCAATATGGGATGGTTGACTTTTACGTTTACGCTGCAGAAGACGTTCAAGCAGTTGTTCCAGGATAAACTGGAAGTTGTGCGCACGCATCAACAGCAGGAGAATATGAAGTTCATGGCGCACTTTAAGAGAAAGTTTATTATTAAACAAGGGAAGAGGAAACAAGCCGCCAAGAATGCTGTGGAGTTCTATCAGCTTAGATCGAATGGCAGTGCGTTGAATACACGGTTGATTCAGATTCGGCCTGATGCTTCTGCGTTGAATTCTGCATTCTGGTAAGAATTAAACTTTATCAAACCAGTAGAATACTAGTTGTTTTCGTTGCGCATGCGCTATGAAGCTCTAAGTTGATTGAATACTTTACAACCGCGTATTGATGGTTGCCAATCTTTGAACTTCCAAAATTCAAAGATTTTAATTTAATTTTTTGTTATTTCTAGTTATATTCTAAACGTGCCATTTGAACAAGATGACGCTGGTAATAATCTACGTCTGGTTAGGCTCAAAATCCGACCCGGAGGAAGCGCGTCTTATTCAAGAAATCGCGGACGAATCATTTAACAAACCATGGGTATCCCTGCAAGTTCTCAACGAAGGCGAAGAACCCGATAATTTCTTCTGGGTGGGTCTCAACGGCAAGAAGCCCTATGATCACGATGCAGACTTCATGCACTCAACGCGTCTCTTCCGCTGCTCCAACGAGAAAGGATACTTCATCGTTTCTGAAAAGTGCTCAGACTTTTGCCAAGACGATCTTGCTGATGATGATATCATGATTCTGGACAACGGCGAGCAAGTCTTCCTGTGGCTAGGCCCCAAGTCCAGTGAGGTGGAGATTAAACTCGCCTATAAATCTGCACAGGTTTACATTCAGCACATGCGAGTCAAACAACCCGACCGGCCAAGGAAGCTGTTCCTTACGTTGAAAAACAAGGAGAGCAAGCGGTTCGTTAAGTGCTTCCATGGTTGGGGGTTGCATAAACGACCACCTGAGTAAAGTAACTTTACTAACACCCGTTATAACATTGTTTTAAGTTTATCAAATGTTTTCATTTAGTCAGGTTTGTATTGTGTTACGCTACGTATTCGTACGTTTGATCAACGACTTTGTTATATTATAACATTTATGCTGAGTTTAGTAGATTTTCTTACAATGACTTAAATTTGTGATCATTTATTCAAATTTTATACAATATTTATCATTAATTTGTACTTTTGTAAGTACATTTATTTATATTTGCTTTTTGCCATCAATAAACTATATGGATGAATAAAATATTAACATGTTTGTGTTAATATGTTAAATTAAACTTAGAAATATCTTTTGCATACCTTTATCCACTGAAGTCATTCACAATACCGATAATTCAATAAATTTGAAGTACATATCTTCACGGTGAACAAGTGATTCTAACCTTAAATTTTCAATACTGTAAGACACAGTGCTCCTCTTGTTTAAGTATAAATTAGGCAGAGTTTGAAGCAAAATCTAAGAAAATTTATACCTGGTACATTTATCTCGCATATGGTATGAAATGCCTCTTGAATTACACATTTTAATCACTTTTGCATTGCGAAAACTAATTTTATATTAAAAAAAAAACGTTAAAGCGGTTGGTGATTATTTTAAGATGGCCGCAATCGGAAATGTTCGTTTATGTCCGTTTCTAAGTCTTGTTCGCACTCATGATATCTGACAGTCGCTGTTCTGCACCGAATGGTTCAAAATATAAATTCAAATCAAGCCACCTCGTTCCAGAAAGCTCTTCAGCTGGCGCACGTTGCTTGCACGCCCGAACAATGGATGATCTCCAAACAATCAAGGCGAAATTGAAGAGCCTCGCTGACTTGAACTTTACTTCACAACAAGACTTATCAATTGAGTAAGTTAACCATCATATCACCTTAAAAGAAAAATAATAATTATTTTATCTTAGATATTATTTGATTATCAACGCGATCCTGACGAATTTTGCTGGGCAAGAACTCATAACAGGGTTAACAATGTATATAAATGCCGGTAAGTACCTGTAATTGTACATAGCTGATTAGTGGTGTGCTAATTTGATGGTGTGTTCTGTAGTCTTAGATCACAACATAAGCCTGGTACTGGCCCGAGAGCTGATCACACATTTCTGCTGTAATCTAGACACAGTGGAACACAATGTGTCCAAACAGGTTACAAAGCATACCTATAGCAGATTGCAGCCAAGGGAAAAGGGTTATGAAGAGCAGGTGTCTCTGATCAGGCAACATTTGGCAACTATTTATGAGCATGAAAGAAATTGGCAGAAAGCAATTGAAATATTAAAGGGGATTCCACTTGACAATGGCCATAGGTATCTATTATAAATTTAATATTAATAAACTAGGTACTAATCGCTTTCTTCAATCAAACAGGCAATTTACTTTAGATTATAAGCTAGGAACATATCTGAAACTTAGCCGTTTCTATCTTGAAGACAATAACGTATTAGAATCCGAGGCTTACATCAATCGCGCGGCGTTGTTACAAGTAGATTCGAAGAATGAGACTCTGCAGCTTGAATTTAAGGTGGGCTATGCACGTTTGCTTGACTGTCGACATCGATTCATCGAAGCAGCTCAACGTTATAGTGATCTTGCCAGCAGCGAGATTATTAGTATCGACGAGAGATACGCAGCGCTGCGTAATGCAATCACCTGCACGATGTTATCACCTCCAGGGAAACAACGCAGTCGATTGCTTGCTAGTCTGTGTAAAGACGAACGCACACATTCTATGGAGGTGTTCAGTATTCTTCAAAAGATGCATCTTGAACGACTTATTCGCCGCTGTGAAATGGAAGTGCTTGAGATTAATCTAAAGCCTCACCAGAGAATGATCTTGGCTCATAATTGCACCATTTGTGAACATGCACTTATTCAGCATAATTTGATCGCAGCAAGTAGGGTGTACAAAAATATTACTTTCACTGGAATGGGTGAGCTTTTGGAGATTGATGCTGATAGGGCTGAGAGGATTGCTGGTCAGATGATATCTGATGAATTGCTCAGTGGAATTATTGACCAGCCTGATAATGTGCTTTATTTTGATGGTGAGTTAATAATTACTAGACAGAAAAATTGAAATATGTATTTTAATTTATGGTTAATTTGTAGATCCTGAAACTTTACTGCCAGAATGGGATGTCCAGGTGAAAGCTACTTGTGATCAGGTAAATCATATAATCGAGCTGATGACGAAGAATAATCTGCTTCCGGAGATGGTAACGATAAAGATGGAGATGGATTTTTAAAGATCCAGTTTTTATTCTTTGACAATTTTTGTTGTAAGTATTTTTGGTTGCATATATTTTATATATCATTCAATATGAACTAATTTTTATGTATTTTATCACCAATACTGCAGTTTGTTTCATGTGGTTGTTGCGAATGGTATGACAGATGGTCTGTTTTGGTGTTCTTCCCCTATGTGCATTGAAAGTATATTGGAAGGTTTATGTATTAAGGAAGATGGATCAGTTGTTAGACTGATTTGCTTTCCTCAACAGTGCCATAGCTGGTTTTGAATAAATTGGTTAGTATAAGTCTTCAGCAGCAATAATAACTTCAGCAAAGACAGAATACAGAATATTTAAGTTTTCTCTATTTGTATTTATGTGCAGATGACCCATACCTGTCCAGCTTCCTGTCGAGAGAAAGGAATCAGATCTGATAACCCGTCCAGGATCAATCAACGTTGAGAAAACTGCCTTTAGTTGTTTATATACCAGCAGTATTAAGTATTAATAGTGTTAATATAATGTTACTTAGTTTAAGGATGTTTGTGTTTTGGGTAGACTACCCAATTATTTTTCTTTTCCACTCATGTGGTCTCATGTACATAAATAAGTGCCACTTTACACAATGGAATAATTATATAAGTTTTTCCTAATTAATACACCTTCCAGGAAATTAAAAACTATTATATAATGAATCAACTATATTGATAAATTCTATTAATATATATTTGTAATTTGACTAAAAGTTTAAAGATGTTAGTTTAATTTTAATTGATGATTTTGTTGTTCGGTATTTCATGACTCAACGTACATTTTTGAGATTTTCAGTTTATCATTACTTGTAATAAGTACATACCTACTTACTTTCAGATGTGAATATGAACAATATTAAACTCTTCAAATTTGATCAAATTCTAAAGTACAAATAAAGCCAGATAGTGAAAATTGATTATTCAACGATAAAATTCAAAAGTGATTGACAAATACGGTTATAAAAATAGATGAACCTTTGGAGAGATCAGTTGTTACCTGAACATAGACCCAATTTGTTCTATTGTTGTATACCATAAGTAAATCAATATGCCTAACAAAGAACAAGACCCACAAAAAAAAGAAATTGAAGTTAAAAAAGAGCAAGAACAATCTACCAAGGAATTAAAAAGAGAAAAACGCACGGTGACCATAGTACGTCCAAGGTTTTTCGATCAATAAATCAGCGTCGATCTTTTCAATATATTTGGATCATATCTTTAAAGTAAACACAACTTTTTCACTTACATCCACTGATAACTAAAAATTATATAAACTTGAACGCTTGTGGAATATCCAATCTTTCCAAACTTATCACTCAATCACAGTACACCGCAGACTAAAAACGTGTAAGGTGATAAAATTCAATTCAACATGGCCGATAATAATCAAGCAAATGGAACTGCGTCTGAAGTTAATCCACCAGCCGAAACTAACACAACGCCCGAAAACAATGGTACAAATGAAGAACAAAATGGCGGAGAATGCACGAAACCGGAAACAACAACGCGGAGCTGTCCAATCCAAAGCAGAGAGATTATAAACGCACCAGAACTAGTTTTCGATTAACATATTTGATAATAATTATAGTGACATAGTCAAGTTGCTATAAAAGGCAAGGAAATAAAAATACGTTTTTAAGTTAAACATGTGTAATGATTTTGTGTGACGATTGAATGAATCCTGTTAAATATTTGTTCAATGGCTGTGCCGTATTTACTCTTTTGATTAATTTATTTATTTGCAAATTGGATTACAACATTCTTCGCCTTATAAGTATATAATATAATAAGTATATAATGTTGATGGACATGAATGGCAACTTATTTCAGCCCAACATTTACTGTTTGCTATCGAAACCATATGCGAAAGACCAATAACACAGATACTTCCTGTAATATTTGAGTTTACGTAAGCAGACTGCGAATTGTGGGCAAATCAGATAAATCAGCAACGTATTTTTTCTTAGTAATATTTGCTTATCATATCTAAATCTAACTCAATCTTATTGAACGCACAGAGATTCTGTCCCATCTATTATGAAAAATAATTCATTTTTTATTAAAACTGTTGTTGGTGTATTATTTTTTCCAGTCGCTTTGCGAACCTTCAAAAGTGTTTCGAAAAGTTAATAGTCAGCTTTTAGTCAAATTTTAAGACAAAAGCTATATTTTTCTACTTCCACCTTTATAGCGTCAGTGTTAAGGCACAAAAATATTAAACACGAATGGCCAAGGCCGTGACTGAAGTACTAAACTTCCGTTTTTTTAATTTTTTTAATTTAGTGCAAAAATAATTGGGATAATAATTCTGTGACACGTCAGCTCTCCACGTACCTAAATGAAAGTGAGTATTTGATTTAGGAAAAATCAAGTTACTTATTAATACACTTTACTTGCATTCATAACGCATAGATATTACAGAAACTAGACGCAAATTATTAACATTTTTTAAAATCATTTACTTTCAAACACTTGCCCTCGGACATTTATAAGTACTTGCGGACCTACAACTGCGTTGACTTTCGTTTCATTGCGGCTGTCGCTGGTTATCATGTTCTCGCAAATAATGTTCGGATCGACTTGCGTTTCTCTTTGAGGAATTTCGGGTTTGTTAACTTCTTTCTTTGCCGAATCAGACATTTTATCTCTTGATAAGTCTGGAGTAAAAGAATAAATCGACTTAAAATGATCTTAAAAATTTATAAAATATATTTATTAAAATAATTTGTGAATTTTCTTTGGATTTTACAATTTGTTTGAGAGTTTAACATGTATCGCCTTGTGGGCATCATCAGAAAACTCATCAGTTAAACTCTCAAACAAATTGTAAAATCCAAAGAAAAATCTCAAATTATTTTAATAAATATATTTTAATTCAACTTAGAAAATAATAAAATGATCTTAAAAAGTTTAAATTTTACTTACTTAGTTTTTGCAAGTTTTTTTTATTAATGGATAGGTAGTTGAGACAATAGTTTATAAACAACTGAACAATACGTTGCTTTTTCCGAGATTTTATAGTTAATTTGTTAATACAATGCGATTATCATTATGATAAATCGCAGTATATTTTAATCCTCTGAAGTGTCTTTCTTAGAATCTTAATCTCAAGAGTATTGTGTGTGATTCGTGATAATATAATTTAAATAATTTATTTCGGCTGCAAAAAATATTGATTACTAGCTTTAATCCGCGGCTTCGCTCGCGAATATCTAAAATAATGAAGTTGCTTCCGTACGCGTCTGTAGTCACAGAAGAAGTAACAATGAAGTAGAATGGCGGGAAGTTTAAAATGGTTGAAAGTATAGTCTATGGAAGTATAGTGTACAGTCTCCATAGTGTAGTCAATTGGATTTGATGTTGACGTAGCTGTCGGTAATACAGTGTGATAATACAGTGTGATGGTACTATAGTACTTAGGTTTGAGCTTCATTGCTGGAATGCTAGATGGCGTTAAAGTAGTCAAATAGCCAGATGCAGAGGTATTATTGGCTAAACAATTTCTTTATTTTATTTAAAAAATAATTTTTTTATTAAAAAAAAGTAGCCTATAACCATTCGGGGACCACTAAGAATATGTGTACAAATTTTCATGATGATCGGTTAGGTAGTTTTTGCGTGAAAGTGTAACAAACATCAGGACTTTCGCATTTATAATATTAGTAGGGATATCAGTCACCAATGAGGAACAATAATTTAGATGTATATTTCAAATGTGGAAAGACCAATAACACAGATACTTCCTATAACATTTGAGTTTACGAAAGCAGACTTTGAATTTTTGCTTACCACATCAAAATTAGTATTTTAAACACGAACGGCCAAGGTCGTGACTAAAGTACTCCTGTTTAACCCACTTGATACTTAATATACTGTAAAAGACTAAAAAATTTAGACAGTAAAGAAATCAAAGTAAATAACTACATGAATATTATTTTAATTTAATGAATTTAGAGCAAAAATAATAATTCTGTAATATACATCAGCACTCTACGTAGTAGAGTAGTATAATAGTAGTATAATAAGTATTTTGTTTATAATTGAAATTATATTTGAGTTCTCCCTTAAGTGACTCCCATTACCCTCTTTTACCCTACCTAAATGAAAGTGTAATTGATTTAGGAAAAATCAAGTAACTTATTAATACACTTTACTTGTATTCATAACGCATACCTATACAGTACAGAAACTACATCTAGTTTTTAAGATTATTAACATTTTTATAAATTATCTCTCGTCAAACTCTTGATCTTGGGTATTAATTACTATTTGCAGACCTTTATGTCCATCGACTTGCGTTTCATTGCAACTGTCACTGGCTATATTATTCTCGTAAATAATGATTGCATCGACTTGCGTTTCTTCTGGAGGAACTTCTGGTTTGTTTACTTGTTTCTTTGCCGAATCAGACATTTTACCTCTTGATAAGTCTGGATTAAAAGAATAAGTCAACTTAAAATGATCTTAAAAAGTTTAAATTTTACTCACAGTTTAACGTTTTTTTTAAAGTTTTTTCTTTTTTTGTTATTCTGATGGTTAGGTAAATGAGACAATAGTTAATAAACAACTGAATAATATTTGCCTTTTCCGAGACTTTTATAGTTAATTTTCTGATTCAATGCGATTATCATTATGATAAGTCGCAGTATATTTTAATCCTCTAAAATGTCGTATTTAGAATATTAATCTCAAGAGTATTGTGTGTGGTTCATGATAATATAATTTAAATAACTTATTTTGGCAATAAAAAAGCTTGATTGTAAGCAGATTTTCAATTTTTGCTTACCACATCAAAATTAGTGTTTTAAGCACGAACGGCCAAGGTCGTGACTAAAGTACTCCTGTGTAACCCACTTGATACTTAATATACTGTAAAAGACTAAAAAATTTAGACAGTAAAGAAATCAAAGTAAATACCTACATGAATATTTTTTTAATTTAATGAATTTAGTGCAAAAATAATAATTGATTTAGAAAAAAATCAAATGACTTATTAATACACTTTACTTGTATTCATAACGCATAGATAGTACAGAATCTATAGGTAAATTACTAACATTTTTTTTAAATGTTTAATTTTTTCTGGTCAAACTCTTGATTTTGGGTCTCAATTACTCTTTGCCGACCTTTATTTCCAGTAAACAATTGCGTTTTATTGCACCTAATCATCATATCCTCCTTAATGATTGCATCGACTTGCGTTTCTTCTTGAGGAACTTCTGGTTTGTTTATTTCTTTCTTAACAGAATCAGACATTTTGGCTCTTGATAAGTCTGGAGTAAAAGAATATATCAACTTAAAATGATCTTAAAAAGTTTAAATTTTACTCACAGTTTAACGTTTTTTTAAAAGTTTTTGTTTTGTTTTACTAATGACTTGGTAATCGAGACAATAGTTAATAAACAACTGAACAATATTTGCTTTTTCTGAGACTTTTATAGTTAATTTTCTGATTCAATGCGATTATCATTATATTAAGTCGCAATATATTTTAATCCTCTGAAGTATCGTATTTAGAATATTAATCTCAAGAGTATTGTGTGTGATTCATGATAATATAATTTAAATAATTTATTTCGGCAATAAAAAAGCTTGACTGTATCAGTCACCAACGAGAAACAACAATTTTGATGTTTGTTTCAATTGTGGAGTATTATTTTTGTGGCAATTCGCAGAATTCTATAATTCCATAAGTGCCCAGACAGACCCTCCTTTTCTTATCGCCACGCCTGCAATCCCCACAATTTAATGGTACGGTATGCGTATAAAAGGGGAGTTCGCGGCTGGCCCAACGTCTCTACATCTCAACTTCTACTATTTTTACTTCCTATATGGCAGGAGATTGTGTAATGTTAGGTACCATTTTAAAATTATTTTTATTTTTTATTTTTTTTTACTTTTTTGGGAATTTTATGATATATACCAGTAACCAGGAGTTTAATGCTTTGGGTTCAATCAATTTTTATTTTTATCAGTATCACTATATTATTATAATAATATATTATAACTCAGATAAATAACGATCCTAATCAAATACCAATTCCGGTGCGCCTATAATCCCTCTGACTCCTCTGGATTTAAGCAAGTTCCCTTCTTCATGCTTTTCATCATCATCACTCGTTGCCTTTTCTTCAGATCCTTCCAGTTTTGAATTATCCTGGCTATTTTCTTCACCATCTATTCTATCAGTTAAATCAGTCCCAATTTGTTTCTCAGATGATGTTTCTGATGTAGGATTGTCTTCAAGAACAAGACTTTTACGCTGATTTTCGTCCGCCATATTTAATATGTTTAATCTCTACGCTTACTAAGTGAAATGGAATTTCAGCAAATGTTTCAGTTTATATACTCGTGTAGATTATCAATGCTTTGGACGTATTAAAAAAATAATTAGTTTTGAGTTTAAGCTGGAAAGATTTAATTTCCTAATAGTATTTGTTCATTATTTAATGACGTAGATACTTACACTTGAAATAATCGAAATTCTAGGAAATCATTGTCAATCTCAAGGAAATAATCCATATACTTTTCTCAAATATTATGATTATAGAGATGATAAGAGTGTTAGGTGTGGCACTTGTGAGGGCAGGTGATAAAAGATAAGCATGAAACAATGAGCACTTGTAATTGTAAAAGAATGTTGAATAGCGTTTATTGAATAAGGCGTCTCTTAATCTGCGTCTGCTGCGCTCTGCTTGTACTTAGCTACTGCACCGGGCGCACGCAGTGCGCCGGTGTTGCGCGGGAAAAATAATGTAATGTATGTTGTGTTGTTGGTTGCCTACGTTACGCATTTCGCTAACACTCGACCGTCCTGACTCTCACTCGTCCTCGAGTGTGTATGCTGCGAAGCGGGCTGGAACCTTTGTGACTCGTGAGCTCTTCCTTACGTTTTCACCTCGGCAGTGGCGCTTCCACTTGCCGGAACTTCTTCTCCTGCAACGTCGTCAGCTTGATTGGGTCGCCAGATTTTGAGCTGGCTGACGTGTGCTGTTGTCGCGTACAGCTTCCCAGGCTCCTCTTCGTTCAGATTGATTACGCGGTATGTGTCATTGGGGAGCACTTCATACACCTTGAGCGGTCCTCTGTAACGGGGTTGCAGTTTAGTAGAGTCACCCGTTGCAACACTATTTGTCTTCATAAATACAATATCGCCTATGTCATAGTGGACATTTAATAATCTTTTGGCGTCGAACTGGCGCTTGTAATTTTGCTTTTCCTTTTCCAGTCGAGTTCTGACTTTTCTTTGTAAATCGCTAGGGGACTCGTACGTTTCCTCGTTGACGGTGAGGCAACGTGTTACACCATCGTTTAATCTTGGTGCGTACCCAAACACTACCTCAAAGGGCGTTTTTCCTGTAGTCTTGTTAACTGCGGTGTTTAAATCTCGTTCCGTGGATTTTAGTTCCTTATCCCATTTGTTATCTTCGCTGCAATTTCTTAGCAGTGGTAGAAGCGTACGGTTCACGCGTTCTACTTGACCGTTAGCCTGCGGATGTCGTGGTGAATTGAGCGTGTGATTTATTCCATGCTGATTGCAGAACTCGGCGAAGGTGGACGAGGTGAAACAAGTACCACGATCGCTGATGATACGCTCTGGGGCTCCAAAGTCCTGCACGAACGCTGAGAGGGCCTTGATAACCTCCGGAGTTTTCGTCGTTTTGGTAGCGTGTAATCGGACGAATTTGGTTAAATTGTCGACGATTACTAGTACATAGCGTTTGTGAGACGTACTCTCAACAAAAGGACCAACGTGGTCAATATGGATGACAGCAAAGGGCGGCGCCCCGAGGGAATAGGGTGAAGTTCGCCGGCCTTCTTCCCACTTTTGTTTTTCAGGATGATGCATTCAATACAACTGGCTATGTGCTGTTTGACATACTGTGTCATCTTCGGAAAGAAGTAGTGGCGTCGGATCTTGGCTACTGTGCGCTCGACGCCAAAATGTCCTTGTAGGTCATGATACTTTGTTACTAGGCTCTTTCGCATTGCCTTTGGGGCGACAAAGATCAACCTTTGAGTCTCATCCTCTTGAATTTGCTTATAGAGAATGCCTTGCTGAAGTACGTAACCATTTACTTCCGAACTCTCGCTTGCGGTACGTACCTGCCTGTTGAGTAACTCGATTTTGCGTTTGAGTAGCTCGTCAGATCGTTGGTACAGTACTATTTCCTCCTCCAAGGAAAGTATCGTGAACACGTTTCGGGTGATCAGATTCTCGACGGGAGTCTCACCCTCGTTTGACACTGGTGCGCGACTCAGCGCATCAACATGTATCATCTTTTCGCCAGGACGATGTTCTACCTTGAAGTTGTATTCACACAACATGTTGAACCACCTTGCTACTTGTGGATACTTTGTTTTGGCAGTATTCAGAAACACAATCGCCTGACAGTCGGTGACCACAGTAAACGGAATATTGATGAGATAATGTCGGAGTTTCTCGACGGCCCATACCACGGTCAGCAGTTCGAGTTTACTCGAGTGGTAATTACATTCAACATCGCTAGTCCTGCGACTTACTGCATAGACCAAGTGAAGTTTGTCATCGTGTTTCTGTAACAGCATAGCACCCAGGCCTTGGCTGCTCGCGTCTGTATGCAAGTAGGTCGGGCGTTTCGCGTCGAAGATTTTGAGTACCGGGCTCTGCGTCAGAGCGGTCTTCAAATCCTTAAAGGCAGCATCATGGGCAGACGTCCAAATGTAAGATTCGTTTTTGCGGAGCAATTTGTTCAAAATGGCGGCCCTGGAACCAAAATTGGCTATAAAACGGCGAAAGAAACTAGCCATTCCCAGGAAACGCCGTAGCTGGTGGATATCTGTAGGCGCAGGATACTCCGAGATCGCTCGTAGTTTCGCGGGGCCAGGCTCGATGCCATCGGCACTCAGAATGAACCCTAAATACTCCACACGCTCCTGCATGAAGTAGCATTTTCGATCCTCAGCGTTAATCCGGCACCTCTCAACGCCATCAGGGTCTTGGTTAACCTGACTCGCATGTCCTTCCAATCACGCGCAGGTATGAGGATGTCGTCAAGGTAGTACATCACCGTGTCATTACGGAGAGGTCCCAAAACCTTTGCATTAGTTTTGAGAAGTACGAGGGGCATTGGTCAAGCCAAATACCATTCTGGTAAACTCACCCGTTTGGTCCGGAGTAATAAAAGCTGTCTTTCTGCGTGCTTCTTCCGACAATGGTACCTGGAGGTAACCATGAGCCAAATCAAGTGTCGTGAAGTACCTTGCATCGCGAATCTGTGTCAGATGTTCATCCATGTCGGGCAGCGGAAATGGCAATGGTTCGGTCTGGTTGTTCAACCGTCGATAGTCGACAACCATTCGGTACTCCCCAGTCTTCTTCTTCACCAGCAGTACAGGGCTGGCGTATGGTGAGGTCGTGTCGGTGACTAGACCTGCATCTCTGTATTCGTTGATGATGGTGTTGAGCGCCTCGCGCTCATCGGCACTACATCTGTAAGGCTTCTGGCGCACGGGTTGACTGCCCGGCACCTCGGTGATGTCCATTTGTAGGACCGTTGTGCATCCTAACTCGGAGGAATCGATCGCAATGGTATCGCGGAACTCGTTGAGGAGGCCATGCAGCTCGTTCACTGTGTCCGTATCCAAATTGTCGTCCACGTTGATGACCTCGAGTGGAATGGGTTGCTGGCGGGGCTCAGCTTGCTCCAAATTCAGTACCTCACCCCGAAACAGACTCGTGTTCTGAGATACATGAGTGGGCTCAACCGCCCAATTGATCAGTGGAAAAGCATGCGTTTCCGTACCTGAGACAACCTCTACCAGGTTTACGGAACGTGGTGGAATGTTCGCTTCCGTCGTCACTCGATTTGACGCGCGCTTCTTCGCCTCGACTTCCAAAGCAGAGAACGGATCATCACTCCGGTACGTAAATATCAGGTCGTCATCAATGCGCATGTAGACGATAGACGGGTTCTCGGTGAATGGTCGACCGATGATGGCGTCCACGCTCTGAACGTCGTCGGGAACGATGCTAAAGACTATTTCTAAGAGAACTACACCATCGATGGCAACATCCGCCGTGACAAATCCGGGAGATTTGACAACATGGTTTGCGGGACCAAATGCCTTCAGCAAGGTCTCCTTGCGCTGAATGGTAAAGCCTGCGGCGATGGCTTGCGACGCCTTCAGGGTGCACTCCGAACTTCCTGGATCAATCAAGCTCTGGAACGCCATTCCGTTGCATGTGATTGGCTTCAAGTATTTGAGCACACCATCATTGTCTTGCGAAGTAATGATCTTTACTTGTCCATTACTCTTTGCGGCTGTCTCCGCTGGACGGGTTTCGGGCTTGGATAGTCCGCGTGGTTTTGGTGGGATAGGGCAATCTCTGGCGAGGTGTCCCTCCTTGTTGCAGTTGAAGCATTTCATGACTCGACTTGTAGTCGGCTGTGGCGGTGCTGGGGTTGCGGACCGCCCTACTTCTGATGGTTTCTTCATGGGCGCACCATAGGAATCCATCACACGTGGTGCATGGGTTGATTGACTCCTGGGAGAAGGAAACAAGCGCTCCTCACGAGCCTTGTGCACACGCAAATAATTCAGCAAGTCATGGTACAGGCTGTTGGTGTCGGCGTGACGTTGTGCCATCATGGCTGTGCACAGCTGCTTATCATACAACCCAATAAGCAGTTGTTCCTTCTTCTCCTCCAGGCTCAATTCCAACCCTGCACATAAATGAAGTTTGTTGTAAAAGTAATCAGTAATATCAAGGTCTTTGGATTGTACATAACTTTCCATCCGCTTCCAACGAGTAGCAAAACTGTCTTGTTGGATGAAGGTGTTGGTGAAGGCGGCTTCAAAATCGACTAACGTGTGCACGCCCTGCAGATCCTGGAACCATACGGCGGGTCCTCCAGCGAGATGCGTTCGCACAACCTCTAGCGCGTACGCGTCGTTCCACTGATGTAGTTGGCATTGGCGGCGTAGCGATGCCAACCACTCTGAGGCACTCTTCTTCGCGTCGAACGTCGTAAGTCCGGACTGTGCACCCGGTGCACTATGGTAGGTGGTGGCCGGTGGCGATGGGCGCTGCGCCATTGCCATCGACTGCATTAACGTATTGAACATTTGCATCACGCCGGCCAGGGTGGCGGCGTCCGTGCCAGGTTGTGGTGGCATCGGTTGTTGCGACGCACCAGCTTCGTTTCCATCATCGCCCATCGTGGATGTAGAACGTCTTTCGGCTTCTCGGGGATACTCGCGCGAATCGTCGTTGGCCGGGACGTTGGCCGTTACTCGTGCGTTCCGTTGTGCCCCCCTTCGGCACGTGTTCTAACCTCCAAGATTTCCGTTGGCGCGGAAAAAAAAACTAGGCTGCCTCGCGCAGGATGCTCTCAATAATGCTCAAGTCTCACGTCTTACCTGTTCATCCCACTTCTGAGATGTTAGGTGTGGCACTTGTGAGGGCAGGTGATAAAAGATAAGCATGAAACAATGAGCACTTGTAATTGTAAAAGAATGTTGAATAGCGTTTATTGAATAAGGCGTCTCTTAATCTGCGTCTGCTGCGCTCTGCTTGTACTTAGCTACTGCCCGGGCGCACGCAGTGCGCCGGTGTTGCGCGGGAAAAATAATGTAATGTATGTTGTGTTGTTGGTTGCCTACGTTACGCATTTCGCTAACAATCCTATTTTGATTATTAAGCTACAATATTGAAAAGTTTAATTAAAATTGGTTCAGTAATACTTGCGAGAAAGTGTAACTAACAAACAAACATATTAATATAGGCATTTATAGTACCTATTAAGGTTTGAAATAAAAGCAACAATCGCAAAATATGATTTTACTTTACAAAAGTAATAACTTACGTATATTCTCGTTAATTCTTGTTTTATAAATGTACAAGTATCAGAGCTGATAGATTATGAAATACGGTATCAAATTAATATTAATCAAATATCATTTCTGGTGCGTCTATAATTGCCCTGCGTGTTCTTCTTTTAACCATTTTTTCTTCATCTTGATTTGGTTCTTCATCGTTTTTTTGTACTATCCTGACTGTTTTCATCTTCATTTATTTCATTTGTTTCATCACTTTCATTTTGGTCTTCAGATGTGGTTTTTGTTTTCGGAGTATTTTCATTAAGTGAACCATCAGTTTGATTATTCTCAGCCATGTTTGTTTGAGTAGTTTTGAAGGTTATGTAATGTGGTCGTTGGAAGTAACGCACTCGAAATGATATGGATTGTCGGCAGGTGTTTCATCTTATATACTTAATTATCGTTTATCAGTTTGGTGTGAAATAAAAAGATTAGTTTTGGGCGTGGTCTTTAAACATCGAATTCCTATGGTGTTTGTTCATCATACTTGAACTTGAAATAACCGCAATTTGTTTAATTTTTTGAAAACTCGGCAACCCAACATACTCTTCCTCCTCTTAATGTTGCGTCGCTATTTATGAATACTTATTTCATTTTCTCGTAACCGCGGACTGATTGTTGTTTAGTTTTTATCGATGCGTTAAATAATGAGAGAATATACGATTGAATTTTTCAAAATAAATTATTGATCAAACTCAACGGTGGGTGTGTCGATAAGAGCCCGACGAGATCTTGAATGTGCTTCATTGGAGTCTCCACTGTTGTCTTGTTCATCGTACTGTTCGTCTTCTGGAGGGTTTTGTTCACGTTCGTTGTCGAAGGCAGACATTTTGCTTAAATAAAAACTATAATTTAAATATTCTGTACTTTTATTTAATAATTAAATATTTTATTTAAATTTTAAAATTATTAACTAAATCTTAAAATTTACCAACCTTATAAGCCTTTACTGCGGAATTGTCAATCAAGATACGATCACTTGCACTATTGCTTCCCTACAGACTTTTAGAGTGAAGTGATTGTTGTATATATGTACTTATGGACATAGAGGTGATTAAGATTTTTGACAGGTGAGGATTGATAACAATTATCAAACTTTTAATGTCACGCAGTTTACCGTAAATAACTGGTTTGTGCATTAAAGTTGTAATTGATTGTGGTTGGACTTTCCAAATTTATGGATAATAATTATATATTTGACCTTCATTTAAATTAATTTCACTTGCTTCAAATAAAAATTAAACAAATATTTAGTAATCTGTGCACAAATGGCAGTGCTCTTAAATTATGTTGGGTTGCCTACTCTTGTTACATAACTAAAAAACACTAGTTTTTATTCGGTTGGCAACGCACAATACAAAAACGAAAGAAGAGCAAGTCAAATATATATGATCTATAATTGCCCGAATTTGTTACCAGAAAGAACAAAATTAAATAGAAAGTATTAAAAATATTTAAAACAAAAAGTTATAGAAGCAGAAAAATCTGAACAAGGTTATGATGTTTGACCTACTCGACAATTGCTTTGCAGTCACGTAAAGTACATGATTTTTTTAAGTCTTAAATACAATTAATACTGGCTTAAAACAAATCCTTAAAACAAGTACTTGCAAGTGCAATTAACGCCAAATAGAATGCGCAAATTCAATCAATCAAACTTTCCATGCCTCATATTTTTAACTATCAAAAAACTTGAACTTTAAAGCGGATATTTGTAATAATTTCAAGTGCAAGATGCTTACATAATAAACGTAGATTGATTGATTAGTTGATATTTAAAAATATTAAACTATCAGTCGTGTATACTGTCTAAATACATGTTTTCCACATTAACCTACACATAAACACCAAGAAAGTATTTTCTTAAACAATTTAAATATGACAAGTACAAAAAATCCATATCCAACGTGCGCATTCTACGCGTCGCAATACCGCAGGATAACACTGCGTCGGCGCAGCGCCGGCAGGAGCCACCTGCACCTGCATCCACCTTTTCAGTCCTTCGCAACAACGCGCGGATCGCCATCCTCCAACGCAATAATCCTTAAAACATATAATTACATTCACAGTCATCAATAATCCCGCACACGATTCGCCACCGTGCGAAATTCGTGCGTAATTGACCTGCGAACGCATAAAACAATGGTAATTCAAGTCTCCAGCGCGTAGTTAAATAAAACACTATAACAAACAAACGATCGACTGATATCGGTCGGCGATGTAAGGCATAAGCAAACATATGATAATGTGGATAATGTGTCAAGTGGACGTTATCGGCGCTGTCGCGATTGTCGCCGTTGTCGGATTTTCGCATCGTTTCCAACCTCTCTGAGCCTCTGTGAGTCTCGCAAGACACAAAAATTAGTTTCATTATTCGGCATGCACATTGTGTAGCAATAGTTTTATTATCAAATTAAATATTGACTATGAATATGGTAAAGGTACGATGTGATTTGCTTGCAGCAAACATCTCCGGCTGTTGATAACGAGTAAGAGGATATTGATGTGAATAATCACCGGTTTAAATCAATATGGATGTTGTAAAGATTAGTCTGGAGGCTTTACTGCGTAAGTAAAAACATGTGTCTGTAAAATATCATAAGCACACTTAGATTTTATGTTAAAAAATGTAAAAATGTGAAAATTTTTGAATTTGTTATCAATTTGAAGTTTAATTCGGTTAAATCTTTGAATTTTTCATGTTTTTCTTGGTCAATTAATCCGCCATTTTGTTTAATTCGCATATTTAATACTAATACTTTAATATTGACCCAAAAAAACAATAAAATTTATCATTTTATATTAATTACTGATTAATCTATAAATATTTTGATATTTAGATTTCTTTATCTCTTAATAAGGCGCCATATTGATAAATTTTAAAATTTAAAACTTTTATAACCTTAAATTATGATCAATCAATCAAATATTTTTATTTTTTTGGCAAAATTTCGATAAGATTAATCACAAACCACTAATTTTTATCAAGATACTCTCAAGTGTTTGTTTAAATATTAATCTTTTAAATATTTAAGTATTTACACTTGACACAATTAAAATATTAACATGTTTTGCATATTTTAGAACGCGCAACAAATCCCCAAAATGAAAACATTGACACCGCCGCAGTGGAAGCCTTCTGCGCGTTAATCAACAAAGAAAAAGACGGCCCACTACTCGCCGTCAAACTGCTCGCTACTCGCATGCACTCCAAACGCGAGCTGGAGGCCCTTCAAACCCTTCACATCCTCGACTACTCGATGCAAAAGTGCGGCGCGTTGTTCCAGGACGAAATCGGCAAGTTCCGCTTCCTCAACGAGATGATCAAACTTGTATCCCCGAAATATCTCGGTGCGCACACCCCACTCGCTGTCAAACAAAAAGTCCTTCAACTAATGTACCTCTGGATGCTGGACTATCCGAAACAATCTAAGATCAAAGACGCCTATGATATGCTGAAGAAACAAGGAGTGATCAAGGATGTCCCCCTGAGTGTAAGTGCGGACTATCAACTGGAGCGCCAGCAACATAACACGATCTTTCAGGACGAGGAGAAAGGAAAACTATTGAAGAAGTTATTACAGAGTAAAAATCCCGAGGATTTACAAGCTGCAAATAGATTGATCAAAACTATGGTTAAAGAAGACGAGAAAAAGGCTGAGTTGAAAAGTCGGAGAATCTCAGAGTTGGAATCTGTTCAGAATAATATAAGATTATTGAATGAAATGTTGGATTCGTTTAAGGTTGGAGTATCCTCAACCGATGAGACGGAGCTGATTAAAGAGTTGCATGAGAGTTGTGTGCGCATGCGTCCTAGTATTACTAAACTAGCATCAGAGACGCAGCAGAATGATGAGATACTGAGTGAGGTTTTGCGGATCAATGACGAGTTGGGGCAAGTGTTTGATAAGTATCATGTTGTGATGGTCCTCGGACAGGTTGGAAGGGAATCAAGTGTTAGGCAAACGTCTTTACTAGATCTTTCTGTTCTGGACAGGCTGGATGCTAAAAAACTAGTAATGTTGATGTGTTATGTGATATTCTATCACCGATTGGTGATGATATTCTGAAACCAACTGCTGTTGGTTTGGTTGCAGAAAGTAAACCGGAGGAAAGTGATGAATCTAAGAAGAAAAAAGCGTTTGAAACTCTGGATGCGCTCAGTGAGACGTTACTATTAGAAAATTTACAAACTGCGACACGTCTGGGTAGTCAATTCAATAAATCCCCCAATGATAAGATACCGATGAATCTCCTGCAAAAGTCTCAATCTCAATCATCTCAAGCTACTTCCATAACTAATCATACTTTAAATCCCATCTCGTCTGTGACCTTTAAAAGTAATAATGTTAAAGCCGCGTTGGATTTGGACGCGGAATTATCGCTATTGTTAGAAACAAATGTTGAATCTCACCATAATGAATCCTCGAATGCGTTGGATGATCTGCTTGTTGATATCACGACGACTCCAGCGTCTACGCCTGCTATGACGCCGACTGCGGTTCAAAATGGCGGAACATCAGCGTCTGGAACATCCGAGAAAACAGAAATTAAACATACTCATGAAACAGATGATAAAGTTCTTGATACGTCCGCTGAGAATAAGAACGCGTCGTTGAAACTGAGCGATCTGTTTGTCGATTTGAAATCAATTAAACCGAGCGGCATCGAGCCGATTGTGGCCTTAAACGAACAAAATGGCGTCGCGTTGACGCTGCACTTTGCCAAAGATAAACCGCACCAAGATGTCTCAGTCATGGTCGTTTCCATAGCCAACAAGAACGAATTACCGATGAAGAACGTGTTGTTTCGTGCGATTGTACCGAAAGTAAGTGTGGGTTGCCTATATTAAACATAAATCATTAAAAATATTGTTTTTAGACGTGTAAAGTCAAGTTACAACCGCCATCTGCATCAGATTTACCGGCGTGCAACCCATTTCTACCCCCGAGCGCGATAACGCAGGTAATGCTCATCGCCAACCCGGAAAAAATACAATTATCGCTTAAATTCATCGTCAGTTACAACGTCGACGACGAAATGATGACTGAGATGGGAGAAATTGACGAGTTACCCACATAACTTTCACAACTTAATAACAATTTACATTATTCGCATTAAGAGGTAATTAGTCGCTGTGATTTATAATTTTTATGTACATAATACATACGATAAATATAAACAACTTCAACCAAATATCAATATCTGGTATTCTTGTATGTACAATTAACATAACACCTAATTTTATAACATAAATCACGCACGACGTAAAAATAGCGTTTTTAAAACATCACGATCATCATCAGCATGAAGGAGTGAATGATTGAAATGATTATAAATATATGTACATGAAAACTAACTTAAGGAGACAAGCAGGGAAATACTTGTGCATGTTTTACGACTCAAGTCGCACAATTGACATGTTTTCGCAGGAACAATATACAATTGTACAGCGCTATCGCAGGACCCAGTTTGTACTTCAGCACTTCAACCAAGTCGTCCTGTGTAAGCATGAGGAAGGATTCACCATCGATTGAATGTTCCACGAATGCTTCTGCATTGTGTTTGGCGAATGGTAAAGATTGCACGTAGTCCATGACATTCATCGTTGTCCACAACATCGGATCAGTCTTGCACTTTGCATAACATTTGTAATACTTCGAGTGCTTATTGCGCATGTTAATCTCCTCTAAATTTAACTCTTCTTCGCCTAGGATGGATGAATGTGACTCTTTTTTGATTGAAATCGATTGGGATTTGATAGATGCGGATGGAGAGGGCGCTGGCGTCGAGTTTGACGATTTTATCTTAAACTCGATGCTAGGACTTTCCAATTTATGCGCATCTGTGTCTTCCGGTGTCTGTGGGATTTCTGGACTTCCTCTGCTTGTAACTCGAGTGGAATCTTCTGTTTTTTCCACGTGTGCTGAACCAATCCATTCGGTTTTAGCTGCATTCGTTTCGTATTTCCTCTTGGATGCTTTCTTACTGTAATTTATCTGTTTTTAATGTCTTGCTTGAGTTTTAAAACGGTTAACTTACGTTCGGGGTTCACGGCTGACAGGAACAATTGCTTCCAGCTCCCTGTCAGGTGAAAGCAAACGATCTGGGAGGAGTGTATCGATATCGATGTTTGCTTCGGCGTATGGGCAGTATTTCAGACTGTTGTGTGTGCTGAGCAGTTGTCCCTTCATGTTACCAATGCCGCGACAACCGATGGTGGCGCATTCCATGAAGTCGTATACATCATCAGGTGCTGAAGTTATAAACAATAAAATTTTTGGTTAAAATTTAAACTGGGGAGTAAAATGTATGTCAAACAACACAATGAACAATAGCATTTATAAATATTAATTATTTTTAAGGTTCAGATAAGGAAAGCAATAAAATTTAGTGATAAAGTTTGTTTATTGTACTTACTCAACGGTGGTTCTAAAGGATGTCCGGTTTTCTGACACCAACCGACCGGATGAATGTCCGGATTGTCTTCGTCCACCCAATATGAGTATCTATCCGGCCATCCGTCGAAAGCGACTCTCAGTCGGTGTTGTTTCACCTCCACGACGCAAGCAACACGCACAAGTTGCGGCACCCGCTTATCGACAGCCTCTAAGCGCATACCTTTCCGGAAACCACTTGGTGGTCGTTGTTTGAACGCTCGCACCGGCGCGGCGACAGAATTTGTTTCTTTCAGGTACTTTTCCCAGGTGAAGTTTTCAAGATTTGGATAATCTTTAATTAAATAATATGTATATTAATTAATTCTGCGTTTGAATAAAATGAATTTAATTAAATAAAAATAAATTTACCATTTGGTGGTGTTAAACTATGTCCATTTTTATCACACCATCCAACGGGGTGAATGTACGGACTTGATGGATCCGCCCAGTAGTCGTAAATGTCGTCCCAGCTGTCGAAGTGCACCAGGATGCGGCTGTCCATCAAGTCTTTGGCAGTGGCGACGCATACTAATGCAGTGTTTTTTCGATCGACTGCTTCAAGTTTCATTCCGACACGGAATGCGGTAGGAAATATTGCCTGCATGATAAGAAAAAATTGTCAATAACAAAAAAACATCGGAAATACTTTAAACAAGTGCCTAATTACAGTACCAGGCATAAACATTAATTATTGGCAATTGTATATCAAATTAAGTTAGAAAAACACAGAAATTGAAGCAAACCGTCGCCATTTTAAGATTTTTAAGTTTCAAATTAACAAAAGTAGTTTAATAGAACTAAAACTTGAAGTAATCGATGAATTTTTAAGAAAAATAAAGAAATATTTTGAATTACATGCATAAATAAATATTTTGTGATTTATTTTCATAATTTGTTCTATAATTAACCACCAATTGTTCAAAATGTCCAAAAGCACGTCTTCTATACATTAATCTCTCAAAAATAAAACATGTTATGCATTTTAAACAAGTTAATAATACTTACACTTCCAGTCCGGTTCGAAAACAAATGTTTGGGAGCAACCGACGCCTTCGTGTGCTTCAGATAACTAACCCAGTTGAAATCCGGAAAATTCGGCGGTGGTTGCAACACATGATCGTGTTTCTCACAAAACCCAGCTGGGAAAATATCCATACTATCCGCATTCGCCCAGAAATCATAATTCTTGGGATACCCATCAAAATGCAACAACAATCTATACCCTTGCACCTGCGCCACAGTCATAACACAAAAATACGACGGATGCAATGGATCAATCCCTTCCAGTTTCATACCCGGACGGAACCCATTCCGATTATATGGAAACGCATCTTTGAACAGTTTCACCGGTGCACCGATTGTATTGATATGCGCCAAATACTTCGACCATGAAAATCCTTTAGTTTTACAATGCCACGGATACTTATCATATGAGGACTCTGTTCTTATACTGGCATCATCATCGGATGAATGTGTCTCACGTTCACGATCGCCATTTTCTAATTTTCGTTTCTTCGCTGCATTACCGTGATTATTAGCTGAATTCGACGCGTTGCTTTGCGACTGCGTCTGTTTGGGCCGTTTCTTTTGATTTGCAGCATCATCAACTGCTTTTTTCTCACCCAAGGCATGACATTCCAAACTACAATACTTCGGATTAATAAATTCGGAAGCCATGCCGAAACATCCACATTCTAAACATCGCATTTCTTCTTGTTCCTCAGCGGGTGATAATTCTTTCTTAACTTTTTGTTTTCTCACCTTTTCAATGGCTTCCTTCTTAGGTTTGGACAAATGCATCTTATTATATTCATCCTGAGTCAAATACTCAAGAAAACCAAACTCGTTAATGAAAAATTTCAAATTTGTCCCCGGCAGCTTACCAACCGATTGTTTCCAATCAAACACTTTAATAAACTCTTCATCCAGCAAAGAACTGAAATTAAACGGATCTGCACCGGAATTTATCTCGTCCACTTCCTTATCATGACGGTTTTCCTCTTCCAGGTCTAATTTTTAAGAGTTGCGCCTTTTGTCGACACTTGCACCTCGATTTCATGGAAATCTTTGCGTAAACAAAGCGTAGACTTTCTACTACGCTTCGCAGGAGCATGAGCTATCACAGGAGTGGAATTAATCGGTTCTTCTTTAATTTCAGGCGTGATTTGAGGAGGTGCCAACGGTGGCAAAGGATCCGGAAGGGATTTAGTGATGTGGACTTCTTTGGTGTTAGGATCTGAAATTGTAATGATTGTATCAGTGGTGGTCACAGGTGGGTCGACTTTAGGAATAAGCGGAAAACTGCGTTTTAGAATCGAAACCCCGTGAATTGGTGGCATTGACGTAATTTTATCATTTTTATCTTTCTCCTCGCATTCTTCCTCAACAATCGACAACTCATACGATCTATCATCCTGAACTGGTTTCTTTTCAACGTTTTTCTCATCCGGCACAGCCGTGATGGTTAAATCAGTATCGACCATTTTATTCTCAGGCATTTTCAGATTAATAATCTTACTCTTGTTCTGCACGGAGTGCATCAGAGGCATAAAACTGATCTTTGACTGCACTGAATTCGTCGTCATGGTGACCGGCAATCGACTGGTGCTAGTTGTAGTCGGCATTGGCGTGATCATGATCTTTTGATTGTTTATAACTTGCAAGGTGCTCTCGCTCGTCAACTTACCCATGTTGGTGATGCTAGTAATCGGTAATCGGGACGCTGCTAGCACACTATCAGGCGGTTTGCTTACGGGTTTCAGCATGGTGAGGTAAGTGACGCCGTTTTTCGGTAGATTGGTGGCTTTCTGGAGAACAATCGGTGTTTTACCAAGCATCATCTGATTGTTCACCTGCTGCATGGGTAGTATCTGTGGTAGTGCAAGCACATTACTGTTTGTCGATGATGTGTGCAGTTTTTGATTGGGTTGTGCCTGGATTACAACCACTGGCAGCATTTGGTGTTTGCCAACTTGATGCAACTGTGTGGGCTGTCCTGGAGTTATTGTTTGTTCCATTGTGGTGATGATTATGGGTGTGTCGGATGCATTTGAAGACATTGTCTGAAAATATAAAGCAAATATGAATATTTTTATGTTAATTTTCAGTTAAAAACTAATTTTTTGAAATCTTAACCTTAGAAATTTAAATCTAATCAAATTAAACTTGACTAATTCATGAGTAGTAAGTGTATATTATGTATAATTTAATGTATTGTTGAGTTATTATTCGAAAGGCATCAAGTGCATTAACAAATGAAACAATCGAATGGATTATAAATCTACATATGTGTATATTAAATTCTTTTATACCTCAAAACATATAAACCTACCACAAATACATCTGCTACTTATATTATATCCTTATCTTAAGTTTATGATTAGGTAGAAATTTACAACTTGCATGTGCCAAGCACAAATTGAATATTTCTTATGAAGAGCGATTGTTATGTGACGGTTTGCTGTTGGTGCCTGGTGTGCGTAAAACTTTCCTTGCTGAAGCAAAAGCATTCGTCTCACAGCTTGGAAAATATTTACTCTATGTAAAACAACTCACCCCGCGTCGATAATTACCTGTGGAAGAATCGCAAAGTGTTTGTAGACATCAGGAGATTAAATTTTCGTACCTGAATCGCACCGAAACTCTTACACCGCACCGAAAAATTGCCATTACCCGAGTTGCGCATGCGCATCACATGCCGCGCACAGCGCAGTGGCGTGCGCGGCGTACATTTCAACTAGAAATGTAATAATCACTCGCGAGTCTTTCCAAATGAATAAATCTTACGAAGCCATTTACGAAACAGATAAAACGAAAACTACATCAAAGCTAATTAATATGTTAATAATACATTCAGTTATTCTACATTTGTTGCGTTTCGTTGTTTAGTTCCGCATCGTTTGTTTGCATTCCGCCATTTGTAATTTTTGTAGTAAGTGAAGAACAACTGTCTAACCCGTCGGAAACAATGCTTCCTCTCAATATTTATTTAATTATTCAAAAATGTCTGAAAATATATTAAATAATTCCTGAACTAAACAATTTAGTAATAAATTCAGCATCAAATTATACAATGTTTTTCTTTCCAGCAGGTTTCTAGTATGAATTATCGACCAAAGTTTACAAACACTTGTAGAATTCAATAAAAGTGATTTTATCAGCCTGCTAACGAATACATTTCGATAAATGTGCATACGCTAGGTCTAATAACATCTAATTTAACAATTATCTCTACTTCAATGACGTCACAGCGCCGAGCACGTGTTAAAAAAATCGAGAAAATTTATAATTGCAGCGTCTCGGATTAAGTTCGGGCGTGAAATCAGTGAAATGTACGTATGCATATTTATTTACTCAATAATCAGACTCGTAGAACAAAGCATTGCATTCGTATCTATTAAAAACTTGCTGATAATGTGCGTGAATAAATATACACGAAAACAAAAGCCACTAATAATCATTTCGACAACAAAAATTGCTAAAAGAAATGATTTTGTATATCTTATTATGTTTAAAATCAACTATAAGTAAGCTTTCATAATCTTGAAATGTCACAAGCTTATTTTATTCACTTACACCTTGAGAAAGTATCGCATTATAACAAGGTCGAGGTAAAATTCGATTATTACCGAATTAATCTGCGCTAACACTAACTACCTACTAAAAATCACTGCATAACCTATGCTACTGTTCGTTTTGAAGTTGTTTTTACTGTAAATCGTGATATTTCAGTGAGATTTACGTAAAATTCCGTGAAAAGCAAATCAAAAACGTAAGATAAGTTTCAGTGAGTTTCAACATTCGGGTTGGTTAAGCAAGCTGACTAATAACTTACAAAAAAATATATTTTGTTCGGAATATATTAATGTACTTCATAAAATTGCATAGAAGAATAGTTTTAAATGCTTTAGCTAATGTTTTTGTATCGTTTCAGGGCGTTTTTGATAGAAATATTAATAAAATTCACTCACCAGAAAGTCCGACAAACTCCATAAACGAATGTGTCCATAAATACAGTTGTTGCGCCTGCGCCCTTTGCCGTGTTTTTGCGACGTTGTTTCATTTCACTTAAACTCAAAAATATTTAAATATATTTTATGAAATTTACATTTAAACTTAATAATATGTAATTTATATCATACATATGCATTTGTTAATACGTTTATTTGATATATTCGTTGTTTTATTAATGTTTTGCACTTGTTTTGAGTATTTTTATGTCAATTTTTTTGTATTATTCACTAGAAGTAAAGTTGGCAACACTGTAAGCAAAATCAGCTGCTTAACAAATGACAGCCGATGACGGCCAATGACGGCTCGAGCGCCTCATAGCACCGCACAGCATTTATTATGATATCGTGAGCAGGAGTTGTTTTGCTTTTCCTGCGGCGTTGAATTCGTTCCTAGTACTCCGGCAGTCGGGTATCCTACGCGTTTGGTTGAATTATCGACGCCGCGACGCCTGCCATCAGTGCAAATCAATCCAGCGATTGTTTACGACTGGGCATTCGTGGTGTCAACGCCATTTCATCGTCCTGTGAACGGCCGGAATCCTGCGGCTGCACATTTGCACCATCTGCAACTGCAAGTAAGTGCATTTTTTCGTTATTCAATGCGCAACACGGCATATGTTGCCGCAGTCACTCGCAGTCCTGTTAAAAGATGGTGGATGAGCTTTCCATCAACAAAACTATTTATAATTTGTCGCATTTTATTTGATTTTGCGCTTTTTCCGCGTATTTCATATACGTCAATTGCATACAGATACAATTCAATAGATATTTGTATTGGGTTCGAAATTCATTGGAAATTAATTGAATTGTTTGTCAGGCAAGTTATTTATAGGCATTTACTTTTATCATCTTGATTTCGTTCACGTAAACATTTCTTCCAACTGCCAAACAATGTTATTTTAGGTTGGCGGAAGACGCAGTGGTTTTACGTGGTAACTTTCCTTTGTTTTAAACTGTCAAAAGTTGACATAATCCAATGACATAACCTGTCATTATCAATTTAACTTGATTTTTGTAAAAACACTGTTTAATTCTTCATTTTCTTCACTGATTTTTATAACTTTTGCATAAAATTAAACTTTTACGAGATTTTACGAGATAATTTAGTTAATAATAAAGCTAAGTTTATATATTTTTGGCATTGAATGCCAGCGCCACCTATGTCAGGTTATAAAGGTTAGATAAATGTCAAAAGTGACATCTACAACACAAAAACCCTAAATTAACGTCATTTGTGTTAGATTGCATGAAAAAACTAATAAAACTTTTATTACATGACGACTACAGCGTAAAAATCACTGACAATATTAAATATTATCAATATTATTATTTACATAATAATATTTATACGTAAATATTGAGTCAATATAATTTTTGTCCGTCAACAACATGTTTACGCGTTTTTATTGATACATTCTAATACAATCCGACATCAATACATAATATTGATGAGATCTGTGTTTTCCAGCGCCTGAAAATATACCTCTTCGCCCTATATCTGCGCTCAATCAAAATGGGCAACGCTGTCAACGCGGGGGCGGACAACGAAGAGCTCACCGACAATCTCTGCGAGGCGGATTACATCCGCACTAAAAAAATCGAGCGCATTTTCCGCGCCGTGGACCGCGGCGAATACATCCTGCCCGAGTATCGCGCGAATGCCTACCGCGATCAAGCATGGCGCAGCAATCACCTGCATTTATCAGCGCCATGTATCTACAGCGAAGTGATGGAGGGTTTGGGACTTGGTCCGGGGATGAGTTTTTTGAATTTAGGTTCCGGGACTGGTTATCTCAGTACATTGGTGGGACTTATCTTGGGATGTAATGGTATTAATCATGGTGTGGAGTATTATGAAGATGTCATTCAATACGCCAATAAGAAGTTGGAGGATTTCAAGCGCTACAGTGGCGCTGTGGACGAGTTTGACTTCTGCGAGCCGAAGTTTATTCAAGGTTAGTGTTTATGAATAATTTTTATGGATTACATTTGGATGACACATTTGATTGTGATATTTATGGTATCATATCAGAGTGATTAATACGGTGAATAGAATGCTGCTATAATTAGAATTCTTTCAATGTTTAAAGCTAATAAAACTAAGTTTATATTATAATAGCATTAACCCGCGGCTTCGCTCGCGAATATCTAAAATAATGAAGTTGCTTCCGTACGCGTCTGTAGTCACAGAAGAAGTAACAATGAAGTAGAATGGCGGGAAGTTTAAAATGGCTGAAACTATAGTCTATGGAAGTATAGTGTACAGTCTCCATAGTGTAGTCAATTGGATTTGATGTTGACGTAGCTGTCGGTAATACAGTGTGATAATACAGTGTGATGGTACTATAGTACTTAGGTTTGAGCTTCATTGCTGGAATGCTAGATGGCGTTAAAGTAGTCAAATAGCCAGATGCAGAGGTATTATTGGCTAAACTATTTCTTTATTTTATTTAAAAAATATTTTTTTTTATTGAATAAAAAGTAGCCTATAACCATTCGGGGACCACTAAGAATATGTGTACAAATTTTCATGATGATCGGTTAAGTAGTTTTTGCGTGAAATTGTAACAAACATCAGGATTTTCGCATTTATAATATTAGTAGGGATTTTTGGTTGTGAAAGGCAGCGCCATCTTTGTCAAGTTTTAAAGGTTATATAAGTTTTAGAGTTTTAAGTTTGATGTTTTTATTATTTTTGATTTGATACTAGTAATCAGACTCAAATTCACACGGGAATAGATAAAAATATTAATATTCTTTAATTTTGACTTTGTTAATAGGAAATTGCCTGTGCCTTACGTCTGATCGTCGTTACGACCGAGTCTACGTGGGCGCAGCGTGTCCAAGTGCATTCGATAGCTATCTGAAGAATTTAGTTAAAGTGGGCGGAATTCTCGTCATGCCCTTCCATGACCAGTTGCTGCAAGTTCGTCGTGAAGCAGAAAACACTTGGTCTGCGACTTCTTTGCTGCCAGTCAGTTTCGCTACGCTTATTCTTCCCAAAGAGGACTGCAAGGACACTTTTGATCTATGTATGTCAAAATTTTACCTATAGACATATTATTAATCAGTTTAATTTATATTTTATGTGTTTTTAGTGGATTTGCAACCAGATTCCTTGGAGAAACTCTGCCGTACCAAAATCCGCAACATTTTGCGCACCACCATCGAATCCGATCACCCGGAACTCTGCCGTCCCACTGAGCGCCAAGCAAAAAGCCCACGCCAACGCACCAAAGTCCCCGGCAGGCGTCACATGTGCCGCGAAATGGAGGACATCTTCATGCGCTGCTCTGCTTTGGAACCACAGGAAGCACCTTTGATGCCAGATCATTCGAATTTAATCCGCGACATCATCTTCAACTCGGATTCTTCCACCACCACCGAGGAGGCTGATGGTGAAAATGACGAAAATGACAATGAAGCAGATGGTGAAGGGGAGACTGAAGAGGAGGATAGATCTCACCTGCATCACAATTGTGAGAGGGCGTCTGCACATGCACAAGCACAGGCACAAGTATCAACTAATAATCATAATAATATAAGCGCACAGTTAACCCAAGCGTTATCAAGCGTCCCGGGCGTGAGTGTAAGTCCAATTACAAGTCCTCAACAATCGCAGCAGCAGCAGCGGATGAAATGCAGAAAATTAGATAGTGGTATAGGTGATGAAGACTCGAATGATGAAGAGCAGGCTGGGGATTCCGGGCAGGCGCAGAGCAAACGGTCGAAACTTGGCTGGTTCAATCGTTTCATGAAAAGAACGCCTGAGAGTGGTACAGGTACGTCGACAAGTGTTGATGAAGAATCTCTGGTTGCTGTTGTTGAAGAGGTGATGGAACAAGGCGAAGTGATAGTGTCACCTCTGCTTAATCTGGACGATGATGACGATTCTTCGATTACAATCGAAGAAGACGATGATTCCGATGAGTATCCAGAGGAAGCACCTGTAGATAATGAGCATTATCATAAAAGACGCACGGTGGAAAGCCCATTCACCGATTTGATGTGTAAGAAGATCAATGAGTTGCCTCTGCCGCCGACGCTCAAAAGTTTTCTGAATTTCTACCGGTAGACACCTTAACCTCAATCTGCAACCTAAATCTTGAAGTTTTTGTTTAGGTTATCCACTGTTACGGTGTTTATTGGTCGGATTACAACTTGATTCTTAACTATTCTTATCTCATTGTTGTTTGTTATATGTTTAATGTAGTTTTTAAGTTGTTATTGTTCATTTTATTGCTTATGAATGATGGCGAGGGATTGAGCGTGTGATTGTGGCAAACATGACTGAATTTAGCGATGTAAGTTGTATCTGGGAAAGGCCGATGGTAATGCGAATAGCTTTAACATTTTCTAATGTTTGTAAATATTTGAATAATGTTGTGTCATTTCGGTTTCCCACTAGCATAGCGTTCAACGTTTAGTGAGTTGATCGGTTGATTGACGGTAGTATACGTTGAAGAACGTCGAAAGTAAAAGTGCGCCGGTTTGCAGTTTATAATTAGACGAGAAGTTACACGAAACGCGTTAGGTAACACATTTGCATACTAATATTTATCGCAATCGCATAGATAGGTGAGTAAGGGACAGATGATTATTGTAAACGAATATATTGTACAAATTTTGAATAAAATCCTTATAATAAATTGTATTGTATGTGTTTTTTTGTCAATAGATTGTGCAATCATTTGGTTTTGATGACAAGTAAATTTTAAGTTGGTAGCACTGTTTTGCAAACAATCATAATCTGCAGTGAGAAAAAACTTCGTTTTAAGGTAAATTCTACTAAAAACATTAATTGTTAAGTTAATTAAGATTTAAGACATCAAATACAAGTAATAAATATAATTTACAACTTAAAATAAGCTAATTTCTTCAATTTTTGTGTAATTGAAGAGTAATTTCGAGTTTTAATGTAGATTTAAAAGAAGATAATCAAAAACTTTTTCTAACAACAAATTTATTAAGAAAAAACAATAATTTTACAAAATAATTGATGTAATATGTGTATTTGTGATGTAAAACAGGTAAAAGTCGATAAATGAAAGTTAAAATCGATATTAATTTGATCCTGTTGAGGTTATGTATGAAATTTGGTTACAACTGTCAATCTAGTGACTTTTATCAAATAGCAGAAACAAACCAAACTGGTAACAAACAACCGTTTGCGCTCAACTTTTCTCAGCTGAAAATTACACGATTAAACATCGCTTAGAATTCGACACGTCGGTTATATAAATATAAATAGTTTCGTTGAGTACGCTAGTGTCGACCGTCCAAACTTGCTTCACCTGTGCGATGCAGTGATGCAAGTAATTTTATTCAATTATCACACAATTGAACTAACCGCGTTTGTACATCACACACATGTTTACTGAAAGTTTGCAATCGAAAAAAACAAAATCGTCGACCTTTCGAAAGTTTGTGACCGGCGACGCGAGTGCGCCAAACGTATAAATTTAGCGACATACGGGGCATTCCAATCGGTAATTAGGTAAGTGCTGGCCGCGCGCAACACACGCAGTAAGTTTCGCTCGCGAATGTGTGCCGCGCGAGATTTGCGACGGGGTGAAACTTGCTTGGTGGTGTTGAGGGAGTCTGGGGTGCGCGCGGATTATTGATTTTTAACGTAGTTGGGCAACTAAACTTTCTAAGCGAGGCGTAAACCCTAAAAACTTAAACAAACCATCAAAATACATAATTTAAACAATAAAAATCAATTATTCACAGTGAATCAGCAACTTAAAACAAAGTTTAAAACAATTTTGAGTTTATTTTAGTAAAATTACGCATAAATAAACAAGTTTTGTTTCATTCCGGTGTCATTCCAGTTGAAAACATTAAATATCAATATGGCGTCGCGTGTTTAGTGAATGTTTCAATAGTTTTTCATGTTTCCGTGCGAGGAAACATCGTAAAAGTTGTGAAAACTTATGCAGGTTAGACAAGCGCCGATCGTGCACGAGCCGCGCCGAAGGACCAAAGCGACCTGTTCACAGATGAATCATACATGTGTTTTCGTCGCGTCTCTGTCGCACTTGCGCTTGGTGCAGTGCGCGCGCCCTCGGTGTGCTCGCAAGTGCTCGCGTCCTGCTGGCTGGCGAAATCTCGCGCTATCACTTTCTCCTTTCTTGTTTTCCGCCGCTTTCTTCGCCTCGAGTTGTGTGTGGTCGCGTTTTCCGCCAGTAAACCACCGTGTGCGCCATTGAAAAACATTACAACAATGCACACGCATTGATGTGTCGGCGCGCAGTGTTGAAAACCAGCCCGTCAAACTTTGTGCAAAGTGATAAAAAGCAACGCTCCTCGGCGCTGCACTGATAAGTAAACATAACCTCGAAACTTGCCACTTGTTAGTTTTGAGCGGTTGTTCGTCGGTCGCGAGTTTGTGCACACCGTGCGAAAGTCGTCGGGAAAAGTGTCCTGGATGGTGACGACGGCGAGCAGAATGCGTCCGGTAATTGTTACATGTTGTTCGGTGATTGTTTTGCATGTGCGGGCGATTTAATTAAGCGATTTCGGGGGGCAGTGGGTGGGATGAGGGGTGTTAGAGAGAGACAAGTATATGAAAGAGAGAGATGTGAGCGGTAGCTCGCCGCGGCTTCATCTAAACTTTTCCTGCTTTTTATGACTTTGCGAAACTTCCCGCAAACTTTTTATTCCGCGTTGTTCATATTCGCAAAGTTTTGTCTCTTGGCGAATCAGTGAATGCGTTGCCTAGCAACCGTTTGATTTTCATTTTAATTGCGAATTTTAAATCAAATTTATTTATTTTTTTTTTTTGTTAACTTCGTTAAATTAAACGTATTAAAGTGCATTTTGTGTGGGTGGCTTGCAGTGTATTGTTGCCCGCCGCTCGTCACGGGAACTTTGCTAACTTTGCCCGGCGGCGGCAGAGGCGGCAGTGAAAATTGCACAATGCGCGTTTGCGAAGTGTGGTTGTGTGTGTGTTGGTGTGTTTAAGCGGTACTCACACATGCGCGGCGGTTAAACTTTCCGCAAAGTACTCGAAACTTGCCCGCCGCCGCTGCCGCCGCCGAGCGTGGCACGCTGCGAGCTGCGGCCCGCTTAATAACTTATTGATTTTATTTCTTGTTTTTCTTTTACGTTTTCAACGGCATTTCAAATCAACTTACACAAACATCAAATAATAGGAAAACCGGAAAAGCGGAAATTAATTATTAAGTAGATAAAAAATGATTATAACTACTTAATTTACATTTAATATTTATATTCATATTTTTCTGACATTATAAAAATAATTTCCGGTTAATATTTTTAATAATTTGTAATTAATTAATAATTTTTTTAATTAATATTTTCAGATGATTGTGATTTGTGCATAAGTGCATAATGACATCGTCGAAACGCCAAGGACACTCAATTGAGGACCTGCTCGAGCTGCCGCCGCGATCGAGCGCGACCGCGACGCGCACCACGACGATGCTGCCGATCGTGGCGGTCGCCTCGGCCGCCTCTGCGACTCTGCTCACCGCCGCCAAGTCCAAGTCCCCCACCCGGAAGTCCCGCTTCAGCATAGCAACACCCAAAAAGGTAGGGATATTTATTACCGCTCCTGCTATTCTCTGCATTCTGCATTTACCCTCAACATCCTTTAAGTATAGTTTGAGTTTTTACTCACAGATGGCGCAAGGAGTTCTATTACAGAATTATCCTCGCAGGATATTTAGTCGAAAATTTAATTTACTTGTATAAACTGAAGTTTATTTGTTTTTGTTTTTTCTTTACAAAAACAGATGAAATAATTTAATCGGTGTTTAAATTGATTTTAATCGTTGAAATGTGAATTACGAGTTATTACAAGAGATCAAAAGGTGAAGATGGTAGTCGCCACCCCCGAAGGTTAAATAATAATATAAATCTTAAGACGTCCGTAACAGGGTGTAAACAATAGGCTCTCATAAATTGTGGAAATTTTGGTAATCTGGCACTTTGCTCCGCGCGCCGCTTCCGCTCCACCGGGCACGCATTCTCCACCCCCCATTATCCACAACTCGCGTGTCGCAGGTCGAAGTCCTCGCATAGTCGCCGAGGGCGACTATTGCTTTATTATTACATCCACCGAGATGTTGAATCTATGAGGACGCGCATATCTTAAGAGGGTGTGGGAGAATCTAAGAGGGTTGTCGACTCGACCACCCCCAAACACTAGACTCATTCTTGCATACCCTAAATATGCATTCAACATTTGCATTGCGATAATTTATGATTTATCGATTAAAATTTGTAAAAATTTGCGGATAATCATAAGGGATGTAATTAAGGGATGAAATGGTGTGACATATGCTTCCAGTTGATGATTGCATGATGGAGACGAATGTCTTGGGTTGTTAACCACGTCGGCAACAATTAAATCTACGTATTTGTCACTTTTATGGAGTGATTACGAGCGCAATCAAATGGTAAAGCCGGGGGGCGGCATGTGGGTGGTGATGGTGTTGGTGGTAGTAGTGGTGGTGTTCATCTTCGGATGGTTTTATCGCCTTTCACGCACACATCAAAACCGCAATCAACACATCGCGCACCGGTTATTCCCGCAAGTGCAATTTGCCGCCTCCGACGTCGTTTCCATCTTTGCATGCGCGACATCATCGTAAAATTCCGACTTGCACGAATAGAGACATCCACACGCGAGCGCATAAATGTGGATGCGTCGCCGCCGCCGTTGCCGCCGCCAGTTATTATGACTTAGCGTCGACAAAAAGGGGATTTCTAAGCGTGTCGAACATGTGTATTATGAGAGGCGGCGGCGGCGTCGGCGTCTTTTTTCCGTCTTCCTTTTGTCTTTTGCATGCGCATCCAGTGGCGGCGTTATTGAATTCGTATGGAAATCGTGTTTTGATTGCGTTTGATTGCCGCCACCACCCCCGAGGTTTCTCATGACGTGGGTAATAAAATCATTTTTTATTATCTCCCATGTGTGCGATTACATGCCGATCGACGAGTCATAAAAATGACATTACTATACAATCACTTTTTTTTTCGTTTGCTTGGCACGCCACCTACCTGTTTATTTTGCAAGCGCAAATAGTGCATTGTTGAGGTTATGTAATTCCATGTTGTAACTTATAACGCTATTGAATAATTCCCTTTATTAGCACATCTTGCGGGCTTTCCCATCGAATCTGTTATTCACTGGCGGCAGTCGTGCGAAAGGACGAGATTGTCCGGGGTTGGCGTTACTCACGGATGCATGCATCGGGGACGGCATGGCGGTACAATACCACCATCATAAGCACATGTCGTAAGATGTGTAGCCTATTAAGTGCGTCCGCGTGCATGTGCGTCCATTCAACCCTCTGGTGCATTCCTTGATAACCCCTTTTCTTAGTAAAGGGGTGGCAAGATGTCATTTCTTGGCTAGCCAAGGTAATAAATTAGGTTTAGTTGTTTTTACACAAAATTTAACCCTTTACATTAAGCGTTTATTTGTATATCTACAAAATTTTGAAGAATATTAAATTTAAAGATTTGTATGCCGCCACAACCGCCCCCTCAAAGTTGAAAATCGCAATCGACTTTCGAAAGTCGTCGCCGAGTCCAATTCTTAATGCCTGCAGGAAATGTCTGTTTTCAACTGATAAATACACAATACCGTCGTGCGCTACCGCCGCCCCCCCTACCCCCGCCTCGGCAGCAGCCGCCACCCCGCCTGGGTTAAACGTTTAATTATCCCTCGGCTCGCGCGGACGTTTTGTGCGATTGCGCTCGATTCAATTACTAGTCGCTCATTGAATAAATAAGACTTTTTCGTCCTTGCTGCTGCAGGACGTGCGGCGGGCTGCGTTTGAAAAGCGTGCGAAAAGTTTTGCAATTAATTTCTATGAAACGAAATGGGTTTACCTGGCCGAAGGTGAATCGCAATCCGCAAATCCGAGGCGCGAATGTTTGCGAATAACAAATCCCGGCCCGGTCGGGTGACGCGCAATCAAAACAAAATCGAGTTTTCGTAATGCGAAATAAATCAATTTCAGCGCGCGCGGCGGCGAATTGTTTGCAAATTTATGTTAAATAATTGTAAAAACACGCGGCGGGCGAAACGTAAATATTTGAGCTGCGAGAGGAATTAGTAGCAATTTTGTTGATTTACGGCCAGAAATGGGAACTCGCGCGTGTTTTCCGCCGAAAATCCTGCAGTGGTATCATCTTAAACACTTCCTGTTCGGTGTGTGGAGTTTTCTTTTTTTTTTTGGCTCCTTGTGCGTAGTTTTTCAACTTTAAGGACTAAAGCTACAAGACTTATGAGTTTATGATTTCTGCGAAAAACATCCGAAAATTCTTTCGCCGTGGTAAACTTTAATCGCATTCAAAATGCACTCGGCGTGTGCAGGATTTTCGCCAGAGAGGAAAATCCTGCCTCCCGAAAACAAAAAACAAGTTAATTCCGCCGCATCCAAAGCTCCGAAGCGACATTAATAATGGATAATGGATAAATTACACGGCAGCGTATTCCCGTCATGACTCCTCCGATGGGCTCCTTTCATATTCCGCGCACAAGTCGCCGAAGAGGGCGGCGGCAGTGTGGCGGCGGTGACTTTGTGGCGGTTTTCGTAAGAAATCGCCGTCGGCATCCTTGCCTCCCCGGCATTATCTGTTTGTATCTTGTGTGTGGACTGCGAACTAAGTCCGAAGACTTCGCGCGTCTTCAAAGTTTCCCTTTTCCGTCTTAAAGGATACGTTTGGGGGCGGCATACCTGATCGCAATGCGAAACCGTGCGAACCGCAAGACGTCTTTGCATAACTACGTGTATCGCATCGGACAAGTGGAAGACGGACGGACAACACGAGTGAGTGTTCAACCCTTTACGTCCGCCTCCGCCCCCGCGGACGCGCATTAACAAGTTCGTAAGAAACATTCAGCGCATGACTTATTCAGTGCCTTATTTCGGATGGCAATGTTTTGAATGGCAAAGCAGGCCGGCGGAGGCGGCTGCGACGTTGTAAACGGCATGTAAGGGATGTTTTTGGTCGAGACGCCGGCGACCCTTCTCTTAGATTCGCGTTTTACATATCTAAATAGCGCGCGAATGCATGGGAGAAACCGCAACGTCGTCACAAATCGACTTCTTAGCGTCGGGGTGGTTTTTGGGGGCGGCTTGTGAATATTGCACAGGATGTTATAAGGGCGAGTCGAGCGCATTAACCGACTTTAAGTAACACTAAACGGCGCAAATCTTTTAAATTTATTGTTGCACTTTTCATCCCTTAAGTGGAAACTGCACCAAGGGGTTGTTTTAACCCTTAAAATCACGAATTAACCTAAATATAAATCATTTAAATACAAAATCTTTTAAAACTAAAACAACGGAAATATTTATTATGTTTTTAAACATAACTCGGGGGCGGTTTGAAAATTTGAAAACCTAAAACAAGCTGAATTATTTATTTACATGTCGCTTGTATATATAATTTGTTTGACACATTGTGATTTGTTCCGAGTTGAATAATTCATAAGAACGACTGCTTATGCCTCGGAGATCCTCCTTGGGGGTTGTGAATTTTTAGTGCTTGTGTCACATTGAAATATCGCATCGAATGCATTGGCCGTGTCGCGGCGATAAATAAGCGTGACGCGTGTCGCACAAGAAAACTCGAGCCTCTCGCAGGTATTTACCGCCGGGTTAAACCGATTCGCCGCCCCCGAACGACACGAATATATGTCGCATGCGGTGGAAAAAATGTCGCATGCCGCCCTTTGCGGCACGCGACGTGTCACGATATGCAATCAATTCGATAGCGTAACAAAAAAGTATATTTATATACAGTGTGTTTATATTAATTTATTTTTTGATTTAATTTTTGTTTGGTTTTATAATCCTTAATCTTAATTAGTAAAGATTGTTGGAGCAAACAAGCGGAGTGCAGCATGCGATATTAAGTCCTTGTGGGGTGGTTTTACGGCGGGTGGTTTTTCGATCATCTCTTTTCGATATTGGTGTAGCGGCCATGGTAGTAACAGCGGAAGATGGATTACGTTCGGCGGCGGCGGCGGCGGTGGCGGATTCGTTCTTTGTTTATTCCTCGCGCATATTTAATTATGTATAGACCGCCGCCGCAGCCATCAATATCGTGAATAATGGAGAAGGGCCATCTATATTCAGCGCGGAAGCGGTTCGCGTTCGTACTTTTGTTTTTGTTTAGCCGCGCGGCGGCAACGGGCGGCGGCACTCCTGCCGCCGTGGGGCTTGTAAGTTGCACGTCGGATTAAAAGTTTTGCGCGCCCCCGTATGCCGTACGGAGCGTGCACACACACATACATGCGCTACCGCTGCGCGCCGCCTCCGCTGTTGTTTGCGGGAACAGCAGGAACGGTCGTATTGGGACGCGCGTCATGCACCTATATCCTGTGAGTCCGTGCTCGGAAAGCTCTCGACGTCTCACCCCACTTGAACAGCCGCCCTCAATGCCACCCCTTTGGTAGGTTCGGACCTAACATCTTCAGCAACATGTTAAATTAATTTCGTGCGAATATTTTGTGGGAAATATGAAATTTTTTTGAAATGTTTGATGTTGATAGTCAGTTGTCATCCTTC